CCTTTTTAGGAGATACGATCAAAGCAAAAGTAACAGTTCTCCTTCACAAATGCGACTTTCCACCTGCTTAGACTGCGGCAGCTGCATGTGCTGCAGCGCTTCTTTTGCTGCTGTTATTGTTATTTGATGAGAAGGTGACAAGGTGGCATGTGATACGGCGAGAGGGGGCATTTTTTCCATTGATGTTTTATCGGTTTGTTAATTGTTTGGTAAACCATAATGGTGGGATAAGAGCAACGGCTTTGCCTGAGCATCTAAGAAGTGCCCCAGCAGCGCACACAGGGAGAGTTCTTGTCGAAAGGCGAAGAGCGAAAAGGAAAAGAGTATATGCATGTTACTGAGATCTAGGACGTCGCTGACGAGTGTGGATGACAAGTTTAAACAGCACACCAATGATCAGCGTCCTCCTGTTGTCCTTTTATTGCTTTCTCTTGTGTTGCTCTTCCTTTTAAATCGCAGTGCAATTCGTACCGTGATGCTGCTGGCCACCTCACCGTGGGGTCAAGGTCCCGTACCCACTGTGCGGGGAAGCCAGGCGCTTGCGACCTATTGGTCAGAGTTGCGGGCTTATTGGCACGGCGAACAGGTCGGGGTTGGTGCCCGGCCGGAGGGACTCGCAGTAACGTATGCGGATGAACCAAGCTACAAAAACCCGTGTCTACGGATTACCGATCCACACACTTGTAACGTTCTCCGTGTGTTTGTTGGACAGACGTGCATGAAGAACGGGAGTGGTGGAGCTGGTAAGCCCATGACGGGCATCGACTGATTCCTTCTCTTCATAAAGCAACCTTTTGATCTTTTCGTTTCCGTCTCCTGTGTCACCCTTTTTGTCGTTATCTCCGTGGCCACTGCAACGTCCCGCTGCTCTATAATGACCTTCACTGTCCATTAGCTGTTAGCCCGCCAGCCACGGAGACCTTCACCCATGTACACTTGAACGTATAGGCATACATATATAATAATTTATGTTGAAGTACTTCCCTTTTGCGTCTACACTATTTTTGCTTCATCTCGCAGCTGTTTTATTTCTGCTCTGTTAACGACACTTTTGGGTCTTGCGGACGTCATTCGACGATATATGTGTTTCTCTTTTACCTGAATGCCTTCCACAGATTCCGCGGTGCTGCTCCGCGTCGGTGCGAGCGCCCCCGAGTGTCAGCGAACAGCGCCCTTGTCTTTTTCGCCAGACGCTGACAGGTCCTGTTTTCACTCAACTCGGCGTGAGCGATGGTGGCGCAAAATTCGCGCGTCCGCCTTCTTCCGTCGGTGCGTGCGACGTCGTGTGCGTTGCCTCGCGATAACGTTTGCAGCTGTCTTGGCGTTCGAGCTGCTGCTTATTTTTGCGGCGGCGCTCACGTTTGACTGGATGCAGTCGTTCACCGGCACGCCGGATGCGCTTTCGTTGCTGCAGCAATCGCTGTTTTTCGAAGATGAAGTGAGCTCAGCAGCAACGCGCCCGCAACTCACCCGCCGCGGCGGTGTTTGCGCCGTGTGCGCGGAGGGCCACGTTCTCTTCCGTACGAGTGCGAATGCGGCTGTTGATACGAAGATCGTGGATGCTGTGGGTCCGGTGGTAGATGCACCGCCTACGTTGCGCCACTTTACGGTGTGTCTTGAGTCGGCGGAGGAGAGGGCCAGGGAGGCGGCGGTGCGACCACACTGTCTTTCCCCCCTCTGCGACGCCCGTGACTGTGTGGCACAGCTGTACAATTTGGGTTTGCTCCGGCCTCCGCGCGCCATCGAGACTTCGGTGCACAATGCTTCGTGCGTTCAGCTAAGCGTTGCCCTGCACGTACTGGATGACGCCGTCACCGCGTCGACGCACTGCAGCGCCGTTGTGGCTCAACTGCGGCCATCTCGCAACGCCAGCACGCCCCAACCTGTGGAGGTTGTGATGCCGCGACTGACCGCGTGGCCGATGAAGCGTACAACTCGGCGCGACGACGGCGATGACAGCCGCAGCGGAAGCAAGCCTCTCTACTTTGGCGTGGCCGCGGTGAAGGACACGGATGTAGATGGGGACCTACCCCCGCCATCCGCGATCACGGTGCAGGAAAATGGTCGTGTTATTACTATCAAGTTTAATTCTGGAAGCACCGCGTCGGGGGATCAGACAGCCGCGTCGCCGGATCTTCATTGTCCCTTGCATTTTGTGACCGTGCGGCTTGGCCGTTATGGGCGTCATCACAATCAGCTGCAGGAGATTCTAAACACTGTTGCGCTTGCCGCCCGGCTCAATCGCACCTTCATCATACCGCCCTTCGTCCCCGCGTCCTACGCCGAATTTGTGAAGCTGGACACTCGGATTTTCTACGGCTGGCACACGCTGCGCGAGATGGGCCACTACTGCCTTGTAACGTACGCTGAGGTGCGACCCGTTCTACTGCAGGTGTATGCCCGCACAGGAAAACCCGCGATGATGACGATGCAGCGGGTGCACATTGCGATCCACGCCACAGCGCAGCAAAGGTTGGCGCAGATGTCAAAGGAAGAGGGAGAAAGACGTACGTGGGGCCATCTGCTACGGGTGCCAGCCACCCCCACTGCGGTTACCGGTGCCGCTAGTGATTCAGCGCCGCTGTACGACGCAGATGAGTGGTTTGCGTGTGGCGTGCGCGACGCACTGAACGAGCAGGCCTTTCTTCGCCGTCGGGGCGAAAAAGAGGCGAAACTTATTCTTCGTGAGACACACCCCCCTCTCACGCCGGCGAGTCTGAACATGCAAAGGGAGGCGAACAGTACGTGTTGGGAGAGCTACTTGACAGGCGTGCGCGCCGTTGTGGAGAGGTACGGCGGCCGCAGACGACAGCGAGAGGGAGGGGATCTTCAGGCGTATCACGAACCGGACGTGGTGGTGCTGTCAAGTTACACCGCCTTTCATGTCCGTCCTCGATTGGTGGAGATGGCGCGTCTGCTCGGTTTGCTTCGCCCGTCTCCGTATATCACCTCCGAAGTGGGCCGGTTCTATCGCCTCTGGGCGCCCCAATACAAGTGGCCCGCGTACGCAAACCCGCAACGCACCTTTGATGACTGCCTGCAGCCGTACCGATTTAAAAACGTAGTTGGCTTGCACGTTCGTCGTCGCGAGCTCACCTGTCAACGAGAAGTGGCACAGATGAGCCAAACCATCCTCTCGCTTTCAGAAGGGCTTTATGTTCTCGATGGCACCGGTCAACTCGATCTTGCAGCGGGGTCTGCACCGTTTACCACGACGGTGGCGCGTCTCACCAACGACTGCGTGTGGGATGTGCGGTCGGTGGTTCACCTGTTCTACCAGTACTCACAATGGTTGAGTGGGCAGGAAAGCGAACCCGGCCACCGCACACTCGCCGCATCAGGAGCAGGGGAATTGAGAAACGACGTAGCGCCTCAGCACTACACGAGCTATGTCGCCCACGATGGGCAGGCGGGACCGATCGGGCAGGAGATGGAGGTGGCGCTCCAACACCGCTACAGCCCAGCACCGGACGAGTTACTCGCGGACGGCACGCGGCCGTCTTTCACTGCGTTCTACGATCGCCGCTCCAGCGTAGATTTTAGTTTGGCGTACCAACGCGCACGGGAGCGCCTTACCACACCAACGGCGGATCCAACCAATGCAACCGCCGTGGAGGCAGCGGCGGCGTGGGAAACGGCGCGCCTGATCGAACTGCTTTATCCGGTTGCGGAGCTCGAGTTGATGGGCATGGCCTTTGACTTCTTCATGCTGAGCAACACAGAGGTGTTCCGCGGCAACGTCATCTCGAGCGTGTCGATCAACGTGTGTGTCCGCCGGTGGGGCCGCGGCCTTCCTTGTCATGGCGTAATGGTCGGTTACTACGAAGCGTTGTACAAAGGCTTCCTTTGAAAGAGAAACCGGGAACACCAACGGGAAAAAGGATGAGCGGTTCCAATAGCACAACGGGCGATGTTCTCGCCGTTCATCCTGTGGTCACGACGCATCGGCTCAAAAGACATCCAAAAAGAATGGGACTTCTGTGAATCATCTGGGCTACTTCATCTGAACGGTTCGATGAGTGAACTGCCAGGAAAAGCGAGGCGGATGCGATCTTGGATAGTGACCTTAGCTTTCTATTGAAATGCAGAATATCGACAGTTAATGAAAAGAGAAGAAAACGGATTGCCGAAGCTGCGAGGGACTGAGAGTGACGTCGGTTTCTATGAATGCCACTGCCTTGTCGTATCAATTCTCTCTCTTTTCTCCTCCGTCCTTGTTTTTCCTTTGGAGTTGCACTTCTTCATGCGGCGCCTCTCGAAGTACAACTGTTCGTTCTTGTCCCTTAGAGACGCCCTCAACGGACTTCGTAGCAGACTTCTGATTTTCTTGGTGTTTGCACGGGTACCGCCAGTAATAAAACTGGTGGGGTGGCTACGAACCGAAATTGTATACACCGTTGTTTTGGGTTGTCGACGCATATCCCGCACGGTGGTCCGTCTGCGCGCAGCAAGTGATCTCAATCATTGCCCTCCTATGCATTCTTTTCTCTTTTAAACTCTGACCGATTTAGAAAAAGGTCGACGCTCTCGGAAAAAGAAGGAGGAGGGTGATGCGGCGTCACCGTCCGTTGCAGTCGTTTTACGCGTCACGCGAAGAGGAGGCGGAGCCGTCCGGTAAGTTCGATCGCGCCTCTCCGTTTCACAGCGACAGTGACGTTACGCGCGTCTTATCGTCCCTCGCTGCTGCAGAGGCGTCACTTCATGCGTCGCACCATGTAAGAGAGGCAAAGCGCAGCAACCTACGCTCGCGCAGCCGAGAGGCCACTGGACACAACGTCAGCACTTCTCACATCGACTGCTCTCCTATTCCATTCTATTCGGAACCGACGTCCTCCCTCGGCGCTCAGTCCACGCCGTCGAGTGCGTCCGCTACGCGAACGTCGGCTCCACCGACGGCCTTTTACGATGGGCCATCGATGCGCGACAGCATCCCAGCACTCCTGCTGCAACTGACGAACCCCACGTCGTCGTCTTTTACACCACTCGGAGCAAAAACACGAAGACAGCAGCAACAACAAAGCCAACATTCGCCAAAGGGACCACAAGGCGCTGCTACGGACGTTGCGCCTGCTGTTCGCACAACGGGTTCGTCGAGGACAGCCCCTGTGGACAACGTGGCGTTGCTGCACCCTATCGTTGTCTCTGAGCAGAAGTGGCCCCAAGGTGTTACGGCCGCGCAGGCTCTGGAGTCCTACGCCGCAGCACGAAGAAAATCATCGTCCGCCAGTGTCGTGAACGACTACGACGCAAGTGGCGATGCCGGTTTGCGAGAGAGCAGTGGCGTGATGCCGCAACATGAACGAGGACAAGAGGAAAAACCTTTTTCTGCTATCAGAGGTAGCTTACGTAGAACCCGAAGCAGCTCGAAGGAAGATGCGAATAGACCTCTGCAGCCGTTCAACGAGCGAGGGGGGATGCGCTATGTGGTGGTGCAGCAGCCGGTTGCCGTTCACGCAGCCGCCCATGAACCCCCAACCATCTCGACGCCGCTGGAGGGCACCAACGGGTTGCCTTCGGCCCCAGCAAGAGCGACGGCGAATCTGGAACGTGCGACGATCCCAGTTCCAGAAACGTTAGGGCCGACGTCGTCTCGACCCAGTTCGGCAACACACAGTCGTAGCAGCACTAGTGGTGACGCCAGCAGCTCGCGCAGGCTTAGTCGGATTGCAGATGGTGGCGATTTAAGTGGCGCCCAGCGATCGTGTTTCCAACGGCAAACCGCACAACACACTCAGCAGGCAGCGAGGTCTGCGCCAACGCGCCCTTTACCCAGAAATGCCGCCCTATCTTTAGCTAATGACGAGGCTCCTGCCGCTACGCTCTACGGAAGGGAGGACGTGCCACCCGACGCTTCTCCGTCGCCCGCCCTCACTCGACCTGCGGCGATCCACACAACCGGCGGCAGTGACCAGAAGTCGCACGTGGATCTTCACTCAGCTCGCCCGCCCCTTACAGAGTCAGTCGCTGAGAGGGCATCACGTTCGTCTGCGTCCGACGTTTCCTCAGCCCGCATGCGCAATCTTTTCGCCTCTGTCTTGGACAGAACAGGAACGGCCAGCGCGGTTGGCAGTCGTACCAGCAGCGTCGGCACAATCGCGTCAACGCCGCTGCGCGCTTCCAATGCGCCTTTCTTACAGGCCAAGGCGATCGGGATACCGCACATCCCTGCGGAGGGCTTCCACTATCAAAAGCACGCCCCCGCAGCTGCGTCTCCTCCGGCTTCTAAGCCGTCACCGCGAGCTTCTGTGGCTGGTGGTGTGGAGAGTCGAGGGACGAGTCCTGCCGTACACGAGCCGCACCAAACAACAGAGTGGCCTCCGTCGCTCGTTGCGAAGGCGCCGTTTGCGGAAGCAGTCATGGAAGGCGGAGACCCTTTGGTGCTGCGACACACGATTGACTACCTGCTGCAGAAGGCGCGGCGCTTGGAGAAGGACAACACGGAGTTGTGGAGGCAGACGCACAGCTGGAATCCACATCGCACTGTTACCCTTTCAGGGGCTTCCGCCGAGACGATGAAAGTGTCGCTGCTGCCGTCGCGTTTGGCCGTTGCACCTCGGAAAACGCTGCGTTCATCTGCTTCTGTTGGGACATCACACGCGCGGACTACGCATCGTACAGCAACTGTGGCCACCACCCAAGCGATACAGGAGCTGCCACGGCGGCAGCAGCCCCGCATTCTCATACAGCGCCAGCGCCGCACCATCGCGGTGGGCCGATCAAACTCTTCCGTTGCCTCTGCGTCATCGACGCCTTCGCTGTCCTCCTCCTCTGCCGCCTCAACGCCGGTGGGGTCCCCCTGCAGCCACAACAACGGTGTAGAACGACAGGAGATCGATGATAACGCATGTGCAGCGCGTCTTGCAACCCATCGCAGTGTCTCGGTGTCCACCGCAGCGAGGGACGAGGACACCGCGGCGCCCGACACGCGCAGTGAGAAGTTGGCACGCGCGTCAGCAACCGTGATGATGCAACAGCATAAATCGCTGCGTTTGAGCGACAGCCCGCGCTCCAGTACCTCGCCGCATCGGAATCGTCATGCCGATGCGGAAGTGGTGCGGCGTGTAGAGGCGGCGGTGCAGCATCCGCGTGTGTCTCGCGACATCGGCACAGTAGTCGCATTGTCACAGCGCTCGCTTTCACAGCAGTCAAACAAGGCATCGCAAGGCACACAGCACGTCCCTGATCGCACTGCATCGCAACCTTCACTTTTGTCTCTCCGCACCCCGCCGCTATGCAGCGTCCGCCTTCGCGAGGCCACCGACAATCCTGTCGACGCTCTCGCCGCCACGCCACTCGCGTCCACCATGCGCAGCCAGCACAGTGTGGAGAGTCGACGCTCGACCGGCTCGATGACGTCGCACATGTTGCCGGTGGGCATCTCTGTTCTCGAGACACAGCAGGCGCAGGGCGGCCAAAGCAGTTCTTTCGTCCACCACCTCCGTCACCAGTCGCACCAAACGCCAAGCACGACGGAGCGCTTGGCTGCTTCGCCGGGGAATTCTCTCACTTCGAACCCTTCCCTTGGACTTCCTCCCACCTGCAACAAGCAAGTGCAAACCGCCAGCATCGTCTCGCCAGGCGAAGACGACAGTGACGGCGAAACGCTTTTCGAGTCAAACGTCGGTGGTGAGGCGACCACTCCGTCAGCGGAGCGCACGTCTATCATTGAGTTACACACGTCCGCCGCGTACAACCGCAGCACGGTGCGCCGCCTGCGAGCCTACTGCAGCTCCTTGGAGGCCACACGACAGCAGCTGCGCCGCCGCATCGCGACCCCGCCTATCTCGCGGTCCACCTTCTTGGCTACGTCGGCTGCCGGTCCCGCAGGCGGCGGTGGGTCACGCGTGTTTACGCCCTCCAACCGCTCCTCCTCGCGCAGCCCCTTCCCCCTGCCGCTAGCACAGTCTAGTGCGATGTACGACAAGGCGGGCACGTTGGCAACTCAGCCGGCCGCACCCGCACTGCCGCCTCCGACGTTGAGTCGGCCGATTTTTCAGTCCGAGTACGCCGACCCTGAGGTAGACGCCACGCTGCACGACGTCGAAGAGACGTCCGCGGTGGAGACGATGATTGTGTTGCAGGAAGATGGCATGGGCACGGTGACGAAGCGCGTGGTGTACGACTCCCCCTCGCGGGGCTCCGCCTCGGTCGGAGGGCGGTCGCCATCGCCCACCTCGCATCATCATCACCAGCAGCAGCGGAAACAACAGAGCGGCAGTATCATGGCCTCTTCCTTGACCAGCTACCGCGACGGACCCGATGCAGACAGCGCGTACCCGTCGTCGGTGCGTGTCTTTCCACAGGTGCATCGGCAGGGCTCAGGCCCAGGCTCCGCCGGCGCCGGTGACCCGCACGACAGCCAGCACACCCCAGCGCACAGCCGGTTCCGCACGCACGACAACGCCTACAGCAATTTTAGCGCCTCACTGCGGAGTGATGGGAATGGGCAGGACGTGGTGCCGCTCGTGCGTTTGGGCAAGTCGTTGCGGTCCGACTCCGCGGCTTCATGGGCGCTGTCGGACCAGAAAGACGTTCGCTCGCCCGACTGCGCACCTTTTGCGCTGGCCTCCACCACGTCCTTCCCCGCCGACGATGCAGCGAGAGGTCGCTTTGCGGTTCCGTCGCCCTCTGAGTCGCAGGCGAAGGAAGAGGAAGCGGAGGAGAGGCAGCCACCGCAGCCGCCGATCCCCGCGGCACCCGTGCGGTCTTCACTGCTGCCGCGTTCCTCCGTACAGAAGGCGGAACTCCGAACCACAGGGACGAAATCGATACCCGCGTCCGTCGACAGGCGACACATGCACATGCTCGACCCGCACGCCGACACACAGCGGGCGGGCAGCACGCACTCGCAGCGCTTCGAGGTGCGTGCTGTGAACGTGTCCGATGCGGAGGTACGTGACGTCAGCAGCAGCGGCAGTAGTCACGAGAGTCGAAGCTACAGCAGCGGCAGGAGTAAGTCGCAGCCGGCGGAGTCGGACCGCACACCTGTGTCTGTGAGTGCTGCCTATACAAACGCATCGACTCCGCCTCCGCTTCTACCGGCATCTGCGCCAGCAGCGATGTGGAACCCCCAAGCAGCGACGCAACGAGTCCCAGAAACTCCGAAGTTGGTACTGCCCAAGGACGTAGTGACGAAGCAGCATTCTGAGGCCTCTACGGAGGTGCGTCCTACACAGGCCTCACAGGACCAATTGACGCTTCTCCCTCCCCTGCCCACGTCACCGGTGTCGCCCAGCACGGCGGCAACGGACTCGTGCGCATCGTCTCAAACGTTTTCAGAGCCCAACGTCGAGAGTAGGACACCAAGGGAACATTCAGCGACGTCCACCGCTACTGTCCAGGGATCTGCCTTTCCGTCGGCACGTGGCGCACACGCGGGGGAGCGTAGCGCCGGTAAATTGAGAGGCAATCCCGTTAACCGCGACGACGGTCCTGGCTCGCCTCTACCGCAGATGCCGGCGACGGGGCAGGGTGAAGCTCGCCTTCGGCAGCGCAGCATCACGGTTGCATTCTTCGACGAGACGGATCCAAAAGGTCTGCTGCACGAGCCCGTCCGCGCCGCCGATGCCGCAACTACGCTTCCTTCTGCTCCCACAGCGGACGGCGACAACGCAGAACGCGACGAGTACTTCAATGCAGACAGCTTCTCTGGTAGTGAGGTGGAGGCGGCAGATGGAGTTGCTCATACCGGAGCCGATGCCGATTGACAGGGACTCCCTGTGCAGCGATGCCGAGCACGCCGGCGAGAAACCACCAGCTCACAAATCGCTGCGCCTCCTCTCTCCTTCCCCGCCGCGTACGTCCAACTCAGTGGAGTCAGGCGACGGCGCCGCCTGCGCAAAAGGCCGTCACGAGGAGGTGACGGTATCCGACGATGCGTCGAACTTGAGTGGAGCCTCTATTGGCGACCGCCGCCGCATGATGCCGACGATGCAGCGTCCGCCCATCACCCCTGCTTCACGGGTGGCGGCGCTCGATCAGGATAGGTCACCGTCTTCGAGCTTGTCGCGCAGTTTGCACTCCTTCTCGTCATCGTCATCGTCCGACACGGATAGGGGAGGCGGAACCGGGGACGGGAAAGGCGTGCTGCTCCCTGCATCGTCGTGATCGCCTGTCTCTCTTCTGAGAATGCTGCTGTTTGCTGATGTGATGTGTTGGCAAGAGTGTTGAACGACATCTGTTGCACTTAGAACTCTCATTTTTCTGCTAAAAAACGAAACTTTGCCCACCGTTAGAATGACTCCATGAAAGCCAAAAAAATATATATATGTGAAGACGCGATAAAAAACTTTACGTGACATACTCCCTATCGTTGTATCGCCTATTTGTCCCTCCTCCCCTTGAACGGCGTCCTCGTCGGATGTTTTCCTAGGTAGAAGTGAGGTATGCAAAGCGGTTCTGATTGCATTACAATGTCTCGTATGCATGTGTGTTCCCCACAGTCGCACGACTCACTCGCCGGTCGATGCCGTACCGGGAGAGGTACTTGCGCGACCTTTTGGTTTCTGTAGTCATAACAAACGTCTGCTCTCTCTTTCATATATATTCTTGTTGTCTTGCTGTCGCCTGTACTGCTGTTCCGACTTTTTCATTGACAGTTATTTGAGAACGGTTCTGTGGTAGGCCGAAACCCGTCGGTCATCGACAGCAAAACTGTGCCGTACCTACTTTAGCTTTTTGCTCTTTCCCTTCTCTTGTTGTTGTTGTCGTAGCGATTATACTAATACATTTCTTTTGTGTCGTAAATGGGAGGTTGCTGCAGCGCTCAGGGCACGGCCAGCGGAGCTCCACCCGCCCCAGGAGCTTCACCGGCGCGTGACAAGGCCAAGGCGACCCTTCGCCCCGCCCAGGCGCACCCGCCGGCTAAAGCAGATGGCAAGAAGGTTCCACCAGCAGCATCGACGAGCAAGAAAGTCGTACCTGCTGGCCCACCGGTACAGGCCACGAAAACCTCTGAGCCGACCGCAAACAAGGCAGAGGAGAAGCAGCCCGCGGTGCCTGCGGAGGCAGCGCCAAAAGACCTGCTCCCTGCGGCTCCCCCGCTCCCTCCTCCATCCCCAGTACCCGCCGCGAATGCTGAGAAAGAAGGCGCACCAGTAGCGCCACCGTCGTCGAAAGCGGAGGCACACTTCGGTCTCCCGCCACCGCCGGCTACGCAGAAGGCGTCACCGATTGCCATTACGCCGGAGCGGGCGAAGCCGCCGCAGTTCACGCCGCGCAGCAACGGCGACGACACGGACGATGGCACGCGTGGGCCGAGCACGGCGCGAGTGGAGGAGGTGCCTCCTTCACCCGCTCGTGAGTCTGTGGTTGCGACTGGCAAGGCCCTGCCTGCCGACGACGCGCGCGTGTTGCAGCGGGTGCCGCCACCGCCGCCTCCGCTGTCCGTGCTGTCCGCTCCTAGCGTGCAGGAAACACCAAGAGAAGAGCCGGAGCAGGATGAAGGAAATGCGAGGGACGCAGAGGACACGGAGGGGGCGGCGGCAGCGGAGGAGCCAAACCCACTCGCTGATATTCTGCGTCGCCAGCAGGAGGAGAAGCAGCGTTACCCCACGGCGCTGACGACGGACGCGAAGGACGATGCCCCTCTTGAAATTAGCATGGAGGAAGGTAAAAAGGGCACCTCCGCTGCGGGTGGCTCCGCAGCAGCCACCGGAGCCGCCAAGTATGCAGCCGACGACTCCGAGAACGGGGCGGCGGTCGTTGCGGCAGAGGAAGTGAGGAAGAAGCCGCTGGCAGAGCCAGGCACCGTGATGGCGTTCCCCGCTCCGGCCGATGACTCCGCGAATGTGAACGCCGCGTCGAGGCACGGTCGCGTCTTTAAGATTCTTCTCCATGAGGAGTGGGAGGAGCTGCGCGAGACGGGCGAGTTCCACGGCAACGCCGTGGACCGGGTTGACGGCTGCATTGGGTTCGCCACCGCCGACCAGGCGAGGGAAGCGGCAACGGCGCACCCGGGGGGTAGCGCCCCACTCGTTCTGGTTTGCTGCACCATCGAGGCCCTCTCCAAGCCGGCCGGGCCTGCAGATGGCATCACCGCCGCCGCGGCGTCTAGCAACAGCGAAGGCGCATCGCCACTTCGCTGGGAAGCCGCGCCGCTTCTCGGGCAGCGCCAACCCCAGCTCCACCGCGCGTTATACCGCGACGCGGACGTCTTGTGGTTCACGGAGTGTGCGAACGGCAGTGCAGTGGCGGCTCGGCTGGCTCAGGAGATGGTGGTCTCCGACGGCGGCTCGGAGGGCAACGACGACGAAGCGCCAGAGAAGGTGGCCTTCACAGGTGACAAGGACGACCTCGACAACAAGGCGATCTCCTTCACGGATACGAGCGAGATTGAGCGCGAGTTGGCGGAAGAGGATAACGCTGAGAACGCCAAGGAAGCCGCCGATGTGCAAGATAGCAACGGCTCTATCGATATGCCCAGCAAGGCACGCGCAGCTGCTGGCGAGGGTTCGTATGCGGAAGATGCCCCCCGAAGCGCGAAACACGAAGAGGACAAGGATAGCGACAATACACCGCAGCCCGTCGTAAAGGCGATGCTGCCCGATATCACGCTAGCCTCACCTTCTCGCGAGTCTGATAGGGCGCGTGCTCCCACCCAGCACGCCGTTTCCATGATGCAGGCACCAGAGGCAGCGCCTGCGACTCCGCAAGACGGATTCGATGGCGGTGTCGACGGTCTCGAACCCCCGCGTCGGGTACCGCCTCCGCTGCCATCGCCTCCGGCTGAGCCGCTCACTTCTGCGGCGGACAACAAAGCAGCGGTGAAGGACGGTGAGGCTACCCCGCCGCCGTCGCGACCGGCGCCACCAACAATACTGTCGCCTCAGCCGGCGTAGTGCACTGTTGACAACAAAATTAGGTGAAGTATACCGTTGTGTAGATCGTGTGTTCCGACAGAGACGGAAAGGCGGCTTCTAGTATTCCTCCCGTCGCTGATAATTCAATTCTTTTGGTGGTTGTTTTTTCTGTACCCGAGATTTTTTTCATAATTGACGTGACTCACCGCTGCTTTCTCTCCTATTTCCTTCTCTCTCTTCCCCTCTTTGTAGATCGCCATCTCAGTTTCCTGTCGTTGTCTGGCGCGGACAGCTGTACCCTCTTGCTACGGGAAACCGGCGATTGACATGAAGGGACAGAAAGGAAGAGGCAGGAGACAAGAAAAAGAAGGCAACATATATACCCAGGAGCCGCAGCTTGCAACGCCCGCACTCCCTCGGCGAAGCGCACTCTCACTTCCAAATAGTTTTTTCGTATTATTATCATCATCATTTTTGTTTTCTCTGCGTAACACAACTCTGTACTTCTACGATACTCACACAGTCAAAAAAGAGAACAGAAGTTGGGCTGTTCGACAACCACAAAAGATTTAAATGTGCTCGGGGGTGATTTTCTCGCGTCTACCACCAGTTTTAAAAGGTTGCTGGACGTTGTTGTTGTGAGCACACACACACACCCTCTCATAATGATATTAAAAAAGAAAGAAAGAAATATAATGGTACCTCTACTCAAACCATTTCTGTTTACTTTTTGGCTGCATGTACTTCATAATCGTCGGAAACGCCTGCGAAGCTTGACTCGAATAGAGCAGCAGATTTATTGTTTTCAATGTACGCCTGCTTATCTCCAGGTTCGTCGAAGTCTGTTTTGGAGCGAAATGCACGTCACGGGGTGGGTTTCGACGGGGGAAAGAAACGAAATCGTGTTTTTTCTCCCCTTTTTCGTACATTTTTTTGTTGCCTTGCTGAGTGATTTTATCGTGTTGTACTTCCTCACTCGTTTCCTGTCTTAGAAATGAAAACGACAACGAATGGAGTTGTGTTTGCGTTCAGCGTACAACCGTCAAAAATTAGTTTTGTGGCTCGCTGCAACTCTGGCATGGACGAGCCTGTTGCGTACAGTAATCTCAAGACGTGTAGTTTGTCTTTTTCCATCAAAATTCATATTTCCTGTCAATTGTGTGCGCTCGGTTTTGTTGGTGTTTTGTTGGTGCTTTTAAATGTTTTTTAACGTTGCCTTCGTCCTCTCCTTTTTGCGGCTTTTTGCTTTTCCACGGTGTCTGTAGAAGACCTCACCTGCCTAACGGGTTTTTTTTTTCCTTCTTACCCGTTTAGCATACCCACAACGTATTTCCAAAGCTGCCGTGTAACCACAAGTTGAACTTTCTCTGTTCTCTGTTCTTGTGTGTTCTTTTTGTGACTCTGTGAGTTGAACTCATGCCGTGAAGTCTCTCCAGCGTTGATCCCGGCATTTCCGGTCGTGGGACATTCGGGTTTTATTTTTATTACCTGCAAAGGTGCTGCGAAAGTGATTGTGACTTGCATGAGTGTCGACGGACTCACCTACTGTATTTGAGGAGCTAAATGCCTCCCCCCCAAAAAAAGGTATTGCTCATCTCTGCGTGCGGCGGAACCCCAGAAGTAGACGAACTCATGTTTTTCCCCGTGCGTGCATGAGCTTGACACCTCAGTAGCCCTGGTTCCTTGTATGCTACTCAAATACCTATCTCTTTTCTTTTTTTCCTATAAATTCTGCCTCCCCATCGCATGCGTCTCTCCTGCTTTGTTGGCTCTTTTTTTGTATTCGCACTTTCCATTGTGGTGCATCTCATGCCAAGAAAGGCTTTACTGCCTTTGCAGCGCCAGACTGAGCAACTGTTGTTCCTATTATTCGTTTCTTTTTAAGATCTTCCTTTAGCATCATCATATGTAAAAAGAAGACAAACGCCACCTCTTCCATACATCACCTGTCGCTCTTCCTTTAGCTTCTTCAAGAGGTTCAACTCGAGATCTCCCCCACCCCCTCCCTTTCTTCACTTCAAAAAAGAGAAAATGCAGTCGCAAAGTGGCAAGGAAGCAGAGGCGGACGGCTACATGAAAAGCGGCAAGAAGCACCTTGAGAAGTCGCTGTTCCACTTCAAGGCCAACTACGATGGCGCTGCCGAAGATTTCGAGAAGGCGGCCCGCATCTACACGAATTTGAACAACTACCCCAAGGCGCTCGACGCGTGGACGCGTGCCTCACACGCCAGCTCGAAGGCCCACAACGACTTCAACGCGGCCAATGCGATGGAGCGACTGGGCGACTTTGTTGCGCAGTACATGGCGGAGTCCCTCAACGCCGTGTACTCGGGCACCACCTCCACCGCCACCACTCAGTCTTTCGACCTGCCCATGTTTAAGGAAGGAATAAAAGCCTACGAAGAGGCGTCAAAGCTGTACGGCGTAGCAACGAATGGGGCGAAGCAAGCGAGCGCGCTGAAGAAAGCCGTGGATTTAATTTTGCGCTCGCTTGCGGCAGGGCAGCGTCAGCCGTTGAAGCCCGACCCCATCGTGAACAAGAGCGCGAACGCCGCGAACATCAGTTTTCTGCAAGATGAATACAAGCGTGTTGTGCCCGAGGTGATTGCGTTGATGCAGCGCAACTGGGAGGCCACGGAGTCGAAGCCGTTTGAGCTGCCAGACATCTACCGCGGGTACATCCTCTTCCACCTCCGCGCCGGTAACGTGGAAGGCGCGGTGCAGGTGGAGAAGAACATGATCGGTGTCGTCAGCACCAGCTCCGCCGACGGCACCTACGATGACAGCAGGAACTTGTTTCGCATCCTGAACCAGCCGACAAACGCGGCCAAGGCGGGGCTGGAAATTGTCGTGCTGTGCCTCAGCACGTCGGTGGACGATGGGTACACATGGGCGAACATCGAGATGGGCCGTCTCGGTGCTGTCTTTGGCTTCTGCGGCTCGCCAGAAGAGCAGACGGCCGTGGCGCTGTTGGCGGCTTACGCGGACCGCGACGAGGAGGCGCTCCAGGAGGTGCTCAAGACGCATTCGTGCTTCAACTTCTTGGCGGCGGACGTCTCGAGAATCGCGAAGAAGTTAACGATGGGGGCGAAGGCTCGTCCGAAGGCAGTAGCGGGCGCGACCTCGCCGACACCCGCAGTCGCCGGTGGCGCCGCAGCCTCTCCGCCAGCAGGACAGACGCACCTCTCGGAGACCGACGAGGACGATCTACGGTAGCGTTCTACACGTAAAAGGCACCGATGTGCCAGCTGCGGAGAAATGTCTTTTAGTTGTTTCTTGCTTTACGGTGTGTTCTTCTTTCTTCCTCCTTTTTACTGTTATTGTAGCAAGGTGCTTGTACAGCAATGCGCACATACATTTGTAAACGAAACTGTATTTATTGTTTTGTTCATTGCCAACCGACGGTTTTTGCGCGTGGCTGCATTCCAATCACATCTCTCTTCGGGCCAGCGTGATCCCACCGCATTTGTTAATGAACGAAGTTGCGCGACTATTAGCGCTCCATTGCAAACATAAAAAAAAGTCAGCAGGAGAACCTTAAGGGGCTTCTTTACGTGCTCTCTTTCAATTGCGCTTCTTTGTTGTTGCCGGTTTTCGGGTGGCTCCTCCCTCTTCGTTTTCCCTTTCAGCACTCAATTCGAGTTTCTGGTATTTTCCGATTTATACCCTTCTATCGAATTTCTGGCGGGTGTGCGTGCGTGCGTCTCAGCTGTAGGAGTATATATATGTTTTTCGTTGCCTTAAAAAAAAAACTGTTACACTTTGGTCTTATTTGCCTCTTCCGATTGCGGGACGTCGGTTCTACCGGCAAACTGCACAGGGCAAAACGCTGGCGGAAAGAGCGGTGAGGCATGCTGCTGCTGTGTATCCATCTTGTGCATCGTTTGAATAAAGGAAAACTAATTGTGTACTGCAACGATGAAGATCGAATTCATTGTCGTTTGATTCCGGGAGGGAAGAGGCGGGGGGTGCACTATCAGCTTCATCTTCTGGGGCGCCTGATCGTTTTGCATTGCAGCGATTATCTTTGGATCGCCACCAAAGAAAAAACGGAGAGAGAATTCGTTAGCATCACCGGTTTTGTTTGCTTTGTATTGCTCATAATGCACATCATGCAATTACTTTCGCGTCTCCTCTCTCTCTTCGCACCTCCTTTTGCAATGTCTGTCCGTCATGTCAATGAAACACATATACGCATATATATTCACTCGCCATATCTTTTTTGAATTCGTCATCCCTATTGTTGCTACCGTTGACATAAGCATCTATTACTCTTCTACATCCACGAATAACCATATATTTCACCGTAATCAAACTACAAAAAGGTAAAACAGTAACTAACACCTTCGCTTTAGTCTCGCTGAAACACGACGTAAACGTGCGCTTCCTTCTGTATTCAATTGGCAGGTGTTGGCGCTATAATATTTTTCCTTTGCTTTTTTTGCTTTTCCCGTCTTTTCCTTTCCCTGTGATCGGACGTCTTCAAAAGAAAGACCCCCCTTCTCCTCGCTTGATCACTTAATAAGTAAGCAAGTATTATATATATTTATATAATACAAGAGAAGCTCAAGGAATATACATCAGCCAATTGCCGCAGTTACACCGCAGCTGCTCGTCTTTACTGCCACACACACACACACACACACAACACGCAACTGTGATTCTTTCTGCCGTTGTGTTTGTCGTCACCTTCTCTCTGTTTCTTCCACTCCCCACTGTTGTTGCCGGGTTGTTGCTTTCTTCGAAATTCGCTCCCCGTTTTCCCTCTCCGAGTTCCTCTTCCAGCGCTTTTCTTTGTTGACCGCCCCCTCCTCCCTCATATTATTATTTTTTTAAGGGAACGACCAAAACAAGCACAAAAACGTCCAACTCAACGAGGAAAAACAAAAACCCCGAGGAAATAAAGCTGCAACACTAATTAAACGGGGCCGAAGGCAGCGAAACGATAGAAGGAGAGAGAAAGAGCAACACAAGAGTAGTAGAAAAAGGGAAGAAAAAACCAAAGCAGCGCACCCACGATTATCAGATTTGTAGTGTGCACCTGCGCTTTTGTTCTTGTTGAGTTAAACTGTTAAAGACATACTATTCAATTTGCTTACGTGAGCACTGTGTGTTTCTTGTTCTGAAGGATCAAGAGGCCGAAGCTAGCTGTAGGCGCAAGTTCTGTGGCTTTGCTGAACTACATATCTGCGTTTTTCCTTCTAGCAGGTCTTTTTCTTGATTATTTCGGACCTCATCATTCAAGACACACACACACATCTGAGGCAAATTTCTTTTTTTTCTGGGACAGAGACATTTAGAAAGAAAGCTTTTTTCTCCATTCTTTCCCGTTCACTGCAACCTGCAGGATTTTTTTTCTCTGCTCCTCACACGTTTCTCTGAAACTCCGCCGACAAACGAAGGATTTGGGCAGCGTTTAGTGTTCTCCAACGCAATCGAATAAACAAAACGCCCTTTTTATTTTGAAGTACACATTTTTGTTTTCTCTCCAAGAAAGAAAAGAAAGCGGAGGCAATCGATCAGTACGACAAACGAATACATACATTGATAAGGCAAAGGACAATGTCTGACTCTCTCGGTGTCCGCGAAAACTTTGGTGAGCAGCAGCAGCCGATGCAGATAAACCGCAGCGTCTTTGAGGCGATGCAGAGCCAAATGCACATGCTGCAGATGCGAGTGGAGACGCTGGAGCAGCAGGTGGCGATGCTGTCTGCACAGGCCGTTGCTGCCTCGCGCTCCTTCCAGCCCTACCCAAAAATGCCCTACGGCATGGCACCCGCCTCCGCCACCGCCGCGACGGCCTCGCCGACGGCCGGCATGCCGCCCACGCTGCCAAGCAACGTTTATTTCTACCCGCAGGGCAACGTGGTGAATGCTGGGCCGGAGAAGGGGAACATGTCGCGGCAGCTGGAGGCGGAGCTGCAGCGCATGGGCGTTCTCACGAGCGGCAACGCGGCTGCTGCGGCCGCAGCAGCAAACAAAGCGAATGAGGAGGCGGCTGCCATGGCTGCCATGGCGATGATGCACGGCAACTTGATGGGCTCGCCGACCAGTGGCGCGCCGGCTTTCTCGGGCATGATGCCACACCTCAGCTCGCCCAGTGTGCCGAGCTCGGGCATGCCTTTCATGCCGGGTCAGCCGGAGATGCCGTTCACTTCGCCCGTGATGCCGGCGCCGCCGGCGTCGTCGCCAACGAAGATGAGCAACGCGCTGCTGAACAAGGCGTTTGGCTTTGCGGAAGCGAACATGACAAACGGCGGTGGGTCGGACGGCATGAACGCGAACATGAACAGCCTGCAGCGCAGCTGCACCGTCACCTTGGATCCGCTGCAGAGCACCACCGAGACGCTCGAGCAGGCATGCCAGCAGAAGAAAATCCGTGTGCTGTGCATGAAGAGCTGCAAGGGAATCACCAACCTGACAGCCATTTCGCGGCTGCAGAACCTGTGGTTGTTGAACCTGCAGGGCTGCTCGCACTGCGTAGACGACAACGCCGTGCGGATGATCGCCACCCACAACACACGCCTCAGCCGCCTGAACCTGTGCGGGTGCGACCGCGTAACGGATGCGAGGCCGCTGGGGCAGCTGTCTTTCATGTTCGACCTGAACCTGTCGGGCACCAACATCAATAACTCGTCCCTCGAGGCCATCTCGCACGGTTGCGGACAGCTGAGTCGCCTCGCGATCAACAGCTGCGTCCAACTCACCGACCTGTCCAGCGTGAAGCACTTGTCGGAGCTGAAACTGCTGTACTGCCGCTACTCCGAGCACATCGATCCGGCGACGATCGGCGCTGCGCTGGAGGGCATCGGTCAGAATCTGTTGACCCTCAACGTGGACGGCATTCGCTTCCGCCAGCTGCAGCTCGACCACCTGCCGCCGGTCGTGGCGCTCAAGAACTTCAATTGCAAGGACAACACGCAGCTCGGTGACCTGGAGTGGATGTTCGGCACGCCGGCCGCCGCGACGACGTTTGAGTGCCTCGAGATGCTGGACGTGGAGGGGTGTGAGTCTCTCGTGAATCTGGGCTCGTACATCACCTCCCTGAAGCGTCTCAAGACAATGCGGCTGACGCACACCGGCATCACAAATGAGGAGCTCGTCCGCATCGCCGACTGCCCAGCCCTGTCCATCATCCACATCGAGGAGTGCGCCGGCGTGACGAACGTGGAGTGTCTGGCGAGGCTGCCCTCGCTTAGCAAAGTGGTGATGGGCCTCTCCATGCAGCACGAGGACCCCAATGCGAACGGCGTCGCGACGCTGCGGCAGCGGCCCGGCGTCGAGGTGATCTTTGCCGGGGTGAACAACCACCACGGCCCTAACGGCGGCGCCAACCGGATGGGCACCACACCGACGACGAGCCCGACTTCGCGCTACACTCCGTCGATGCCGACGGGCAGCCCTAACGTTGCGGGGGAAGGCAACATGTTTCCCTAACAGCCTTTGTAAAGAGCTAAACATTTGATGAGTGGGTACAAGCGACACATTTTTTTTTGAACTAGTTTTCTCTTTCGACAGGCTGTTGTGTAGGGGTATGTTTGACTGGGATACCCTATTTTGTATGTATGTGTTTTGCTCTCTTCTCATCACTGACTCGTAGCTTTATTTTTGGTTTTCTGTCATTTCTCTTTCAGGCAGGAACTCTCTTCTTGTTGCTCTTTTTTTTCTTTTGCTGCAAGCGCGTTCGCGGAGAGTTTTCATGGTCCTTTGCCGTCCGTCAGCCTTTGTTTCCCCCGGTTTTTGATGGTTTCCAATTTGCACGCAGCGGTGCTCTTTTCTTCAGGTTGAAGTTCATTTTCCTGTCCTTTGACTTCAGCGGTTTTCTTTTCTTCCTTATTTTTTTTATTGTTGCTGAACGAACAAATTCGGAGAGCAAAGACGCTTCAAATACGTTGAACTTGTCTTTCCATCATCGTTTAGTTTTCGCCGTAACGGCGCGAGTACAAGGACCTCCTCTTTTTTTCAGTCACAGGACAGTTGTGGTACGGGAAGAAGGAGTCAGCCTTTTCTTGAGTTGGACCTGAAGCGGATAGGATTGGAAGGTGTTACGTCGATTATACGTGACATTTCGCCTGTTTTCTTTCTTTTCTTTCTTTTCTTTTTTTGTTTCTTCACAAAACTTTTTTTGCCTTCTGCCACTCCGCGCCCACACGCATGCGCATGAAATGGACGACGCGTGTCGATGATTTCGCTTGCATGTACGGCTCGCACTCTAGATATACAGGCGCCCCCCTCTACTCTTCATACATATATGTATTTATGTTTCGCCGCACCTTGGCGGTGGTTCAGCCTTTTCATCGCTTTGACTCACGTGTCTCGCTTATCCAGAATTCGCACGTTTGCATCCTTTCGAGAAACGTCAGCGCAAGTTATCTCTCTCTCATCTTTCTTACATTTTTATGCGCCAGAGTCGAGCATATCTTCTTACTCTCTTTTAAAAAAATTGAATCTTGCTGACATCGACTTTGCTCATCAAAAGTGACTTCTTTTTGTAAACCTGCCCTTGATCCTTTTTTTTTTTTACGACGATTCCCACGAACGCCGCGGACACTACACGGAGCTCAATTGGTCAAGACTCCGCGGAGCTATGTGTGCCAACAACGCTTTGTATTGTCACGAACGCAACTGAGCCTGGTCAGCGGAGACTTGACTGAGCTTTGCTGTTCAATCTTTCTCTCTTTGCTACTGCGCAATTAACGTTGAGCACAGCGGCCAGTCCTGACTGTAACGCAGACGGACGCGTAAATTATGCAGGATCGCTTTCACGAGGTGCTACTGTTTTTTTTTGTTTTCCGTTCTTCTTTTCCCAAAATCTCACCGTCATATATATCGACTCTAAAATGTGCCGGAACCTGATTTTTTTTTTTTCAAAGAAAAGAAAGAGAGTATTTCCGTTCGCAGAGCGCGTCCCTTCTAATAAATCACGCTTTTCTCTTCATTGATATGTATTTGCCGAGCGAACGCGCACCTCAAAAGAGAAAAAAGAAAACCCAGATCGCACTTGTTGAGACGGTGCGTGTGAGTACTCCTAATTGTCTTCCTTTAATGACGCTTTAACTTTAAATACGTGTCTGTGTGTATCTGAGTGAGTGCGTGTGTGTGTATTCCGGGGTCTTCTTTTTCTTTGGGGTAACTTGATCGCCGTCCACTACTTTTTTTCTTTTGTCAACACCGGATAAGAATGCACGTGAACACGAGAACACAACGAAATTGTACTCCGCGTTCAACCACTTTTCTCCCCGAAAAACGATGTTTTCTGCGCAGTTAAGATTTCTGTTTTTTTATTTCTTCATCACCATATACTGGCGCTCGAATGGCGTGCTGCTGGCAAGACACTGCGGAAGCTTGTGAGAAAGCCGTAGACGAAGTTTTTCTTTTTCTCTCCCTTTTTCTGTTGTTCTCGTTTGCGACTGCCTGTGTCGCAGTTTTCTGTTCCGCACCCATCACCCCTGTCTACTATTATTATGATTTGAGTGTGCCGTTGCCTCAAGGAAGCAGCTGCACTTCGCTCTTGAGCCTTTTTTTTGTTTTTCTTCTTGGAGAGGTGAGAAAGGGAGCTGGCTGTGTGTGTGTGTGTGTCGTGGAAACTCGATGTATGTTTATTTTTTTCGTGTTTTTCGAAACGCATTACAATCTTTTTTGCGACTCATGTTTGCTTACTTTTTGGGGCTTCGTAGTCTTCTGAGTGGAGAGTTGTGAGACAAAACTTTACAACAACAACAACAAGCCCCAAGCAGTGCTTTGCCTGCGATGGCAACGAACGCATTTCAGAAAGATTTAATAAATCTTAAAAAACAAATCCGTTAGTCAGTCGATGAAAACCGCTGTGTCGCCCCCGTCAGATGCTCCATAAAATGGAGGGGCAGCGCGATTATTGAGGTGGAATGCACGCCGACTGCGTTGCAGCGGACCCACAAAGTGACGACACTATTGTTATTGAGCCATGCTTTGTCTTACCGCCTTTTTTCCCCTCTTGCCCCCTCCTCCCCTTCCGTGTGGTTTGGCATGTACGGCACAGGCCTATCAAAGAGGCTATATACTTACACGTTACTTATAGTACGCAAAAACACAGGGGTGGTTTTTCTTTCTACCTTCGTAAATGCGGAGTTTTGAAGTACACAAAGAATCTTTATTGTTTTTTTTTTAAATAATGAACAGAATCTTCCGCGCACCATCGGCCAACTGAGTAGCATGGAAAACGCATGCAAGAGGAAAAGTCTGCTAGATGACGGTTCTCTAGTCAGCGCAGCCATCACCTCGTCTTGAGGGGCTGTTATTATCGCGCTGTGACAGAGAGAAAGACGATTCAGAAAAGATGGCGCAGTGACGGCTTGCTACGCATTCACAGTGCACACAGGAGTTGCGTCATGGAAGGGTACGGATCTGTTTTCCCCCTCCCCCGTTCTCTAACAACAACAAATGAGAACATAGTCTCGATTTGTACAGCTCCTCTGTTGATTCCGCAATGGAATTATCACCGTTTTTACTTTCCATTTTTACTGTCCGCTCTTGTTTTGTCTCTTGCCGTTGTTGAGCCACCATGTAGTGGCCCATCCGTAGCAGTGTCTCAGAAGGAGACGGCGGGCTCTACGTGGGGCTGATCTCGCAACAACGGTTTCTTTTGCTGTATTATTACCGCACCATGGAAAAAGAAAAATACATCACCACTCATCAGCACTGTTTTTCCTCAGTGACACACATGAGCACTAGCGAAGGTGAAGTAGGTCAACATGGCAATACATTTCGCGTTGAGTGAGTAAAGACAACAAGTCGTTTTGGTGGACTTGCGACTGCTTCGCACGGTATCACGTCTCCCTGCACTTTCAGTAAAAGTGGGAACTCGATGAGTTTATGAGTATTGACTTTCGGAAATGCAACCGTGCACTCTGGTCTTTTCTTTTTGCTGACACTGTCGGTGTGCCCTCTTTCAATTACCCAAGTCTCCTGCCTTTCCACACTCCTCCTTCTTTCCGGTCCGCATCGAAAGTGCGGGGAGCCAGCTACTGGTTGTTGCTGCTCTCTTCCCTTCAAAGAAAACCAAGAAGGAAGAAAAGACACGAAAGGAGGTTTAATTGCACCTTTTTTGTGCTCTTATTTGTCGCTGGTTTCCCTGTGCTTGACCTTCTGCTCCACCGCCCCCCTCCTTCACACCAGCACCGCATTTGTAGCAGTTGAAAACCACAACAGCCCACATAATGTTCGCACCAGCGAAACGGGCGGCTGCCAAAGGACCAGCGGCACCGCACGCGTCCATGTCGAAGAAGGACAAAGCAGCCACCGGCGCATCGCGTAGTGCGGCCGCCACCATTAGAGTAAGTCGTAGCTCACGCGCAGAGGCTCTTGTACAACACGTCACGCAGCTGCCTTCGTTCCTCGCGTGGGCGCCAACGTTCGCATCTGACGCGGCTGCGTCCTTGACTTCCCCCAAGGACGTCGCCCAATACCTGGAGGCGCGCGTGGCGGAGGTGGCGGCGCAGCTAAGCTCGCTGCGCCACGCCGGTGACTACACACGACTGGTGCTGTTGGCGGAGCTGCTGCACGGCGACATGGCAGCCGGCGTCACCACGAGAATGGTCGAGGGCGGCCTGCTGGATCTGCTGCGTGCGCTCTCCACGGCCGTCGCGCAAGGCGAAGTAGGGCTGCACCCAGCCGCTGCCGTGTCCCCACTTACCAAAGTCCAGAATGACCCCTCTTCTTTCCCCACTACGTCCCGCGCGGCGGGCATGTCGAACACCAGTGCATTGCAGTTCACGACTACTTCTGCTGCGGCTGCCGCCTTTGCAGCCCCCATTGAAAGTCTGCTTCCACCCCTTATTGATGAGACGCTGCACAAAACAAAAGCAGTGGCAGAAGGCGCTGCTGGCACCGCTGCTGGTGCTGCGGCTGCGCACGGAGAGCAAAGCGTGGAAGAGGCGGAGATGGAGGCGTGGGAGAACTACATGGCTACGGTGCGCGTGGCGACGACGGCGGACGGGGTGCTTCCACGTAGCTTGGCCACAGCACAAACTTTTGCGACCGCCACCGCCGCCGCAGCACCAGTGGCCACTGCGGTCGTTGCCGCTGAACCTCCTCGCAGCATCGACTCCCTTCCATCAGCCCTGTGCGCCCTCATTGCCAGCTGCACCACCGCTCCGTTTGTGTGTTTGTCGCTGCAGGATCAGCAATGCGAAAAGTTAGCGGTATCCGATTTGGCTCGCGTTTTGTTGGAGGTGACAAAGGCAATGAATGCCACCTCGATGGAAATATCAGCGGTGCGTCTCGCGGCCATCAAAGGTCTTTTTCAGCTGCTCTCCATGTACGTGACGAAGAAAGACGGAAGTGGGGCGGCAGCCAATTCCACTCAAACGCGAGCATGGCGGTCGACAAAAGCGCTGAAGGCAGTTCAAGAAGGAACCGCCGCCACCACAGCAGCTCCGCTCGTCGTGGCGCTGGAGAGCATTCAGCTTTCTGAGATACTCGAGGACGTCACGCTGGAGTGGGCACGACTCCTTGTGTCGTTGAAAGCAGTGGCGTCGTCGCACCACACACACGAAGAGCATGGAGGAGACAGCGGCAGCGACGAAGATGCGGATTGTGCTCCAGAGGGAGCCTTCGCCGCGGAGGGGTCTTGCAGCCGCAACGCTTCGGCTGCAGTATATGGCGGCGGTCCTGCCGGCGAACTTTACTGGGTGTTGGAAATCGTAAATCAACTTCTGCAAGCGCAGCAGCACGTCATGCAGCGCAGCAGCGGTGATAGGACACGTTCGCCGACGCAGCGTGTGCTGCCGCCCACCTTGGTCCCAGTGATACTGCGCACCCTGTCCATGCTCCCCACCACACCCTCTCTTTCGTCGCGTGCGTCCATGTACGCCCGCCTTTGCGTGGATGCGCTGTGGGCGGCCGCGCTGTTGGCGCCGGTGTCCGCCGCCAAACAGCTTCTCTACGGATCGTTGCCAGAGCTGATGAACGGCAGTCGCAGCGACGATGATGACGTCGACGAGCAGAAGCAGCAGCAGGGTGCACCGGCCCCGCTGTCCATGCATGAAGAGGCCGACTCGCCCGCGGTGGACTTCTTCCTTTCCTTGCTGCACCAGTTCAATAAGACTCACAGCCTCGCTCACCGCGAGATGCGCGATGACCTCGTCACCTTGCTGGCGCTGCTGCTACGCTACGATGCGCAGTTTTGTGAAGACACGTTGACGGCCTGTCGTGCCGCGGCCGATGCCCGCCCGCAGCCCTCTGATCCTTTCGAGGAGGACGACGGGAGCACGGACACGTGCACGCCACTCTTCCTCACCACTGCGACCGTCGAGGCTATTAATGCCATTGTGGCGCTGATGTTCGAGACGACCTGTGGGGCGGAGCTGAGCGCTGGTAATGCGACGGCGGCGACGCCCAAAAACAGCGAGCAAGCTCCGGCCGCCCACGGCGCCGCTGCCCGGCCGTCCGCGCTGCTCTCCGAGGAGGCGGTGCGCAGCTACGCCCTCCGCTTTCAATCCGTCTCCATCTCTGCCGCGCGCCGTCGCGAGGTGGTCGAGTTTAAAAAGTACGGCTGGCAGTTGCTGGAGGTGCACTTTGAGTGGCAGCTGGCGCATTTAACGCTTCGCGAGTATGTGAAGCTGCACGACGCGACAGACGCGGCCTCAAGTCCGCCGTCCACCGTCGCAGCTGCCGCCCGCGCAAAGCAGCTGCAACGCTATCACCAGCGCAGTAAGCCGATTCAACAGATCACCGGCAAGACGGAGCCCGGCGAGGCCGTGGCGGCGGCGTTGTGGAGCATGCAGCTGTGCCGCCTCGGCTTCTACGATGTGCTGCTGCTCTACGTGGACATGGACAGCACCGTGCCGGCCGTGGTGACGTGGACGCGTGAGGAGCTCATGGTGCTAGAGGCGGAGGCCTGGGAGCTCTTCACCTCAATGATTCTGTTTACGCAGCATTTGGACACGGCTGCAGGTGGTTTGCGGGTACGCTGGCACCCCCGCTACGGCCCGTCTAGTCCTTCACAGCCAGGGTTCGAGGAACGCAGCGGCTACAGCAATAGCAATGTCAACGCCTACGGAGTCTCGGGTACGTCGTTCGGGGCCGCCTCGGACCGCTTCGACGACTACGACGAAGGCCCCGGTGTGCTGTATGGTGGAGACATCCATTTTATGGCGGCTGGCGGTGTTGAGGTGGCTCTGCGCTTTCTGAGGGCCGCTCCACCGGAGATGGAGGCGGTGAAACGATCGGCGCTGGTCACGCTGGCCGCCATCGCACGCACGAGCAGCAGCGGCGAGGCCCACCTCCACTCCGGCATCTATACCTCCAAAGAGCTGGCGCTCGTGCAGCGCGCGCTGACGGAGCACGCCCCGGCGTTGGTGCCGTTTCTGGTGAAGGTGATTCGTGAGGTGGACACGCACGTGGATGCAACCGGTACTCCGGCCGCCGCGCCGCCGCTGATTTCCTCCGTCGCTGCCGTCACGGCGGTGCCCGCGAGCACGATGGCGGATGTTGACGCCGGCGGTGACCGCACCCCCGCCGACGTGGAAGGCCGGATCGCCGCGCGGTGGGGCTGGCTGCCACTGTCCTCGCACCTCACCGTGGTGTTTGCGTGGTGTCTGCTGCGGTGCATCGGCGATGTCGTGCTCACAGAGGTAGGCATGATGCGTGAGCTTCCAGACTTGGCGATGGACGGCGCTGAAGCCGTCGGCGATGGCGATGCTGATTCGGGCAACGAGGTGGACGGTGGTGCCCCTGAGACCAGCTCTGTGGGCAGCTGTGCGGTTACGATGAAGAACTCCATGCTTGGCGCCGATCACGACACCAGCTCACCCACGCTGAAGAAGATGGCGGTAATAGGCGATGTGTCGCACGCCGATGACGATGACGAGGACGGGACAACGGACAGGCAGTCCGATACGCGGGCGATTGAGATCTCGATGGCGGAGGCTGACTTGTCGACCTCTGGCTCCTCGATGGGTCCCCCACCAGGGGAAGAGGGAGAAGTGGAATCAGGCGGGAATGAAAAGCGAGGCGGAGGCGGGAGGACTACATCGGCGAAGCCCACCTCCGGTAATAACGACACCACTGATGGTGTCCAGCCGGCGGATGAGCCGCCTAAAGGCACCACCGGACGTCATTTCACCCTGCTGCGCAGCATGCATGAGGAGGTGCTTCTCATCCCCGAGCTGTTCGCCAACGAGGGCGGGATTGACCTCTTGACGATGTGGATCCGCCACCGCCTCGAGCTTTGCCTGTACGTTCCGCCTGCATCGCCGCCTGCACCTCCGCCCCAACGCGCACTGCCGCTTCGTTTGGCCACTGCAGAAGTCGCGGAGCTCGACCGCAACAGCGACGTCTTTCTTCTCCTGCTGGACGTCTTTCGCGCCATTGTCCTCGGCAGCGAGAGCAACGAGGATCAGTTTGTGCGCAGCGGCGGTGTGCATGGAATGCTGGACCTGATTGAGGCCTTCGCCCTGGCGGACGGCCTGATGGAGCGCGCCGCTTACCACGCACGCATTCTGGCTGCCGACATCACCGTGCCAGCTGCCGCGCCCGATTTCGAAACGCCAACACTGGCAGAGGCGATGCCGTTCGAGCAGAAGGGAAAGAGGAGTGTGCTGCTCTACGCCATGACGCTCTTGTCCGACCTGCTAGACAACTGCCCTGCTGCGCTGGACGCGCTCTCCACTTGGCACAGCTCGCGCATCTTCACGTCACCGCTGACGCCAGATGTGCAGGAGTGCTGGGTGACGAGTAAAGGCGTGGAGGCGGTGCAGCTGCTGCTGTGTCTCTGGGCGGCTGATCTGCCGGCTCGCGGTGACGAGGACAGCACGGCGGGCGCGCCGACAACGTCTGGGTTGGAGCTGCTGCGGCTGCACCTGCGTCCTGCTCTGCGAAAAGCGCTGAAGGAGGAGTACGTGTGCCGTCTGCTGCGCCAGCGCGCGAAGAAGGGGGCGCTTGAAGCCGAGGCGATCCGCTGCTACTACCGCTACATCCACTCCGAGGACGGCGTCGGGGCAGGGCTGACCAATGCGGAGATGAAAGACGAGGTGACCGACGCGGTGGTGCTCGCTTACATGGAGCACCTCATGAGCCGCCACCGCAAACGCGACGCTGTCCCGTCCGAGCAGCACATCGCCCTTCTCGTGGCTGACACTCTGGGTCTGTGCCTGAAGGTCTACGGGTGTCTCGCCGCGGTGGGCTTCGACTCGCTGCGCACCGCGGAGACGGAGACGGAGGCCTCGCCGTCCTTGCACGTAAACCTTTCCTCGCTCGAGCGCTCCTTCCTCGTGCAGATCGCAGCCCTGCCTGCCCTCTGCGTGGATGAGGTCGGCACCGCCATGGCGGAGGTCGCAGCGGCGGGCGATGCGGAGGCCGACGGCAGCGTCACTGACTGGGGGCCCACAACGCCAGACCGCAAGACGCTCCGCCACGCAGCCGCAGAGGCCGCGGTGCGCGCGAGTGAGCTGGAGCAAATCATCGAGGTCGGCGCGCAGGTGCAGCAGGCACGCGGCGCACAGCTGTACCACCGCTACTTAGTCACCCAGCTGCGGCAGCCCCTCGCCCCACCCGCGGATGGCCAGCCGGGTGCGGTGAAGGGGTCCTGGAAGACGCAGCGGCGACTCTCCACCACTATCGGCGGCACACCCATCACTCCGGCCGTCATGACGACCGGCCCCGCCAGCGAGCGTTCGTGTGTGTACGCTGCCGAGCTCGCGGCCCGTCTTTCCACGCGCCTGGCTACCGAGGAGCAGCAGCACCAACAGAGCATCGCCTCGTCCATTCTACAACGGGACACGATGCGCTTGTCAAGAGGAATGGGCGAGGGGGCGCGGATGACGAGCACCGCCCCGCCGGCACTCGGCAGCAGCCGTACGCCGTACAACTCCATGATGGGCTCTGTGCATGCGGCCGCAGCGGACCGGCAGTCGGCCACGTCCTTCTCCGTTACTATCCCGCCCCGCCGCCCCGAGCTCCCGCTGACGGAGCGTCTGCAAAAGCGGCAAGCGATGATCGCCCGCAGCGTGCGTAAGGTACCGCTGAACGCAGCCGCCGTGAAGGACTCCCGAAAACCCTAACACGTTCGCTTCCTGGGGACAGAGAGAAAAAGAAGAAAAATGAAAATGCCGTGTGAACCTCGGGGCCGTCGCACTTCGTAGCTGTTGTTATTGCTGTCTCTTCTGCTTTTGTTTTTCCAACCATGTAGTATTCGTGTTTTTATGATGTAAAGCGTAGATGTGTATTGAGGGTGAGCGAGCTGCTGACGTAGCGATCACCACATCTGCGTTGTTAGAGTCCACAGGTTTTGTTCTTTTCCCCTTTTCCCTTCGTATCTCAGATGTAGCATGAGGCACTCTTTGCCGTGCCTTTCACGTATCCGTGACTGTTGCACTGCACGGTGCGACCTATTCTTGTTTTTGTCTTTCCAGATGTATCTGCAAATCCTTGTCTACCGACAATCTAGAAAAGAACAGGAGTGAAGTGGCAGTTTTGTTGGTGGCTGACCGGCAATTATTATGATTAGTTGCCGGGGCTCTGCACCTTCAGCTTGCCGCTGAAAACCCCCACCCAAAACCGATGAACTGCAACCATCTGCGCTTTGCAGTCGACAATCCCTCGAACAAAGGAAGAACGCTTCTGTTTGTTTCTCACCGCTTCTGAAATCAAAGCACATGGCTTTTCATCCCCACTTGTGTAGCTGTGGAAACCGGACAGATCAGCAAAAAAGAAAAGAAAAACAGTGCACGCTTTGTCACTACCAGCCATCTCGCTTTCTCTGAATCCTGTATCTGTTTTTTTCTTTTCCTCCACAGTGCTCTCTGGGCTGGTCACGTCGCACACCGGCACCGCTCACACTTTCCCCTAAAGAGAAAGGAGAAGGAGAAACAAAGTACGTGCACAAGAGGCGAACCAGCTACTCCTGCGTCATCACACGCGATGAGGGGACGCCGCAGCGCTCCAGGCGGCGCTGCTTTCTTCCTCCTGAACCGTCATCTTCGCTTACCTAAAGTGAAAGGCATGTACGTCCTCTATCAGTATTTCCAATCATCTTGTGTTTATACAAGTGCGCTCTCTGTGCAATCGACTGGCTCCTCCGCACTTCATTTATGCAAACGGTGCAACAGCAGCGGAGGGGCAGCCGCGGCCGAGCACGGCGAGGATCTCTACGTCTCGCACTACGCTATCCCACCAGATGCCCATCAGCTTGTCGGTACTCCCCAGCTGCTCCCGCGCAACCCAGCGGAGGAGGTTGCCTTCAAGAAGAATCTTATGCGTAGCTTCCCAGTCGCAAACATCCGCAATGTTAGTGTGGTGGCGCACGTCGACCACGGCAAGACAACCCTTTCAGACGCGATGCTCCGCTTTGCGAACCTTCTCCCCGCTGATGGGGCTACGGGGACCTTCACCGACCGCCTCCAGGTGGAAAAGGAACGTGGGATTACCATCAAGGCGCAAACGTGCAGTGTGTTGCTGACCCACCGGGGCAGCGGGGCGCAGTATCTGATCAACCTCATCGACACACCTGGCCACGTGGACTTTCAGTACGAGGTGTCTCGCAGCCTCTGCGCGTCGGAAGGCGCCGCGCTGCTTGTGGATGTCCGACAAGGCGTGGAGGCGCAGACGATGGCCCAGTTCTACGCCGCACTGGAGCAAAACCTGACCATCCTGCCCGTCCTCACAAAGATGGACAGCGTGCTGAACGACGCACAGGTGGAGAAGACGCTGCTGCAGCTCGAGGACAGCACTGGTCTGCTGACGCGCGAGGTGGTGCTCACGAGCGCGAAGAGCAAAACAGGCATCGAGCAGCTCTTTCAGCAGCTCATTGACAAGGTGCCGCCGCCCAGCGGACGCGTTGGGTTTTCGGATATGAAGCAGCTGCCTGTCATGCATCCCGACAGCGCGGAGCGTAAGCAGGCGGAGAGGGACCTCGTCCCTCTGCGAGCCCTGCTGTTCGACTGCTGGACCGCGGAGAGCAGCGGGATGTCGGGGAGCGATGGCAGTGCTGGTGTCTCGAATGCAGCATCCTCCGGGTTGTCTTCCACTAAGCCTTCCTCTCCAGTGACGTCTTCTTTCCTTAGCATGGCAACAGCCGCCGCGAGTGGCGTTGCAGGCTCACCTGCATTCGGTGGTCATTCGCTTGCCATGGATGGCATCTACGGTCTTGTGCGGGTTGTCGACGGCACCGTCACGCCGGGGACGACCGTCACGTTCTTTCACTCCTCGAAGAAGCACGAGGTGCGCGAGGTGGGCATCATCCACCCGACTCTGCACCCTACCGCAGCGCTCACGACAGGGATGGTGGGCTACGTATTTTTCCCCGGACTCACAAAGCGGGACGTGCTGATTGGCGACACCCTCTGCACACTGCCAACTCGCCGCCACACCTTGAAGGCGCTTACTGCAAATGAACAGTGCAGCAGCAACAAAGGCAGTAGCCGAGACGACGTGACGATAGAAAGGGAAGACAGCACGGCCGCCACATCGCAGCCGTCCGCCGCGGCCATCGCTGCCGGCAGCGCGGACAGTGCCGCCGCCTCTACCGAGGCGTACGCCGTTCAGCCCATTCCAGGCTTCAAAACGGTGCAGCCCGTCGTCTTCGCCGGTTTTTACCCCGACGAGGGCGACTTCATTTCGCAGCTGCGTGACGCGGTGGATCTGCTCTGCGTGAACGACCCCTCCGTCACGGTGGAACCGCTGCAATGCCCGGCGCTGGGTCCGGGGCTGCAGCTCGGCTTCCTCGGCTTGCTGCACATGCAGGTGTTCAAGGAGCGTCTGCTGACGGAGTTTGGCCAGGCGGTGCTGGTGACGCCGCCGCAGGTGCAGTACATGTACGTGGAACCAAACTGCGACCCGCAGGACAAGCAGCTCCACAAGCCCCTCTCGGTGAGCAACTGGCTGTGGCCGCACGAGGGTGCCGGTGCGTATCTCGAGCCCTTCGTAACGGCAACCGTGCTGACGCCGAGCGACTACTTCAATGAAATCAACAGCGCCGCCCTGAGCGCCTACCGCGGCGAAATGGAGGACATGCGTGTGATTGACGACGCCCGCACGCTGGCGCGGTACCGCATGCCGCTGGCCGACCTCGCCCGCGGCTTCTTCTCGACGGTGAAGAGTACCTCGCACGGCTACGCGACGCTGGAGTACGATGCGCCAACGTACGCCATTGCGGATCTGGTCAAGATGGACGTTGTAATCAACAAGGCGCGCATCTCCGCCCTCTCCACCATTTGTCTGCGGCAGGAGGCGAACACGCAAGCGCGCCGTATCTTGAGCTCGTTGAAGGAGAACCTGCAGCGGTCGACGGTCGACCTGCCGCTGCAGGCGCTGATTGGGTCGAAGATCATTGCACGGGAGACCATTAAAGCGTACCGCAAGGACGTCACCGCGAAAATCCACGCTGGGGATATCTCGCGGAAGCAGAAGAAGTGGAATGATCAAAAGAAGGGAAAGGAACGCATGGCGCGTCGAAGTGTCGGTACGGTGACGCTGGACCAGAACGTCTTGGCGGCAGCGATGGGCGCGACCTCCTCCCGTTGATTGAACGGCAGCATCAACAAAAAGGAAACGAGTATACGTAGAGATGGAAGAGGAAGACCATAGGTAAAATGGTCAATGATGTGCTATTGCGTGCTTCTACGATAATTGCTCGAACACCATGTTGGCTGAAAATGCGCGACAGTGATGCATCTATTCACATGAATAATGAAAACTAAAGAAAAAGAAAGGCATCTAGACGTTAGAGGTCTTGCATGGGAGAAAGGTCGTGGTGACGTGTAGCTCAGCCGTTTACCAATGAAAATCATCGTGCCTTTTTTTTTTGATACATGTCCATTGCACTGCAGCTTAGTGGAAGACGTGCGAACGACCCACGTGAAGGTGACAGCGAGACTGTTCACATGAGAGGAGCATCTCAGGGCTCTCCAGACATTAAGGCACGTCGAGAAGGCATCACTTTTGCCCATCGATTGTTTTTTGCTCTTTTATTTGATTTTCTCTTTGTTCATGCTTTCTCTCCCATGGCGCTTCTTTCCGTTATCGCAACTCCTTTCTTTATTGCTGGTTCCTTGATAAACGTTCAGATTACCCCCAGCTTAACAGCGTTTCCGTGTTCGAACAGATTCATACACTTTGCGCTTCAACTGTTTTTTTCTGTTTTTCTTTCTCCCTTTGCATTCTAGCAGTTTTTTTTCTCTTCTCTCCATCGCTAACAGTTTCGATCGTTTGATTCATTCCACTCCCCTCTTACATACACACTAACGCATACTTGAAAAAAGGTAAAGTACACGAATACAATGCAGCGTCTCGCGTGTGTCTCCTTCGTGCGCCGCATCGGCGCTCCGTCACTGATGTCGGTGTCCGCGTGCCAGACGAGCGTGCGCTTCTCGACACAGGACAACTACGTGAACAAGGTTGCCAAGAAGAAGGTCGAGGAGGGCGATGACGAGCGCTGGTTGGAGGCAGAGCTGGATGAGAACATCAACACCCCGGAGGAGCGCTACGCTCGTTCCCGCGAGGTTGAACGCCTGAAGAGGCTCGTGAAGGAGCTGGATGAGAAACACGCCGGGAACCTCGAGGAGGCGGTGCGAGAGCGCAAGGCGCAGGTAGATCTTCTCAAGAAACAGGTTGCAGTGCTGCAGCAGAAGATTGAGGTGCTCTCGAAGCGCGACAGGGAATAGGGTGAGTGAGCGTTTGTTTTTGTTTTTCTTTCTGAATGGGTACGCACAGCGCAAGTTGGAGACAAATACTACCCGGTGAACACACACACACACGCAAAAAGCTACAGGGCATGTGCGTAAGTAGCTTAAACTGATCGTTTTTTCTTTTTAAAATTCTTCTTAGCATATTCAAAAAAGAACAAAATGGAACGTCCACTTCGCAGACGTTGTCTTTCTTTCTTTTTCTTCTTCTCGCGCATGGAACACGAACATACACCATCCTGCAAAGCAGACCGAAGACGCGCATCGCCACTCTCTTTGTCCCAAGTCGAAATACAAAGAAAGAGAGGCCTGGAAGCAGAAACCTGTGCACTTGAGGAATCCCTCCCAAAAGGGAAAAAGAATTGTCGTAGGCGCTCCCTTTTCTTAGAGAAAACGGAAGCGAATCAAGCGCGCTTTTTACTATGCACACCGACACAACACTAACGCCTCCGTAACTCGATCAACTTATTTTGCTGTGGATGATTACTGCTGCAACGGCTACCGTCACGTGTACACCTCTCCTTCCTAGCACTTCTGACAGCAAGAGACATTATGTGTTTGAGGTGCCCACTCGATCCCTGGGTAAAAAAAAAGATAAGAAAAGAGTGGAAGCGCGTCGCCCATTTTTTAATTCTTTTTTATCGATGTAGCTCCGTGTGTTACGAAGTACACGTTTTGTTTTTGTTTTGTGTTTATTGCTAGCGTCTTGTTAAGTATCTTTCCATGCCTTTTCTTGAAACACTAAAACATTTATCTTCTTCTTTGTTGTGTATTCCCCGATCAGTGTTTCCGCATCGAGAGCTGTTTCCCCCTTTTGCGGTTATTGTTGTTATTACTTGATTCGTCGGTAAGGCTTCTCACTTTGCGTCTTGCGGGAGAAAAATCTTTTTTTTGAAGACTTCGCGATGGGGGTTTACGTTATGCGAGGAGGCTAAACGAACATTTTGAGGAGCTTTCCGCGTGAAAAGCAATAGTGGAAAGAATTGGTGTCGGAATGCTCGCTGTTTGTTCAGTAGCACAGGCACGACTCTTGCGGAGGTGTGGGGGCGTGAAGTATAGAAATGAAAAAGGTGAGAAAGCAACGCTCACGAAACGTTGATTTGGGTCGACCTTTGTTTTCTTGCATGTGTGCGTCACCGTCTGAAAAGGAAAGAGAAGAAAGAGAAAGACACGCGGTGTGGTTTATCAAAAGAAAGAGGGGAAAAAGAACACTTAAAAACGGAACTCATTAAGAAAAGCAACCTGGGCGTTTTTATTATTATTATTATATCCTCAGATGCAACTCTGCTCACAGCTGCAAAAGTTGATTTTGCGTACGAGGTCGAGGCGGAGGTATACACGCTTCTCGCCGTCTTCCCTCTTCACTGCTTTTTTTTTCAGTTCCTTTCATTTTTCCTTTTTTAAAAACGGAAGTGTTTTTTCCTTCGCTGTTTGCAATCTTTTTTCTCACATATGTTTGTATTTGCTTGCATTTCTTCTCTTGCTCGCCTGCTGTTTTGCAATTCAACACAAAAGAACTTCTGTGTTCTTTCTCTTTCCTTTCTCCCCTTTCCAAACCTCGCGAACTTTTCAAAATTTGCGTCTCTTTCCTTTCCTTTTGTTTTCTATTTTTTCTTTTGTTTTGTGGCCCCTCTGGGCTGGGTGTTCCCGGAGAGTTTTTTTTTTTGCTCTTCCTGGTCATCTATTTGCCTCTTTGCCTGTGCGTGTGTTTGTGTGTTGCTGCTGCTGCTGTTGCTATGTGCTCTTCACTTTGTCAGAGGGCGATCTTGTCTTCTTTCTTTTAATTATTATCCCTTTTCTCTTCGTTTCTTCTTTAGACTTCAACTTGCGAGACGGATCCCTTTAGCTTCCTCTTCGTTTTTTTCCTCTGTTTTTTTTTATACATTTGCTTTGCTTCTGTTATTTTGTGTTTTGTAAAGCAGGCAAACGTTTACAATAGCATTTTTAGGTTGTAGGCATCGTGTTCCTATCTCGGCGAGCCGCGTAGGTAACAACAGCCGTATATATACACACATTTCTTTGTTTAGAGGATAGCTTGAGATTTAGGGAGTAGTCGTGCCTCAAAACAGAAACAGAATTTAAGGAAAGAAGAGGGACGGCACGGCAAATCTGAAGCTGGCGTCGTTTCCTGTAGCATGAGTGGTACGCTCTCGCTCTCCGGCGGGCTATACCTGTACATTGGGGGGTGGGGATGGGGAGCAGCAAGAACAGGCGCGGTGTGCTGGCATTGAGAGAGCGCCGGCCGTCTCAACGTGTGTTCTTAGGTACTTGAAAGTTTTCCTTTTTTTTTGCACTCCTGTAGCGTGGTTTTTAGATGCTGGTGTGCGCACACCTTGGCAGTTTGAAGATTCCGAGCGAAGAGCTGCTGTTTTCTCAGGTTCAAGGTGTGCTTGTGTGGCCTTGTGACATGCGTGGTAAGGTTTCCTGCTGTCCCGGCGACTTTGCGTTTTTTTTCTATTGTTGGCGTACTTCACTTTGTCACTCCTCTTCTATTTTTGCTGTTTTCCTCTACACGCGTAGAAACACACTCGCACCCATTCTTGCACAGTTGTTTCTACATATCGGCGGCTTCACTTCCACTTTATAAGACCCGCTGGTAAGCTGTGGACCTCGCTACTGGCTTCGTCTTATCTCCTTTTCGAAATCGCCAAACTGGATCAACTGCGTATTAAAAGAAAAAAAACCTCCTTGCAACTCTCTTCTTTGCTGTATCGCTGGCTTACGGCTCCCTCCTGACCCATGAGCTTTCACACCGCAGCCGCAGCCAACTCCGTGCCACGAGGGGATGCACTCGAGCAAAGTGCGCTGTGGCACTTGGCTTTCTTCCAGCCGCTTGCAGCCCACTCCCGCGCCATTCCAACGCTGATGGCGGCGTCTGCGCAAGACGGCGTGGCTGCCGCGGTAGCCTACAGCGCTTCTCTGTTGGAGGCGGTTGGGTACACGAAAGCCGGAGGTGAGGTGCAGCCCTTTCTTCAGGCGTGCACCTTTAATGTTGGCGTTGCGGCATGCGCGGTTGGTGCATCGGAGCACCCGCTCCGCTGGCTAGACGTCTTGTCCGCACGTGTGCGCCGCCACGCTGCGCAGCTCGTTTCATCCCCACCCGAAGTGTCAAGTACGCTAACAACAGTGCTGCAAGAGACGCAGCAGCAGTACGAAACCGAAAAGTCCAGAGCGAGAAGCTCCGCGGTGCTCTCGCCATGCGACGGCCTTTTCGTAGCCCTAACAGATGATTACCTGACGCATACCTCCGCCGGACGACGTGCAGGTGTGCACTACGGGAGCCATGCCTCTCTTTTTCAACTAGCACTACCCGCTCCCCCCTCTTCGTCGTCGTCGTCCTCTGCTGCTGGCACGGCGGAGCACCCTGCGGCGGTGCGGCAGCAACGGCAGTGGTGCGAGGCCCGTCTGTACGCTGCCCTCGCGTGTGCAGCGAGCATCACGGCGCCTGGTCCATTGGCGCGTCTGCTCGTTGCCTACGCGAACGCCCATGACGGCCGGCTGCAGACTGTGGCGGACGACAACCTTTTCACCCATTTGAGAGCTGTACACAGCGATCATGCAACGTTGTCTGTAGCGCTGCGAGACGCTACCGAGGAGGCCGGAGCTAAACGGCAGCACAAGCGGCAGGAGACGTCCGCGTTGGCGGAAGCGGCGGCGCAGGTGCGGGTGCGGCTGAGCGGCGTCGTGGCGGGTGTGTTGGAGTACGCTCTGCACGTGGCGCACACTCGCTCCGCTGCCACCGTCGCCGCACTCAATGCTGTAGCGCACCCCGCACCTTCCACTGCCACACCACCCCTCGTGCATCCCTTTTCTTCCGAGGAGTTGACGAACTTCTCAAGCGTCTCGCAGAGTGCTGTGCTGCTGCTTGTCCAGCTTACCGAGGAGGGTGGTCACTACACGCAGACAGCTTCGACTGCTGGGTCAGGCGCAAGGGACGCTGCGTCAGAGAGCACCGCGACAAGCGCGGCAATGGAAATTGTGCACGCTATCCAAGAACTTCTTTTCACCGTTGTGCTGGGTGGCGGCACGCAGGCCATGCAGAACAGACCAGAGCCCATCACTTCGAAGAAACCGATCTCCGCTGCGGCGACGGTTGCCTCTGCTGTGAGTGGCTCCACCAATGCAACGGCAGCAGCAGCAGCGACACCTCTGTTAGTCACTACCACCCGTGGTGTCTCTTTGCCAGAGGCGGACACCATTGTACAGGAGCTATTTCCGGCGCTGGTGCAGCAGCTCGGTATGGAGTGGCTGTGGTCACCTCTCTTACGGCATTTATCAATGCTGGACAAACAGCAGCAGCAACAGCAGACTGCAAAGGCAGCTTCCAACAATGGGGGTGGAAGGGAGGGCGCAACACCTTCGCATCTCGCCCAGCTCCCCGTGCGCTGGAGCAGTCATGCGTTGATGGACGCGGTACTGCTTTCTGTGGCGCAGAAGACGTACCCGCAGCGTCTGCTGAACATCTTACCGGGCAGCTACGAGCGACTGCTACGAAATCTCAACTTGTTGCCACCAATGCCGCTGCAGGGCGTCGACAGCGCAGCAGAAACCTCGACTGGCCGCGCACCTCAGGCGGCTCTCTTCGACATGCCTGCCTACTACGCGGGGCCGGCGACCGCCCTTGCCTCCTACTTCCAACGAGCCGGTGTGTCGGGGCTTCGTCTGGACGAAGTGAGTCGTATTCTGATGACAGCGACGAGCAGTTACGCGATGCTAGTGCGGCTGAAGGCGCAGGCGCCACCGCTCACGGAAGCAGGGGAGGAAGACGATGAAAGGATGAGGGAAGAGGAGGACATCAACGGCATTGATAGCGCTGTTGATGGAGGAGAAACGAAGAAGCCGGGCAAGAACAGCACGGCAGCTTTACCGCACACCTACGCACTGTCGCGTGAGCGTGTGAGCCACTTGATGGCACGCTACGAGGGTGAAGTGCTTCTCGCCGCCGTGGTGGTCTACACCCAGCTGCGCATCCCCAGTCAGGTGCAGCAGCTCATGCGCACCCTGGCTCCCTTATTTCTCAAGATTCACCTTGACTGGCGTACCCACCACGACGGCAGCATCGATTCTTGGTTTTTGCAGCACAGCAGCGACGCCGCTACGGGCACGCGTAGTGTCCGCTTCAGCAACGAGGCCGTCGTGCTGCTCGACAAGGTTGGGTACGAGTTCTACCCACTGGAGTGGCTGCCGGCAATCGCCGCGAGTGTGTGCGCGGCGTCGACCACAACCACTGGCCTCAGTAGCCCCTCTCCTCCCCTCCCGTATTCTCTGTGTGCCGCAGTGAGCCATCAGTTCCGTCTGCAGCTCCGCGGCACCCCCCTCGGTAGCAGCGGTGACGTCACCCTGCGGCATCCCGCTGGGCCTCGCACGTCTGTTGTGATGCCCTCTGCTGACACACTCGTTCTTTTTCCGGTCCAGGAAAAAGGCAGCGGCGGCGAGGCCGAGACCACGGCCGCGGCGTGGCGTAGAGCCGAGCGTTTCTTGTGTGGCTTCATGCAGGCGTGCTACCTGGATCCGAAGACATCCTCGACGGAGTTGGAGGGCACCTTGGCGGTTTCGTCCACCCGTCGGGTGCTGACCACGCGTGAAGGACCCTCACAGGGCGGCTATGGCGGAAGTGCCGTGGTGGGCGGGACGTTGCTCGTCACATCGGCTGACATCGCCTCGCAGCGGCTGCGCTCGCTCCTTCAGCAGCACGAGGTGCTCAATGCGATGTGGGGCTCGATGGAGACCCGCGGGAAGACGGCTGCGTTGCGGAGTGGAGATCGTGCCGGACAGCAGCAGCAGCAGCAGCAGCAGGAACAGCCGCAACGTGGGCGAAAGCGTTCACGCGAAGTTGCACCTCAAGAGCCGGAGCATGCAGGAGGACCGCAACAGCTTCGCGCGATGCGTCAGCTGCTTCTGGACTACGGTGCGTCCTCGTTTGAGACGACGGTGGAAGCCGTTGACTTCGCGCTCACGGTGGCGCAGGGCTTCCTGCCCAGCACCGCTGGTATGTCCGCTGTCGCCACCAAACGGGCGAAGAAGAGCGATGCGCTGCTCCACAGTGCGCTGGAGTGGAGCCGCGCCGTGGTCGGCTCGTCAGCCAACAGAGCGAGGATTAACATACTTTTGCAGCAACAGCAAGACTCAGCCGACGCCGTCTCCGGAGGTGCAATAGCGTCGTTTTTGCCGCTGGGGAATGCGTACAACAGTGCAACGCTCGACATGGCGTGGCTGGCGCGAAGGACGCTGCGACACGTTCCAGGCCGCATTTGGGAGAAGATCGCGCTGCAACGAACTCAAGCCTATGCCCTCGCACAGCGAGAGGCGAAGTGGGTGTCGCGACTGCCCGGCTCTTCCGTCACCGCTGCTTCTGGCGATGAGGAGGAGAGAGTCTTGGAGAAGTATCGGGTCGATCCACTGCTCCTGGAACAGTGGACGCAGTGGGTACGGGTGTGGCAGCAGCTGGGACTAGCTGATATGATGGGCGGTGGCGACAGCTTTGAGGCCCCGCTTTCATCTTCTGTGGTGCCCAAGTCGGCAGAGGGGATGAGCTACGCTCAGTGGCTGTGGTACTCTCCTTACTTTTTATCGGAGTGGCTGAAGAATTAGGGGACGAGATTCAATTTGTTTCTCTTTCTTTTAAAGGATTGGCGAAGCTGTTTACATTAAAATCTGCATCGTTAAGCTGTTAAGCTGCGTGACGCATCCAACAAAGAATGAAACCCATTCTAATGACTAAGGTATGCACATATGTTCTTGGTTTTTTCCCGTCATCCTTACCCGAACGGCCGTTTTGAACAGCACAACGAGTTTCTTGGTTTATTGTTGCAAAACCACGTATTACTCTGTGGAACTGCCGCTGTAGTGGTGGGTGAGAGCTCACTTCGAACAGTCGCATGCGTACCAACTGCGTTCTCCGCCGAAAAGAGAGAGAGAGGACAAGCTTGTGCCTTTCGTATAACTATCGTAGGATCTCTCCCGGTCACTGTTGCTTCTCAACTCGATTCTTTTTTATTTGGGGATGTCACGGCATTTCTGCGTCGTCTGGGTGAAGCAGCACCTTTCCCACCAACTAATTCTGATCTGCTACGCGCAATTTGAACGTTAGTTACTGTATTGCATTTCGCGTTGCAGCGACTCGCGGAGGCACAAGCTCTTGAGATATACATAGAACTGCAATTCACAACGACGTACCCTGTGGAAGGACTTCTCCGTTAGCAGTTGGAAGTCACGGCAGTGTAGTGACAGGTGAAACACACATGAGCAAGCACGCTCTTCGTATGAAACCCATCGCATAGTTTTCAGCGTATGCTTTATAGCTTTTTTCTTTTATAGATTTCCAGCATTGTATTTGTTCTTGTATCATTTATTTTATTTCTGTTCTCTTGCGGTTAATTCATAGATCAAACTTCCCCTATTCCTGCACACGCGCGCAACCACACACAGATACACGTCATGTCTGCGTCGGTCGCCGGTGCCTCTGCACCAGCAGGCCAGGCTGCCTCTCTTCCTCCACCGTCGCTCAACGCACCCAATGTCTTGCCCAATGCGCGCAAGTTAACCAAACTCTCCGCCTCAGAGCTGCGAACCGGCATGCAGCAACATTTTCGCGCCAACGGCGCACTGCAGCAGCTCAAGACCCAGCTGCGCGGCATGATGCTCACCGATCTGATGCAGCATCCCCAGACAGCACGCATGCTGGTCGATGGGGCAGCCCAGTCCATTCCTCCATCCCCCTCTTCTTCCTCTCTCCCAGGACAAGGCAGGATAGAGGACAGGGCGGTCGGCTTACAACGCTCTTCAATACCCGACGTGACACCTGCAGCGCTCTCCGACGGTCGCGCCATCGCCGCCGTGCCTCGCCGCTCGGACCACACCCTGCAGACCTGGTCCTGCGGTCTGGCCGATGCGTTGGTCGAGAACCACCTGCGGCGGACACGGCGAGCCATGTCGCTCTCGATCTTTAGCACTGAGGCGGAGGTGCCCCCATTCAGCACGAGTGGCGCGCCGTCGGAAGAGGAAGAATACCTTGCCCATCTTTTTTGCCAAACGAGCGTGGACGGTTCGCCAACCGCCGCATCAAAGTCAGCAGCGGCAGAAGAGGAGGATTTTTTGACCCCCTCGCCTTCGCGCTCCGTGAAGAGCGTGCTGCAGCGTCTGGTGGAGGATTGCGTCACGCGGCAAGGACTTCTGAGCGGATCGGATGGAGCCGCCCGTCACCTGCATAGCTGCAGCACGCAGACCGAAGCGGCCGACAGCACCGACAGCGCCACGAACCCCCTCAACTCCCTCGAGTGCCGCCTGGCGGCGGTGGACGCCAAGTACGCGCTTACCTTTGCCCAGCTGAAGCGTACCGGCGCCACGGGCGAGCAGCCCTTCTTTCTGCGCTCCGAGGTCGAGCGCAGACTGGCGCAGTACAAGGGTGACATGCACGCCCAGCTGCGCAGCGAGTACGAGCAGAAGTACAACGCCTTCACCCGGGTGCAGCTGCAGGAGGCGCGGGACGAGGCAGAGCAGCGGTACCGCGTGCTCGCCCGCAACAAGACGGAAGAGTTTGCTGAGATGGAGCGCAGCGTCGTAGCGAGGCTTGAGCAGGAGCGGGAGCGGCTGAAGCTGTCCTGGGAGGACGTGCATCAGCAGCGCGCGGAAATGGAGCGGCGCCAGCGCGACACGATGACGCAGCTGGCGGACCGGGAGGCAGCGCAGCAGCAAAAAGAGGCGGAGCTGCAGAAGGCAAAGGAGACGTGCCGGATGCTGCGGCTGCAGTGTGCGAAGTGGGAGGAGCTCTGCGCGACGCGGCTGATGGAGCTGGACGGCGCGCGGAGCCGCGAGGAGCGCCGTATGGAGGACCTTCGCCGCCTGCAAGCCGAACACGCGTCGGAGCTGCGGCTGAAGGACGAGGAGGTGAGCCGTTTACGCTATCGCATGCGCTTGCTTGCTCGCGAAGTCGAGGTGCCGACCGCTACAACGCCCGCGGCTGGCGAGGAGGCATCCCCCGCAAAGCCCACAACCGGCACTAGCACGACGGGGTCTCCAGCGGACCCCAAGCAGCTCTACGGCTTGCTGCTGCGCACGGAGGAGCTGCAGCGCAACGCGGTGTTGCAGCAGCAGCAGCAACAGCAGCGTTGGGATGCGGCGTGGGTGGCCTCCGCAGCGACGGCGACGCCTGCTGAGACAGATGCCGCTGGAGCACAGGCATCTGCGGTCGCCGCTGCTCCCAGTTCAAGTTCAGCACCACCTCAAAACGCTGCTTTACTGGGGAGTCATTCAGCACATGCAGACACAGCGGGGATGCCGACGCGTGTCAATAACGATGGTGCGGGGTCAGGTCAACCCACGATAAGTGCATTGGCTGCAGTAGAGAAGCCGTCTTCAACCAGCGAGGTCTCCGATACGGCTCTGCAGACTGCATTTGCACCAACGACTGCATCTCCATTACTTTCTACGGTCGGCGAAGCCAACAAAACGACGGAGGTGGTGAAAGGCGCTGCTGCGGCCGCTGCTGCTAGTGGAGACGCAAAGCCCGCATCTTCCCTTCCCGCCTCACCACCGCTTCCCCCTCCCCTCGCCGTAGCGCCACAGCCCGGCGTGTCACGACAGACAAGCGCGTCGACGATCACTACCGCTTCCGCGAAGACCTCTCACAGCAGAAGTGCTCCAGCCAAAGCTTCCTCCTCTTCTCGATCTTCTGCTGGCTCGTCGCCTGCGTCAAAGTCGTCGAAGGTAAAATCCTCCTCCACGTCCCTCTCGGCGACGCCGCAGAAGACGCCGGACAGGGAGAAGGGAACGCCGACGAACTCTGCCGCTGACACCGCTGGCGCCGCCGTTGTGTTGCACGAGGCGGAGAAGGCGGAGGGAGAGTCGCGCAAGGAAATAGCCGCGGACGAGGGCACCGCACGGGCGGGAATTGCCTGGTCAGAGAAGAACGCACGCAGAATTGCGGTGGAGGCGCTGAAGCAGGCGAAACGCAGCAGCGACGACGATAGCAGCCGTGGCGGTGGCGGCGGCATTACACGGCCGTGGGGGCGGCTTGCCATGGGTGGTGGTGCGCAGGCGACGCCGGCAGCGGGCGGTGGCACCGTCTTCGACGACACTTTTTCCACCGACGATGACGCGCTCATCCGTTCTTCGTCGGAGGACGCCTCGGACTTTTAAAACGGCGTGCCGGTTCGCCTGTGTCCTCTGTGAAGACGGGGCCGCTTCGCTGTGCTTGGGTGCGTTCTGCTTGAGCAGCGGTTTCTTGCGCCGATGTGCTTCGACAGCAACGCTGCCAACGTGCAAAAATGCGAAGAAGAAAAAATGCGCGATGCCACGCCAGCTTGAGCAGACGGGTTTCGAATAGATGAATTGCACTTGTGAGCTGAATCGAAAAGAGGAACAGTGCGTCGTTCTCGCAAAGAGCCTTGTGCTGTTTTTCTTTCAATCTCATGCAACCTGCTTGTTGGGACATAGAAAAATTGTTTCTCTTTTATCATATACAGAACACGAAAGCGCGTTGAAGCAACAATACTTGCGAGGAAAGCACTTATTGCCTGTCTTGCGAACTCAGTATCTTCTGCGCGGTGACTGGCTTTAGATCTATTGGCGTTGTGACCTGCGGTAGGGCCTTTTTTTTTGTGGCTACTGTTGTTGCCTTCAGCAGAACGAAAACCAAGCTTTTTCCCTCCGTTTTCTCTTTCCTGAGGTTATTCTTCTTCCTCTGGCGTCATCTTTTTTTCCTTCTTCCTTTCTATGGTGATGCATCGCTGAGCTCACGCCATAAACGTAGTCCACACAGTCCCTTTTTTTCTGTTCTTTTCCATCTACACAAAACATCTTTTCCCTTTCTTCTCTCTGTTTTCACACCATCAAAAAACAAGAACATTTAGTACTTTCATCACCTTCTTGTCTTTTTAGCGTCCATCACATATATAAACGTATTTTCTGTTTTACAATCCTGAATCCACTAAGCCGAACAAACGCTGGTGAGTCTATTCTCTCATTTCGATTTCTACATCCCCCTGCATTTACCGCATTGCTTTTGTTTGCATCTTGTGTTTTTTTCTTCTCGTCACAACCAACACATCCAACACGACCAGAGCAGGCTAAAAGGAAAAATGCAGCCCAATCGCATTACGAAGCTCTTCGGCACGAAGTACCCAATCGTGCAGGGTGGCATGATCTGGTGCGGTGGGTGGCGCCTGGCTTCTGCCGTGAGCAACGCCGGCGGCCTTGGCCTTGTCAGTGCGGGGTCGATGAATTTCGACGTGTTCCAGCATCACGTCAGCCGCTGCAAAGAGGCGACCAAGAAGCCGTTTGGCGTGAACATTTCTCTTACAGGCGATATGTCGCAGCACATGGAGTACGTCATCGACCAGAAGGTGCCGATCGTGTTCACGAGCGCTGGCAGCCCGAAGCTGTGGACGCAGAAGCTGCAGGGTCACGGCATCAAGGTCGTGCACGTCGTGCCGAGCTGCAAGCTGGCCTTGAAGTGCGAGGCGGCGGGGGTGAACGCCGTGGTGGCCGAGGGCTTTGAGGCCGGCGGCCACAACGGGCTGGAGGAGATCACAACGATGACGCTCATCCCCCAGGTGCGGCAGGCGCTATCACCGGAGATCCCCCTGCTCGCTGCCGGCGGTATCGCGACTGGCAGTGCGATGCTGGCGGCCATGGCTCTCGGCGCGGACGGTGTGCAGGTGGGCACGCGGTTCGCAGTCACCAAGGAGAGCTCTGCGGCGGAGGCATTCAAGAAGCGCTGTACAACAGCGGGTGAGGCTGACACGTGGCTGACGCTGAAGCAGCTCATGCCGACTCGCATGATTCTGAACGAATACGGCAAGGAAGCCCGACAGCTTTCTGATTCCGGCGCCTCGAAGGAGCAGCTCGCCGAGTTCCGCGGCAAGGGCCGCACACGGAGGGGCATGTTCGACGGCGACGTCAACAAGGGCGAGCTTGAGATCGGCCAAATCGTCTCCATGTGCAAGGATATCCCAAGCGCGGCGGAGGTGGTAGAGCGGATGGTGAAGGAGTTCGCCGACTGCAACGCGCAGCTGTCAAAGATTAAACTGTAACGAGGATACATCGAAGAAACACGTGCCGGAGATGTGTGACGGCGTTCGCCTTCATGCAGCTCTTTGTTTTTCTTTTCTTTTCTTTTTTTCTTGTTTCCGCTCTCTTTTCGTTCTTTCGAAGATGTCTCGCCTTCAGCGTCGGGGAAATACGGCGGACAACGCCTCTTTTTTTTATTTTCCTCTTTCTTTCGTATCTCCGACTTCGGTCTCATTTTATCTTTCTACGCTTCGAGTACGGCACGTGAAACTGAAAACGATGAATGGTGTGAAGCTACTCGTCCTCTTCCGGTGCGAAGGTGGGAAGCGAACTGCAGCTCCGTGGCGCCTTCTGCCGTGGGCGATACGGCGGCGGTGGAGGAATAAAGCCTCTTTCCTTTGCAAGTGAAGCCGTTATACACCTTTTGTGCTGTGTGGCACCCGCCACGTCTTCTGCTTTGGGGTCTTCACCTTTTCCTTCATCGGTTTTGTTTCCCGCTTCTCCTACTCCCTCTTCATCCACTCTTATTTTTCCTTTTCGTTCCCTTTTTCTTTCTCTTCTTGTGTGTTGCTAATGCGCTTTACCGTTGTCGGCACCTGCGTGTTTTCGTGGCTTCAGCTTAAGGATACGTTGATCCTCACAAAGATCCAACACTCACACACACATATACAACTCTTCTTTTTTTCGCGTCTTAATATTATCTCGTGCAGCTAACCCTATACCCTCTTTTTTTCTTTTCTTTTTTCTTTTCTATTAATACAAAAGATATTTAACTTCCGTTTTAAAAACAAATTCTTCTTTTCTTTTCTCAAGCGTCAGCGTCGCGCTTTCAAAAAGCAACCAACCAACCAAAAGCATCTCCGCTAAAACACCGCCGTTTTTGGTAGATACACCAATGCCGCGGTTTTCAGGCTGTGCTACGAACAAAGATGACGTGCAGACGGCGCCTCCTGTACGGTGCGTCAGCCGCAGCCGGGGCTGCGCCGCAGGTGCTGCTACATACGGCAACGGCAAGACACTTCAGGTCACCGTGTCGGGTCGGGCGTCGACACTGATCACGCTGATGCCGTCTCCCTCTGCCCCTTTCGCTCCCCTCGCTGCTCGCCCCGCCGGGACGGCGCCTTCTTGGGCCGACGCACACAACCGACTGGAGGTGCACGAGGGGGCGAGCTCGTACGAGGCCGTGACGGGGCAAGCTAGCTTCCTTCGCTCGTGCACGCACAGCCGCTATTCCTCGTCCGTCATAACCGACACGGACATCGAAGATGAGTGTATCTGCACGGACACCGCGTCCACCATCGGCTCCGCCTCTCCGCTGCGGGGCTACCGGCGCCAGCACAAGCGCCGCAGTGAGGTGGCGGGTGCGCACAGCCTCCTGCTGCAGGCGACGCCCACGCAGACGACGTGGGAGGAGAGTGTTGTGACGGAATTGGACCGCGACTTCTCTGGGTCGGCGACAGCGGTGCTGCACCGTGGTGCGGCCAGCACGCGCAGGACCTCAGCTGTGTGCCCATCGGAGGAACCTTGCACCTTCTATCAGTGCTCCAGTGGCATTGCCTCTTCAACGAACCTGGACGACTTTGCCGAAGAAAGAGAACAGCGAGGCCGCGGTGTGCATTGTAGCGTCTCCTGGCTGAACCGCAATGAGTCCTGTGCTGCCATCGAGGAAGACATTCCAGAAGAGATTGTGTAGGGTGCTTCTTGTGTTTTACAAACACACATACAAAAACTTTTTTCCTGCTTAACCACGGAATCGAAGGACGAAAGGCGGATCAGCCGCAAGCAGGGCCGTCCTTTCTGACTTATCTTTCGAGGTTTCTCCTTCGAAAAGGGGAAACAAAAGTACATGTTTAATTATATTCTCTATATTGCAGTTACAGTTATATATATATTAGTTTGAACCCAATTTTTCTTTTCAATCAGGGTAGAGGTTGACGGCTCTGTATGGCACGCATTGTGTTCTGTGCATCTACCCACAGAAGGATGGCAGAAACTGCTGTTTTCTTTTTCTTCTTTTTGTGGAACTCTTTTGCTCCGCTGAGCAGCCGAAGACGCGCATTCGACGCTACCCCTGGTAGCTCTTTCAGCTTCTCCCCTTCATTTTTTCTTGTGGAACGAAAAAAGCTGGTTCTCTGCTTCTCTTTTTTTATATATTTCTCTCGTTTCCCTTTGCTAGCGCTTAAACTTTTTCCCCTCCTGTTTTGAACCCCCTTTTTTTTCCTCTACCGGCCCTCCGCCTTTTCCTTTTTCTCTCTCTGCGGTGCCGCTCACGCAAGCGTCGTTTATACCCGCTTTCCCTCTTTTCTTTTTCAAAAGAAAATGAAGAAAGATATCGTTAGCATGTGCCACCAATTTGTCTTGTACGCCCCCCATCTCTCTCTCTCTTCGTTTGTTTTTAAATGCACGTACACTTCTTCCACCTAAACAAAACAAAATGGTTCCGTTTTCTTCCTCTGTGCTTCTCTCGCAGCGCACCCAGCTAAGGCAATGTGTGACCAACGCGTGCGACTGCCAAGAAGTGCCTTTTCCACCTATGGTACATCCATCTGTGATGTTCGATGCGCTATTGTTTCTCTCTCGAAGAAAGAAAACAAAAAGGAGGGGAAAAAAGAGTTGTTCCTCTGTTACGCAAAGCTCCCTTTCGTGTTTTTTCTTTTTGTGTTTTTCCACCGTCTCTCCCCTTTCTTTCCACCGTAAGATACATGCTTTCCCCCCTTTTCCTACTTTGATATTTTCAACCCCTTTTCTTCCCTCTAAGTTGACCTCTCCAGACCTAACTATCGTGCTTTCTTTAACCTTGAAGGGTTTGGTCAACGTGGCAGTTCTTCCTTCTTTTTCTCTATTGATTTATGTAAAGCCGTTGCTATCTTCTTCTTCTTTTACTTCTGTGCGATTTTCTGTCAACGCGCGAGGATGTCCGGTGTCTTCGGGACACGCCCCAGTATTTCTCCATCGCCAGCGTACGCAGCGCCTATCAGAACCGTGTCAAAAGCATGAATGAAAAAGAGTCGGAAGATTAAAAGGAAAGGAAAGAAAAAGACGAAAGGAGAAGAAAACGCATGAACGAGTGGACCGCAGCTGGTTAGCGGTGCCACTGGAGCCTTTCAGATCTTCTATCAGTTCACTTCTTCACAGCAGTTCTCGCGAGGTGTCCGTGTGGAAGACAACGAAGAGGCACGCGCTTCGATCAACCTACAGGACAGCTTTATTATACGCCATCAAAAACGTTGAAATATTAACGTATGAATGAATACACCGTATTTCCAGCGTTTCCTTCTGCATGCCTGAGTGCTTTCTTTTTCATTTTCCGTCTTCGCCCTTCTCCGTTCTCTCTTACCGCCTTCAATGTCTGCAGCTGCGCAAAAGTACTTGCCTTGGAAAAGAAAAGAAAAAGGAAGAAGCAAAATAGGTGGAGAAAGAGGCTCGTGGTCGTCTTTACCGCGTGGCCTTTCCTTCTCTTTTTTTTCCCCCTTTTACGTGTCCACTCGTTTTATCTGCTTTCCATATATATGCAAGAAAGAGCTCCTTTTCTCTTGGTATGAAGTGTTCCTCTTCTGTACCGACGAAGGGAAAAGAAATAGAAAACGAGCATTGGCAGCGTTTGCGCGCATCTTTCTGACAACACGGGTCGCCGCTGGGTTGTGACCTTTTCTACCCTCGAGACATCTTCGATGTGGCTTCTGACGTCATCAGCACGCTGAAAGCGGTTTTCTCTCTTTTTTCTTCTGTACTATTTAACCGTTCTTTAGACGTTTGCGTTTCGCGTAGGCGTTTGCTTGCAAGGGAGCACGAACTTTATTTCCTTTATTTTTTATAGATTGACTCGATTACTACTCCTCTTGCACTCGTTTGGTGGGGGGAATTCTAGAAAGCAACAGCTCAAGAGGTAAGAGTGGTATAATGGAAGACTCACCCGTGCCAATCGAGCAGCGAGCGCGGCTCGTCGAACTCGAGGCACGGCAGCAGCAGCTGAAGCGACTGTGCGAAGAGGCGTTAAAGGAGGACGACGAGCACCAGCACATTTTCCAGCAGCTGGAGGAACGCAACATGGCCTCGTCCACCGTCGGGTCCCTTTACGGGGCAGGTAGCGCTTCCGGTGGCGGGGCCGCCACCCAGCAAGGCCGCACCGCAGCCACGACGAACGACGACTTTATGGACGACTTGCTGACGGGCGAGGTGCGCTCGTTGCGGGACCCGAACAGCATCACCCGGGCCTCCTCGACAGGCAGTGTCGTGGGTGCAAGGGGCGGCAGCGGTTCGTATCCGCGAAACGCCTCCCTGGATCGTCCGGCAACGACGCGTCTTGACAGCGCCTATCGTCCACCGACGTACCCAACAACAGCGGCAGACACCACCGCTACCGCTGCCCCGACAGCGGGAGTGATGCCCCCACCGCCCCCGCCACGCGCCACGCTGTACAGCACGACTCGCCAGCCGAGGGCAGACCCACGCGAACCCACCCGAACTTCCCTCAGCCGCATCCCCTCTCCCTCTCAGCCTTCTACCACGACAGTGATTCCTCCTTCGTGGAGACGAAGCGACGGTGGTGCGGAGCCTGTTCGGCCCACCCTTAGCAGCGCACAGGGCGGGCTCAAAGGAACAGCTGCGGCGATGCGGCCCTCGAGGTACTCCGCACCGGTGCCTTCCTCGGCGCCTCTTCTCACGTCTCCCGCCGCTGCACCGCCGCCGCCACCACCAGAGCGCAGTCGCAGCCCCAGTCACAGTGTGCCAATGGCGGATCGTTACCAGCGCAGCGGCAGCTATTACCACACCCACACGATGCCGCCGCCTCCACCGCCGCCGTCGTCAACGTCGTATTCAGGCAACTATGAACGCTCACCGCGATCTCGCATGGGACTGCCATCGCCAGCCGCAGGGGTTCCGCTTTCGCGTGCCTCACCGCCTCCTCCGCCAGCACCAACGACGTCCTCCACTTTGGTTTCTCCAGATGAGGTGACAGACAATCTGCCGCCGCCGCCGCCTCGTCCACGCAGTCTTTACACCACACCGGAAAACCGCCCGAGCGCTGCCGCCAATTACCGCAGCGCACCTCTCTCACTCAGCAAAGGCCCGCCACCGCCGCCGCCGCCGTCGCCGCCCGGTGCATCGAGGAAACATGGCAATGGCGAGTCCTCTTTTGTATCTGCCACCTCCACGGATCACGACCTCGCCCGTTGGAGACGTCAGCTCGGCCGCAACGAGACGAACGTGCAGCGCAGCGGCAGCGCCTACCCCTCCCCCACTTACACTCCCCCTCGCGCCGCGCCGGCCGCTGCGGCCTCGGAAAGACGGCTGAGCGACCCCAACGCCCGCAAGGGCAGCTGGGCGAAGATGCAGAGTTTGGTGGCCACGTCGCAGCGCGGAATCGACCGACGCCCTGACGCTGCCGCAGCGAGGGGCGTCGACAAAGGGCCACACACCCAGGGCTCTCCCCCACTACCACCACCGCCGCCTCCGCCGCCACCGCCATCGTCGTCTTCCTGGTCCAAGGCGGTTGGGATGCCTCCGCCTTCTCGCCAGGACGACGCCGACTACCCATCAAACCGCTGGGAGACGGTGTCGCTGACTCCGAGCCTGCGGAGGGAGGAGGAGTCGCGGCTGCACCACTTCTTCGCCACCGACGAGAAGGTGTCCCCGCGCACCCTCGCGGACTACACGGGCACCGCCAATCGCCCCAGCCATTCCACATGGAGATCCTCCGCCGGAGGCTACGGTGCACGCCAGCAGCGGCCGTCGCAGCGACATGCGTCGCCGTTGAATGACAGGACCGCGACGGTGCTGCATTACGACTCCAGCGTCACCGATGAAAGCTACGCGTCCAGCACGGCGGGCGAAGACGTGCCTCCTCCGCCGCCAACGCCGCCACTGCAGCCTTTTGTAGCAAAGGAATTCACTCCTCGCGGCGCTGCTGCTGCTGCTGCTGCTGTACCGATGACGAGGAAAAAAGCCTCCCACCCGTACGGCGATCAAACCACGGCGTTTTCAAAGCCACCTGTGCCACCCGTCGCGGGCAGCGCCGCCTCCGTCACGCCGCTCTTCACCTCCCTGTACCCCCGGCAACAACGGAGCAGCTCCGCTCGTCCCGACAGCGGTCGCAACTCGGTCTGGGAGAATGATACGCCGCCGCCGCCACAGCAGCACGCACCGACAGATCTCAGCGGGGAGGCCGGTGGAGCCGCTGCGCAGCCCGCATTCGTCGCAGGCGGCAGCGAGTTCTTCGACATGGGTCCCGAGAAGGAAGCTCTTCTCACTCTCTTGCGCAAAAGCACGCGTGCCGGCGCGGCGGACACAGCCGCACAAAGGCCGCTGCAACCTGGGGTACGAAGCGAGGAGTCCCCTTCGATTGCACGCCCTGACGCATCAGCCGGTGTCTATGCCAACACGCCTCGCGAGAACCCTTTCCCGGCGATGGAGCGTGATGCCGACGCGGACAAGCCGCTGCGAGACGTGCACACGGCGCAAAGCCCCACTCCTCAAAAATTTGTTTTCCCACCTTTCCCCACGGACGGCAGCACCCGACGCGCACCGAGCGCGAAGGGGAAGCGACCGTCACCGCCGCTTTGTGCAGAGGATATCGCGTCACCGCAGCTGCAGCGGCAGTGCGAGGAGGCGCAGGCAAAAGCCGAGGCGCTCGCCCGGCACCTTGTGAAGGCGATCACGGACCGCAAGATGCTACAGGGCAACGTGGAGGAGTTGGAGGAGCTGGTGGAGGAGTGCAATGCCGAGGTGGGCCGGCTGCAGAAGATCGTAGAGGAGCAGCATCAAGACTCGTCCACGTCGTTTGGCGTCCAGGCCGCGCTGCGGGCGAAGGAGCGCGAGGTGGCTGTTTACGAAGACGAGATTCGTCGACTGAATGGCGTGCTGGAAGACCACCTCACCCGCACCTCCGCCACGAAGCAGTATGTGCAGAACGGACTGAGTCAGACCCTCGTCGCGAAAGAGGCGGAGGCGGAGGCGGCCATGGCAGAGGTCGGCATGGCGCATGTCGCGCAGCGCGACGCAGAGGAGCGTGCCAGCCAGCTCGCAAACGAACTCGAAACGGCCGTCGAGCAAATCCAGTTCCTGGACGAGCGCCTCGCCGAGATGGAGCGGGCGGCGGCGGCGGCGCAGTTTGAGAAGGTCAACGCTCACCTCCATCGCAGCAGCACCGGCAGCGACCCGCTCATGACAAACGACGACCGCGCGCCTCACCCACCTGCCGGAACGCCCCTGTCCGTTCCCTCCGCGGCGGAGACGCAGTATTGGCCGGTGGAGGCGCGGCGTGCGCTGGCTCAGCTAGTGGCGCAGGCGCAGGGGATTTTGCAGCAAAATGCCGAGGGCGAGCGTCATGCTGCGATGCGGCAGCAGCACATCGAGCACATGTGCAATGAACTCCAGCAGCACCTGCACCAGCGTGAGGCGGAGGTGGAGCGAGCGGAGGAAGCGTGCCAGCAGCTGCGGCAGGAAAAGAATGCGCTGCAGGCCTGCGGAGAGCAGTGGTACCAGCAGCTGCGAGACGTGAAGGAGGATGCGCAGCTCGTGTCGGAGATCATGCGCACCGCCCGCGGCGACGCCGAGGATGTGTATCTTGCCTCGCGCCTCGCGCAGGAGCGAGTGGCGGAGCAGCAAGCCGCCGCCGCCGCCGCCAGCCCCTTCGGCCCGGCTGCCGCGTTAACGCCATCGTCGTCCTCCGCAGTGGACGCCACCACGTTGCGGAAGTGTGCGCAGTTTGCCCAGCAAGTCATGAGCGACTTTCACGCCATGGCCCGCTTCTTGTCCAGTCTGCGCAAGATGGACATTGGGGACCGCAACGGGTATTTGATTCTGCAGAGCATCGCGAAGGGCCGCAGCCCGGCGGAAGGGCTCTTCATCACCGCCGACGACGCCGCCACGCCGAATCGCATGATCGAACACCTGCCTGCGGACGCCGCATCGGAGGCGAAACGACGGGTGCAGAAGAAGAAGGCCCGTGTGCTGCAGGCCGTAGAGCGTGCGCTGAAGCTGGAGAAGGAGCCGAACGGTGCATTGAAACTGCACGGCGGCCTGGACCAGAGTCGCACCACATCGTCTTCGGCAGGTGTGCAGCTGCCTGTGGCGATTCCGCTGGGGCTGCCGCCGCGTGCAGAGGTCGAGCGCGCGTCCACGGTGATGGAGGTCGTCACCGCAGACATCACACCCGAGCCGGCACCAGTAGCCCCTGCTGTCCCCGCTGAGGTGGAATCCGCAGAGGAACCAGACTCCTTCGTGGACGAAGTGGCCGACGAACTCGAGTCGGAGCCGGAGGTGGAGGTTGTGACAGCGGCGATGCAGCCCCCACGACTCGGCAGCTACAGCTACCGCGGCGGCAGCAGCGGCATGGTGCACAGCGATCTGCGCCGCCAGCCGGCCGACGTGGGGCTTTCCGCCTCCCACAACTCCTCACAGGCGACACCGCTGATGTCGGGTGGTCAGCCGTCGGCGCCGCGACCCACCATGGTTGCTGGTCCTAGTGCCACTGCGGCCGTGAGCCAGGGGAACGAGCCGCCACCGCCGTCAACGCTGCCTGTCTCGCAGAGCTCGCCGATCCCCCGCGCCGTTAACGGCGGGCCGATCTGCAGTGCGCTGTACATGGGCGATGACGCAGAGCCCCCGAGCCCGTCCACCGCCCGTCCATCTTCTGCGCAGCCAACCGTAGCTAGCAGCGCGACGACAGCGACGAACAACCCTACCACCACGACTGCCGCTCCCCCTACGCCGCCGCCGCCTTCTGTGTCGCGCCCGCTGCGTCTCTCCACGACGCCCTCACAACCGCAGTCGGCGGTCAAGGAAGCGCGCGAGACGAGCAACGCGGCGCAGCGCTCCATCGTCGACGTCGCAGCGGAGGACACCGTATTCCCTATTGCCGCCGCCGCCGCCACCGCCACCGGCAACACAACACCGATGCCCAACAGCGTGCGCAGGATCGATCAAGAAGCGTCGTCGGTCACCATTGTATCGTCGCCGTCCGTCACTCCGCAGGCCTCGGAACAGCCTCTGCACACTCCACCACCACCACCACCACCATCACCACAGCAGCAGCAGCAGCGCCTACCGAGTGAGGAGGCGGAGAAGGCAGCACCCGTGCGGCCTTCTGCCGTAGCAGAAGCCGACTCTGCCTCCGCGCCAGTTCCCACGGCGGCTGCGGCGGTGGTGCCGTCCACTTTGTTCCACGACGCAGACACGACGCTTCCATCCGTGTCCGACATCATGTCCAACGGCGGCAGCAGCAACGAGGCAGAAACCCACCCTGCACCCCTCGAAGACTCCCGAAGGCGTCTAGAGAGTCCCCTCAAGGATGAAATACCCCTACGTGCCCGCCTGCGCTCCCCCACACCAGAGGGACCGTCTCTCCCCCGCAAGACCCCGACCCCCACCGCACCGGCTGTTCTCATCACCTCCCCGTTGGAGCCTCCGCGCCCTTCGCCGACGTCGGTGGACGAGCCGCCGCCGCGCGCGGTGCGAGAGGAAAGCGAACGGTCACAGCCCGGCTCGCAGCCCAAGGACCGCAGCACAACGGCGCGCCCGCCCTCTACCCCACCCGCGCCGTGCTACCACCCGCGCTCTGAACCTGCCGGTCAAGGGCAAGGCGCGAAAGGCACACATCGCCCCAACGATGCCCGTCGCGCCGCCAGCAATGACAGCGACGGTGACGAGGCGACGCTCTTCTTCCATGAACCCCCTCGTTGTGCGGCGCAGGAGGTGACGCCCGTAGCAGCGGCGGCTGCTCCTCCTCCGCCGACGCGTAGCGCACACGCTGAGGATGCCGTTCATCCTACAGAAGCGGCGTCACGTGTGGAGGTGGATTTGCTGCACGACGATTTCGTTATGCCCTCTCGCAACGTCGGTGCCGCTGCTGCTGCGACCGCTCCTCATGTTGCAGCACGCCTCCCTCCGCCGCCGCCGCCACCTCGGACGCCAACAACACCAACGGAGCAGGCAAAGGAATCAACGGCGAAGGCCGAAGCGGACGCACCACACGCTTCGGCACAGCCCGCACCAGCGGAAACGGAACTCCCCTCGCATAGGTTTCCACACGGTGGCAAGGCAGACAAGAAGGCGTCGTCATCGTCAACAATGAGTGCCATCAGCAACAGGGAAAAAAAAGGAGAGAAGGAGCGCTCCAAGTCGCCGCGGTCGCGCCGCCTCATGGACGACGATGACGAGCCGTCGCTGCAGTTCTCCGCCCCACCACCGCTGCCCGTGCACCGGTGGCCCCCTCCCCCGATGCTACCCCGACCTTCCAACAACACCCGCGCAGAGGTGGAGGTGGAGAAAGCCGCATCTTCTCTTTCTGCAGGAGCTTCTCCGAACTCTTCCTCACTGCACGGCACTTCTGCTATTCCTACCGACCACGGGTCCTCGACTTCCGCGCATGTCACGCCTGTCACGCCAGCCGAGCAGCCGCAGGGTGGCGTGCCGGCGTATCGGCCGCTGCATCAACCACGTCGTGCGCAGCCCACCGAGGCCGGTCCGAGTCTTTCTCTCGGGGGTGGCGGCGTAGCCCCTCCGCGACTGCAGCGTTCCGCTCCTGCGTTGCCCTCCGCGCCTGCCCCTCTCGCTGGACCCTCCGCGCCAGGATTTGCGGGCCCACAAGGTAGTCGCCCCGCCGTTGCGAGGCGGGCTTCGCCGTCCTCCTCCATGGATCGCCCCCCTGCTGATGTGACGCCGGCCTTGACAGAACCGCAGCGGCCCTCGAAATTGAGCCGACCGGATCCGACCATCACGCCGTCATCCACAGCGGCAGTGGCGGCAGTAACCACTGATGAGCCAGAACCCGCACCGAGATCCCCCGCGAGGCGCCCCTGGCGGTGGAAGAATTCGAAGAGGAGGAGGTGGAGGATGTGGAGGTGCGCAGCGGAACGGTCACGCCGAAGAGAGCCGCCGCTCGTGTCCACACGACGGCGCCTGTCGATGAAGCGCGGCGTGCGTCGGAGGTGGCGACGGAGCTGGCGGCAGAGGACGACTTGACCAACTCCGGCAGCAAGCTGAGCCTCGGTACGTTCCACCCGGCACCGGACCATCGCCGCCCCAGTGTTGCCGGGACGGCCACGCCCGGCAGCCCACCGGAGAGCGGCACCTTCGACTCCACGCCCTCTCCACAGCGCCACGATGATCCAGTCCCGCACCCCGCACGGGATACCGATGCGGCCACCAACCCCAACTTTCTTCCTCAGCCCCCCTCTTCCACGGGTGTGGGGCTCCCGCATGCAGTGCGCAACGACACCGTCGGGGGCCTCAACACGAGTGCGTCGCAGCCGGCAGACCCGCTCGCTGCCGTTGCGCCGGCCCCGCCACGGGAGCCGCCTGGCCGTGCCGGTGACAATCGCAGCGGCGGCACCTCCCCTCGTCGCGTTGGCGGGCACGGCGGACCCGGCAGCAGCGAACCGGCGCCGCTGCCCACCGTGAACGTTGACGCACCGGAGTCGAATTCGTTGGGGCTGCGCCGTGCCTCGCCAACGCCAGCCGCCTCGTCAGTTCTGAGTAGCGCCTCGCTGCAGGTGCGAGGGAGCTCGACGCCGGCGGTGACGGATGCTGTATCGAGTCTGCCCCCCACGCCGCGAAGTCGTAGTGACCAGTCCGCTGCACACAGCCGTAGCGACTCAACGGTGAACGTCTCCGCCACGTCGGACGCGGCGGCGGCGAAGCGGCGAGAGGATGTGGCGCGGATTTTGGAGCGCATTCGGGCGAAGCGGGAGCAGGAGCCGAGGTCCGCCTCGGGCTCTCCAACGACGGCGACGGTGGCAAGCCCGACGTCGTCTTCACGTCCGAACAGTGAGGATCCGTCTTCTATTGCGGAGTAGAGGAAGGAGGGGGGAGGGCGAAGTTGGAAGCGATGCTAGAGATCGTTGATGGTGTGGGTGCGCTTACTAGAAGAGATGCGCGTTATATATATATTCTTGTGGACTCAGGTGGTACAAGGCGGTAACATCTGGATTATGGTTGATGCTGGGTGCGGTGGCGGTTACAGCATCTTTTTTTCTCTTTCTACTTAGATGATGAACATGTTGCATTACCCATATATTTATTTCCCCTTCTTGTCCTTGAATTGAGCTTTACTTTGCTGTGCTCTTTGCACTTTTTTCCGCATTCAATGCATGGGTTTTTGCGTAAACAGCATTGCCTTCTTCGGCTTCGCACCTCATTACACCTTTGCGCTGATGATGATGCCGGCAGGTGAGCTCGGCTGCCTCCCGTTTTTTTTTAGGGGGAGGGGGGATGGGCCTTTCTGTTGGCCAGTTAATGGAGCGTGTTGCGTTGGTGGGGGTATACATTTCTTTTTGCTTAATGTTCCTTTTTTTACTGTTATGCACTTCGTTTGGTTATTAGAATAGAGCACAATAAATATGTATACAGATCTTTGTACCGTGCGTACCTGCAGCACTGCGTTGCGCTGGCAAAGATGGCGAGTGTAGCTGTCTCAATTCGAGTTCGTGTCATGACCTTTTGTATTGTAGTCGCGCACCTGCCGTAATTCTCGATTCTGAATAAAGGAAGATGGAGAGAGACGCAGAAGCTGAAAGCCCATCCCCTTTACTGGCGAGCGGTGCTGAGCCCTAAACTCTATTCTTTCTCCTCACTATCCAACTCCACCACGCTGATGATTTCCTTCATTTGCTCTCTTTCCGCGTATTACTATCACCCACATGCACACCTTGTGGTGTACTTTATTATTCTTATGCATAGCTCAGTGCTCAGTTTTGCGAAGCCGCTGACAGCAGGTGGTGGCCCGCTCGAGCAACTCGTAGGCGAACCGCACCCCCGCTGCATTGGCGCTTCTGCGTTCGCCTCTTCCCATCGAACGTTGCAGTTTCCAAAAGACTTTGTACTTATCCTTCTCTTTTTGCTATTGTTTGTGGTGCCGCTTCACTGTGTTGTACATGCATAGACTGCCGTGACGCGCCGAAACCCACCGGAGAAAGCTCTCTGTCTTTTCCTGTCTTTGCACCGCCATTATTTTTGTTTCTCTCCCTTATTTCATGTATTGCGCTTCCATAGACTTTAGAATCATTTGTATCGCTTCATCATTTCTGCAAAAGAAGGAAAAAGAAAAGCAACTAGCGCGATGAACACCTCTGCTGACGTCGGCCACACCTCCCTAGCAGATGTGGACTCGATCGACACGCCACCACGCGTAACGCCAGCGTCGTCGCCGCTACCAAGAGCGACGACAGTGACTTCAAGAAAGGAAAGCTCTAAGAAGCCGCACCGCGCTGGCGACGACATGGAGGATATATTTGACTCCCAAGCGTCATCCACTGCCGCCTCGACAGGGCGTCAGGCACCTGCAAAAGAAGTCTCGCGTGGTGGCCACGCTGCGCCGCATGGCACAACGGCGAGGGAGGGCAGCGGCGACAGCGCCACAACCGTCACGGCCTCCGCCACCGGCAGCACAGTAGCACGCACCCGCGTCCCTTCAAAAGAAAACTTGTACGGCCATCGCAGCCACAGCAAGAAAAGTCCAACGCAGCGAACTAGGTCACCGAACGTGCAGCGCGGCGCGCCGCAGTGGGGCAAGGTGAGCAGCCCCGCAACGCTGCCGTATTCAACGCACCCATCCACGCCGGCGCTGGCCCAACAGTACGGCGCACACATGACGGCAGATCAACCCCCAAATGAGATAAACACACCGACTCCGCACGTCAAGGGCCGCACAGCGGAGCACATCCTAAAAACTGAACGCGATCCAGCGGTGAGCACGGACGCGCTGCTGCGGCGCATGAAGGACAAAGAAAAGGAATTTGACGAAAAGATCCACACGATCCACAACACGTTTCAAAATGCAGGTGAGCAGCTCGTGGTGCGGGACGGTATTATCGCCCAGCTGCAGGACGACCTCGCCCAGCTGCGCTCGGAAGCTAGTCACGTTCGCAAAGACTATCAAACCCGTGAGGAGACGCTGCTGTTGCGGGTGGAGGACATGATGCGAGAGCTGCAAGAGGAGCAGACGCGCACAAAGCAGCATCGTCGAGCGGCGGATGAAGAGGCGAGGCAGCTGCGAGCAGCGCTGAACACCGCTGACAAGCAGTTGGCCCAGCAGCAGCGCGTGTCGGATGACCTTCTTCGTCAACTCCGCACCAGCGATAAGGCGTTACAGGAAGAGAAAGCAAAGCACGCGGCGGCACTGCAGGACAGCCGGCAGATCTACGAAGATAAGCTAACGGAGCTTCAGCGGGTGCACAGTGCGGTGGGGAAGGAGCTTGTCAAGGCACAGACGCGCAGCGAGGAGGCAGAAAAGGACCGTGCGGAGTGTCAGGCGAAGCTGCTCGAGCACGAGTTGGACAGTCGACGTCAGCGGTCTGGTGATTCGCGGAAAACGAAGACGCTCGTCACCGAGAACGACGCCTTGCGAGAGGAGGTGGAGGCGGTTCAGCTCAGCATGGCGCGACTCCTGCTGCTCATGTCTGAAGTTCCCGCCCTCGCCGATTATCTTCAGTGGAACGAGCTGAGCAGCAAGTTCGTCTTCTTAGGCTACCCGACCCAGTACTTCGCGGATGGAAATGCGGGGAACGGGTTTCGCACGATGAGTACGTCTGGCCGTGGCAAGTCAACGCGCAGCCAGCGTAACGACAGCCGTCAAACCTCACCAGCCCGAAGACGTGCGGGTGGCATCTCCTCTCGCTCTGCGGAATATCGTAGCGGCCTCGACTACAGCGGGGTGCATCTCAGCCCTTCTTCCTCCTCTGCTGCCGCTTCTCCCTACTATCAAGATGTGAACTTTTCCGGCAGCTCGTTTATTGGGACCGGGGTTGAGGACGGCGTGTACGCGGGCGTCGCCTCGTCGCTCTCCAAGAATGTGTGGCTCAGCGGCCGCTGGGCTCAGCAAATGATGGACATTATCGCGGCAGAAAACATATTTACCCGACTGAAGCGAATTAAGCTGCTGGAGCTGGAGGAGGCGGCGCAGTTGAGTGTGCAGCTGCCTTCTGCGCGTGACGTCCTCGAAGGCCGGCGGCCAGAAAAAGACTACTGGATACCGTACGACGTCTTCATCGAGGCTCAGAAGTTCAAGAACAAGTACTACCCGAAGCTGCCCGCCATGTCCCACTTTTACCCGTTTCTGATTCAGCTGAACAGGATTTGGCGCGCCAAGCTGCAGGATCGCCTGCGTGTGCGACAAGACGACAGAAGGCGACCCGTGTCGCGTCAGCGATCGGCGGTGGCCGACTCGCGCAGCCCCCATCGCCGCCGCGCGGGGGACACGACCAACGAGGGCGAGGTGAGCATCCGGACGACGAGTCGGAGTGTAACCGCCTCCCACCTCGATGCTCATCGGCCCGAAGAGCTGCTCAGCGAACTCGTTCACTGCGAAGCCTGTCTCAATGAGATTCAAGAGGAGCACCATCGCCTGCGTCGCGATGTGCGCCTTCATGTCAGCAGTCAGAAAACACGACAGCTGTTCCATCAGTACGATGAGCTGATCTGCAGAGCACACCGTAGTTTTGGACATATGCTCCGACTCGCCGATGAGCTGTACAGTGACAGCAGCAGCGCCGCCAACAGACAGGCGGTAACAGGCGAGGGCGACCGCGCGCAAGCGAGAGCAGCGGAGTCGCTGCGCGATGCACAACGGCAGGCGCAAATGGCGGCTGACATTGCCGACGCGGAAGATGCGCGGGATCACCTGCTCTGCGTAGTCGAGCGCACCTGCGAGCGTGTCTGTGACGTGGGCGACTCTTTGAGTACGCGGATGGTGTCCTACTACAGCGATTTGCACCAGCTCATTCATATTCTTCACGATCACCTTCGTCAACTTCGCGCGCGAGGCGACACAAATGGCGAAGATAATAGCAGCAGCACCAGCACCGTCAGCAGCAACAACAACGGCGATACGCAAGGTGCTGGTGGCGGTGCCACGAAACAGGCAAGAAGACGAAAGGAAAGAAACGTGGAGCTGTCGCACGAACTCCGCCGTGCGCTTCTTGAGCAGTACGGCACCACCGAAGCGTTGCGTAACGACGGCGCATCTGCGACCTTATCACCTGCATCGGGCGCTATTGGCGTCGACTCCTTGCTGAAGTTGGCTGCCAGTGTGCTTGACTTTGGGAATGAAGTGCGCAAAGAGGTCGCCGATGCGAGTGCCGCCCTGCGCAACATCGCTGAACAGGCCATGCATGAGGCGGATCCGCTCCAGGAAGATGCCTGAGGTTAGTTTTTCTCTCGTTTTGAGGGTGCCCTTTTCCTTCGTCGACGGTGATGTTGTGTCTTACGGATTGGGCTTGGCAGCGGATGCCGTGAAACCCTTGCGACGAAAAACCCCACTCTTTTTGATTTTTGATAATAGATGCATCCCCCCTCCCCCGCCTCCACACAACAGCAGCAGAAAAAGAAGCCGGTGAACAACCTAACTGGTTTGCAAACCCTTAGCGTGTTGCAGCGTCTTCTATCTGTGCGTCTCCAAGCGGTGCTTATCGAAAAGCGGGAGAAGCGAGCTGACCTTTTTTTCTTCTCCGGCACCGCAAAGCGCAACAAAGATGTCCACTTCAACCCGCACCAGCAATGAAGGAGGTGTTCAAGCCACAAAAAAAAGCAAAGCTTCACTCCCTTATTCCCGTGGTCTCCTTCTGTTTTTCCCTCTTTCTGCGACATGGATGCACATTCTCGTCTCTTCTTTTATATGAAGCGTATCTCCTGATCATCAAAGGTGGTTTTCTTGTCCAGCACTGTTTTAACATCGTTATTCTTCTAAAAAGGAAAAGAACTCTACTTCCACTCTATCGTACCAAAGATTATCAACATCAACGCCGCTCTCCGTGTCAACTCATACGTGGCATCGTTGGTGGACTCTTCTATATATTTGTTTATCACCTGCTGGTAGCACGTGCACAAACAAAAAGAACGCGCAGACGTTACAACAATGAGCTCGCAGAGGCACCACGCACGTTTCGGAGCGGATCAACTAGCCTGCATTGCTTCCTACTTCTCGTCCGCCTCTCAGCGGCGCCAGCAACAGCCGCACGGCCGCCTGCCACTCGCCTGGGTGGCCGCCTCCCCCTCCGCGCGACTTGTGGCGGAGCAGCGCAACGCATGGGTGGTGCTTCCGTTTGATTCCACCGTCTTAGCAGGCAACCCCTACGCACTGGACGAGAATGAGGATAACGCCTTTGGTGTTGCACTGGCCAACGCGACCACGCCACTTTTTATTTTGAACGAAGCGCTCGGCCTCGGAGCAGCAGCAGATGGCTGTAAGGGTGGCGCACCGACGACGGCAGAGTTGAGCGACAAGCCCGCCTCGCCCACCTCTACTTCTGCGAAGGCCGTATCGTGGATTAGCCAGGCGACGGAAAGCCTCGCGGATGTGAACCATGCGGCTGCTCCGGTAAAGACACAAAAGCCTGCCTTTTGGGGCACCTCACGGGCGAAGCCGCCGGCACAGAAGTCGACGCGGCCCAGCACGGGCGTCCGAGGATCGCGGGTGGAGGACCCGCTCGAGGAAGCCCACAGTTGTGGGGTGCACGTTGGAGGGCTGACGACGGTGTTGATCTCCGGTGTGCACCTTTATGAGAAGAGCCTTTTGACCAAGTCGCGTGCGTCGCGGCCCTCTCAGGATTCCGCTCCGAAGCAGCCCACTAATGCTTCGCCCCATACCAGCAAGCAGCGAATAAACCCTTCCGCAACGCTTTTGTTTCCCTCCACCACGTGCTGCGGCGGGTCCGTGTCGTCGCTGCTCGCGGTGCCGCCCAACGCCGCCGTCTACGACGCAATCCTCACAGATGGTGCCGGTCCCGACTCCCTCACTGCATCCCAGGTCAACAGGTCTAACCTGTTCCGCGACGGTGCGGAGCTGCACGAGGACGACGGCGGCGCCGAGGATGAGACGGCGCACGACCCGCAGACGGCCGCCTCCGTGTACACGGTGCAACAAGTGAATAAGCTGCACAGGCAAGTGCGTGACGGAGACGTCGCTGATGCCTTCACCACGGTGTGGTATCGTCACGTCTTCGTGGACGCCGAAGAGGTGACCGCCAACGTGCTGTGCGGGGTGTCGCAGTGGTGGTTGCAGCGACCGGTGCGCGTACACGAGCTGCCGACAACCAAGGTTTCTAATCTACAGCAACAGCATCGCGACGAGGCGGCAGCGCAGCCGTCTCTGCTCAAAGCACCGGCGCTGTACGTCAAGTTTGTGGTGGACATCGGCGCGGATCTCTGGTGGCCACACCGCCTCCTCTCTGTCGTGCGTCATCGCTTTGCAGAACACCGCTGGCACTCCGTCGCACTGGTGCGGTGGGTGGTGCTGCTGTGGCTGCTGCTGTCGGTGGTGCTCGAGAGCGTTGTGCACGGTGTGCCGAAGATACCCACCCGCCACGCGGCTTCCGCGCAGCAAGACGCGGCGGACCTTGTTGCGTCGTTCTACCGCATGGGCGAGACGTACGGTGGACAGGACCAGCTGGCGGCCTTGGATGTGAGCCACACAAGCACCCGTGGCGTTCACCTGCTCGCGTGCGCGCTGGGTAAGGTGCTGGGCGCGTGTACAGGCATTGTGCGGGAAGAGAAAGACGCACGGCTGTCGAGCCGGCCTGACCACTTTGGAGCGCTGGACGTTGCGGGCTGCATTCAACTGCATCACCGGCAGGGCGAGATGCACCTGCTCGCGGCGCACCTCAAAGCGCTTCGCGAGTGTTCCGCGAAGCAGGCGCGAGCGGCACCGTCAGCCGCTCCGTCCTGTCCTCTGCCGCTGGTGAACCTGCTCATGATGCTCTCTCTTGACGATGTAAAGGTGCGTGCGACGCGGTCAACGACGGGGCTGGCCCTTGCCCTGCTGAGTCACCACGGCGACCTTACCTGGATAAGCGGTGCGGGCTGCAGCCTTGACAACGCCGCGCTGCACGAGCTGGGCAAGTACGCGCTGCTCGTCGAAGCGGTGACCGCGACACAGCCGTTGCATTGCGGTAGCGCAGCGACCCATCGCCCGTCCGCGTGTTCGATTTGTGCGATGGACCTGACGAGTGCGCTCAGCCTGGACGACTTGAACCCTGTCGCGTACCTCCCGCAGTTGGAGCAGCTGTTGGTGCCCTTCACGTACGTGATCGACGATGGAGTGGCGCGGCTCGACGGCCACACCTACCCACAGGACCTGCGTGACTTCCTCGCTCTGTGCCCGGAGGAGAAGATGTCGACCTTGGAGGAGCCCACCCAAGCAGTCGTGAGGGAGGGGATGCAGGCGCTACAACAGCTCACCACCGTCTCCTCCGACAGCACTGCATCTTCACGGGCACCAAACACGAGCCGGAAAGCATCCAGGGGCGACAGCAGAGCGTCGAATCCTGCTGTGGAGGCCCTGCATCAGCGCTTCCGGTCCCATCTCTATCAAGTCGACTTCACCTACTGCAGCTTCCTCTCGAGCGTGAATGGGCTAGTGAATCAGCAGCGGTTGGAGCTACTGAACTTGAGTCAAACGCGCATCAACAAGGATGGGATGTTCGCCAACGCAGAAAAGACCCGCCCTTCTTCCACCGCGCACACCCCATCCCCCCCGCTTCGCCTTTTCGTCGCGGAGATGTGCGCGCACCTCAGCGACCTGGGCGGTCTCGCGCACCTCAGCACTTTGGAGTGCATCGTCGTCCGCAGCGGGTCCCTCGGCGATGATGGACTACGCTCTGTGTGTACCAAGCGCATGGATCGCCTTCAGCTGTTGGACCTCAGCTACTGCGATCGTCTGCATCACGTGAGCTGCCTCGCCAGCTTGCCAGCCTTGGAAACCTTGATCTTGGATAGCAGCGATGTAACGCCGGCCGAGGTGCGACAGCTGCGTCAAAGTCGCTCGCTGAAGACGCTGTCCGTGCGGTTCTGTACGGGGTTTGCCTTCATTGGCAAGGACAAGGCAGAGCTGGAGGAGGTGCTGGGTAAGTTTCCCTGCCTGCAGCACTACGTGTACGAGGACCTCGTCGGCGATGACGAGCTTCGAAAGAAGAAAACATCCTAGCTGCGATCTCGTGGCGAATAGGAAAACCAAGTAGAACTCTTTTATATATAATATTGGAGGCCTCCATTTGAGCTCTGTGCTTGTGCAATCTATATGAGACGTGTGTGTGTGTGAATGACTTGCGCATGCAAATTCCGCTCTGTATTCGTACGACGTGTCCTTTTTGTTGCTGTCGTCGTTGAATTAAACTCGAATCCCCTGCACCCCGTCATCACGAATGACGGATCTGCTAGGAAGAAAGCAAAGCGATATGCTTCTCTCCTCATTTACTGCGGCCTCACGTGAATGGCTCAGCTTGTGTGTTTCAGCCACGTGTTTTGAGACCATCCAACCCTCCTTTTTCTCTCAATGTGTGATCCCATCACGTTGCCGTTATTATAGTTCAGTAACGGACACTGTTTGGTGCCTTTCCCCTTTTTTTTTTGGTTTCTCCTGCACACACACTTGGAGTTCAAACAGAACCCCTATATATAACCCAATTTTTTTTTTTGCTCTCTTCTCTTGTCAACACGCACCTCAACCTCTTTTAATGTGTTTTCTCTTGGTGCACCTGTCGTTGTTGGTGGTGATAAGGAAACTACGAAGTTCCTCTGCTGGGTAAGTAGTGTTTTCCCAGCTAGTGTCTCTCGCTTGATTGCTTTGCCACTGACATGCAACAACCATCTTTTTGTGTTCCTAGTGTTCTTGCATCACGTCGCGTCTTATCGGTGCATTTGTGGTACAACTGCGTTTTTCTCTGCTGTTCTGTCGCTTGAAGCCATCAAATACAGAAAACAGAGAAAACAGACAAATGCGGGGAAGTGATCGACTGGCCTGTCATTTTGGCGGGGTCGCTAAATGAATTGCCATCGCGTACACGTGTGGCATGATGCAGTTTTGTTGACTTTTATTTGATTCTTCAAAGAATTATAACGCTGCGTTTTCGTGGTCAGCTTCCCTCTTCCTCCTGTTTGATCGATTCCCCCTCTCCCTCCCCTCCTCCCCCCTCTCACTCACTCGCTCACGCAGTTGTGTAGTCTCATACGTATATATTGTTGGACGATTGTTGTTCCTCTAACGCTCTCCGACGTTGGAAATAGTGAGTTTAAGTGGTTGTTCTCGTCTACCCGCACATTGCATTCCTTTCCGTTTTTTTTTCTTTTTACGAGACGACAGGCCGCCGTTGAGTCTGTCCATTCTTATCAAACGTTTCCTTTGCCTTCTCTTTACCCACGAAAGTCGCATCCACCTGTGTTAGCGAGGGAGTTTCTGTCTTGAGCACTTCACCGTGACCCTGTTCTCGTCGTTCGTCTACCAAAGAAAGCACGCACGCACCCCCACCCCTCTCTCACACACACACACGTACGAAGCTCTTTGCCGCCATGGACTTTAACATGATGACTGGCGGTGGTCGCGGCATGGGCCGTCAAGCCGAAATGCAAGACGCGCGCGATACATCGGAAACGATTCAGATCTCATCGATTGCGCTGCTAAAGATGCTCATTCACGGCCGGGCGGGTGTGCCGCTGGAGGTGATGGGTCTCATGATTGGGGAGGAAATCGACGATTACACGATTCGGGTGGCGGATGTCTTCTCCATGCCGCAGACCGCCACAGGGCAGTCCGTCGAGGCGGTGGATCCAGAGTACCAGGTGCACATGCTGGACAAGCTGAAGCTGGTGGGCCGCCACGAGAACGTGGTGGGCTGGTATCATAGCCACCCCGGCTTCGGCTGCTGGCTGTCCTCGGAGGATGTGATGACCGCCGCGGGTTACGAGAACTTGACGCCGCGCAGCGTCTCCGTCGTGGTGGATCCTATTCAGTCCGTGCGTGGCAAGGTGGTGATCGACGCCTTCCGCACCATTCCGCAGGACATGCTGTCGATGCGGGCGATGGGCGAGTACGTGGAGCCGCGGCAGGTGACGTCCAACATCGGCTTCTTGTCGAAGCCCTCCGCTGTTGCCCTCTCGCACAACCTCAATCGTCAGTATTACAACCTGCCGGTGACGTTCCGCAAGAAGAACCATGAGCTGCGGCTGCTGCTCAACGTCTACCGCAAAGGGTGGCAAGAGGGCTTCAAGTTGGAGCAGGCGAAGGTCTACCAGCGCGAGACCCGCACCAGCATCCGCGAGCTCATATCGCTTGCGAAGCAGGCCGAGAAGTACATCACGCAGGGCCGCGACGAGGACGATCTTGGCAACGTGGGTCAGATCAACACCATGTCGCACCTGCAGATGGAGGCGGAGAGCGTGATTCACCGCAACCTGAACCAGTCTATCGGTGCGATGATCAACGCTGTTGTCTTTTAATGTGCGAAGGCGGAAGATGAAGCGGGTGCGCGAGTGCGAGCGAAGGTCAGAGCAGTACTCAGCAGCTGTTCCTTCTACAAACCATCTGCGCTGCCGCGTCGTGACAGCGGTGCGTGTCGGATGTGTTCCTCTTTCTTTTCCTTTTCGTTCACTGCCCGTTTCACGCACACTTGCAGTTGATATCCAGATAAATGCCTTCTTCTTCCGTTGCTTCATTCAATCAGTCGACTTTTTTTCTCGTTTCTGCGATTGTTGATTGTGTGTGTGTGTGTGTGCGTATGTGATTTGCCTCTACTTGTCTTGTGAGCCATGGCTCCACGTCTACTATTAGTTTTTGTCTGTGTGTCTCCGATCCAAACAAACAAACAAAAAACCCGAGGATAATCGTCCTCGTAGGGCAATGACGCTGATGGCGACACCCGCTGCTTTTACGGCAGGGTTTTTGACCTCGTCAACGTCGCGCTCCTTCTGATGTAGCGTACCTTCCTTTTCGCATTTGATCACGCAGACACACACACACACACACATGAAAGGAAAGCTTATACATCTCTTCTCCTTTAAACGGCACAATTGAAATCACCTCTTGTCGACCCAAAGTTTTGTGTTCTCCTCTCTTCCCCACCTCCTCTGTTGTTCAGCGACTTCTTTCCAACCTTCTCGAACCCGCTTCTCGCCCCTCTTCCGCTTCTCCCTGCTGCTATTTTTCCCATCCTTTCTCCCTTTTTTTGTTGGTTTTACCGCGTACGCTCTGATTTCTTGCTTTATGCCTGCTGTGCTTTCTAACTTGCACCGAAACGCTTCCCTTTGGTGTAGTCGTTCTTATTCTATTGCTTTCTTTTTTTCTCCGATTTCCCCACGGAAAGGTGTTCTCTACATACGCACACATACATACACATCATCTAGGTAACCTGTGGTCGTCTCTGTTTTCAGGGTTTGTAGCAGTTCTCACCCCTCTCCGAGTTAAAGTCGTCTCCCTTCTTTCTGTTTGTGTTGTTCAAACAGCTGTCCTTTTTAACCGTCCTTTTTTAAAAACCTGATTGAATGCGCAGACTGAACCCATGTATTTCTATCGATTCTGTTCGAGTCTATAAACGCATATATTCTCCGTTTTCCCTCTGCTTGCTATTTCATTGCACCGCGATCTCGCCTCGCTTCTTGCTTATTGTGTTGCTTCGAGCCACTTTTCGTGCTTTCTTTTTTCTTGCTGTTTCCGTGTAAGTGTATCCGCGTGCTTTGCTGCTCTCTTCAAGTGTACTCCCTCCTCCTTCTTTTAGCTTGAGTTGTGCTCTGTTCACGCCCCTACTATTTCTACATCCTTTCCAAACCCGCGAAGAAGAACACCCTCTCCGCCACGTGTCGTACTACGGCATGTCGGTTTTTATTCATATGGGAGCGCAAGAGCTGCTGACAGAGGGCAGCACCGTATCGACGGCGAAGCGGTCGTCCGCACACCCCACACCCTCCCCATCCCACACGGTAGACACCGCACGAACTCCCGCTGTAAAGGCAGGGAATGCAAAAGGACAAAAGAGCAGTGCGCCGGTTGCACGGCCCGCGACATCGACCGCGGAGCCGACGCGGAAAGCCCCACCGCAGCCTTCCCACACGGAAGCCAGGCGGCCTCCACTTCCACCAGTCGCCGCCCATCGCTCACCGTCTCCCTCGCCGTCCTCCTCATCCTCCTCCAGCGACTCGGACGAGAACTTCGTGTACATGCTGGACAGCGTCAAAACAGCAGAGGAGGCGATGGAGCGCGTTCGTGCGGTGCAGCAGCCCAAAGAGCGTCCCCTCTCCACGTTCTTTAGCGGTCTGCCCGGCTCCACCAGTAATCTAGCAGACTTGGTAGACGACTCTCCCAGCAAGGCGCCAGCCGCGCCGCGTGCGATGAAAGGCGGACTTCCGGCTACGATGGAGGAGTTCTACGAGTGTCCGCGGTACACCGTCTCCCTCACGGCAGCGCGTGACGCCGTCTTCTCCGATGCCCTTTCCGGCTTTCACTCCTACGTGGAGCGCGAGAAGGCGCAGCGGGAGCGGTTGCGTGCGCTGCAGCGTCCCCACCCCCATCCCCACCCACACCAGCACAGCCGCCCCTCACAACCGTCGCAGCAGCAGAACCCGCGTGCAGCCAAGTCTGACGCACGTGGTGGCCCACACAACACTTTGTTGTCCTTTTCGAGCGGTGCCACGGCGGAATGGAATGCAGCGCTGGCGGCCGCCGCCCCACCGCTATCATCATCGTCCGAGAAGACAAACGCCGCTACGGCTTCGACATCGACACCAGCGACAGCACCGATACCTTCGGCCATGGCGTCATCTTTCCCCATCCATGGAGATCCTCAAGTGCAGGAAGGCACTGCAGCCTCTGCCGGCTCCTCCAGCGAGGCGACGTCCACACCCGTCCCGTTGCTCGACACGGCGTCGCCAGCTGATGCCCCGGTGACAGGCAGCAGCACCGCCACCGTCGCGACGAGCTCTGCAAAAGACGGCGAGGCCGGCCCGCAGCACCTTTCCGCCTCCTACATGTTCATTATGCGGAGTCGCGATACGGAGGCGCTGAGTCCGGTGTCCTCCCCACGCGTCAAGCCGCAGGGCGCTGAGTTTGGCAGGCTCCCGCTCAATGAAGATAAACCGTCGGCCAAGAAGATGCCGGCCCTCGAGGACTCTGTCCCGTCGGCGGAGGTGCAGCAGGCGGAGCCAAATGATCTCGAGGCAGAAGCGCTGAAGCTACCATTACCACTACCACCACCACCGCCGCTACCACTACAGGCAGCAACGAGTGCGCCGTCGAAGCCGACATCGTCGGTCGCCACGACCTCTGCCGCAGAGGAGGCAGCAAAGCTAGAGGAGATGCAGCTGCAGACGCTTCTGCAAGAGCGCATTTATCAGCGCGCCCGCGTTCCACTCGTCTTTCGGTGCCGCTACGCCCTCGAGTTTGCGGAGACAGCGGAGGAGCACCGGCAGCGGGTGCAGATGCGCGACCACGTTCTCCACAACAACGAGCGCCTCGCCGGTCCGGGCGGACTGTCGCGTGAGATGCGTCAGCGCATCCGTGACCGGTACGTGGACCCGAACACGGTGGCCCCGGAGTGGCCGTACGTGTGGGAGCAGTTCGAGCGCGACCTCCCCCGCGAGACACTCTTCATTGAGGACACGCCGCACCACGACGCCGAGGATGCTCTGGCTGCCATCGTGAGCTACGTCGAGTACTGCTACGACACGGCTCAGCAGAACATTAAGGAGCGGTCGGAGAAGCTGCTGGCGGCTGCCAACAAGGAGAGCGGAGAAGCGGGTGAAGCAGCAGACGGGACGGCAGCCCGCGACGGTGCGGAGTTGTCGGGGTCACCGACGGCGCCGAAGTCGAAGGGGTTCTTTGAGTCCATTTTGTCCGCCGGCTCCGCCGCCATCAAGGGTGCTGTTGCGACGGTGCGGTCAAGTTTGCCAGACTTCGTCGGCGACCCTCTTCTGGCCGTCTCCGGACTCGATCCCGCGCTGTATCACGCCTCCCTCCTCTTCCCAACGGACCCGAGGGTGCGTAGTGAGAAGATTTTTGCTGCCGTGCGCGAAGTCGTGCTGGCCTCGCAGCAGTCCTTCATGGGCTTTCCGTATCAGCTTCTCTGTGAGCAGATCGGGACGGAGCGCCTCGGGCTGGCGCTGGAGGCGTTGGCGATGGACCAAGAAAACGATGACGATGAGGACGACGTGGAGGAGAACAGCCCAGCCGATGCGCCGCTGCACAGTTCGAACCGGCCGCCGCCGCAGCGGACCTCAGCGGAGGTCTCCGCTCCAATTCCGATTGGCGGCGCAGACGAGCCTGACGACGAGAGGAAAAAGAACGCCTCGATCTCCTCGTGCCGGTCCTCCATGCCGAGTTCGCGGGTGGTTCGAATCTACCAAAGCTTCTCCTCGCCGACACTGCGGACGGACAACGAGGACGGTCGACGGCGTCGCGGGCACTTCCCGCACGGCATCGATGAATGGAGCGTCTCGCCGTCCTCGTCGTCGTCGTCGCACGCCTCTGATGTCGTCTGCTCCCCCTTTTCGCCGGAGACGGCGACGGGGGCATCTGCTGCCAAGGGAATACGTAAGGCGAATACCGACCGCCGCGAGAGAGCGCACGACACAGCAGCAACGGGAGAAGCAGAAAACGAAGGGGAGAAGCCACGGCTGGAGGCCGCCCGACCCCCGCCACTGGAGCATCTCGTCACGAACCACCTTGTGCCCAACACAGCTGCCTCCGCTCCGCCGCCCGCTGCGCCGGCCACCAAGCAGCAGCCGCCTGCGCCGCGCAAGGGCAAACTGGCGCAGCGCCGCCGTGAGCGCCGACGCCGCCGCCGCGGCCAGCTGCCCCTCCTCGTCGGTGAGCCGCGTCCGCACGAGTTCGCTATGTTTCTCGACATCGTCCGTGCGCGCGTCGCGGCGAAGGCGGCGAAGGAGGAGCGGAGGGAGCGGGCACGGCGGCGACGGGAGCAGGCGCAGCGGCTGGTGGAGCGCCAACAAGGGCAGCGGCACAGCGCACCGGGCTCTCGCGCTGCCTCACGCGGCACCTCGTCGGCATCCCTTGATGCGATGACGAAGACACACGGAGATGCTAGGGATGCCGACGCTGCAGCGCCGTCCCCTGCACCCGCAAAGACATGCGCCTTGTTCCGCGAAGACGTGGAGGGGTCTGCGTACCTGCTACCGACACATCCCGCAGCAATGAAGACGGCTGTTGCTGCGCAGATGCCAAAGTCACCTCTCTCCAACTCGCTTGGGCGGCAGGTGATGCCAGCTGAAACCCGCGGTATGCGAATTCGGCTCTTTTTTGACAAGCCGCGCAACGTCCCTGTGGTGGTGGTGAACAAGCTGTTCCGCCTGTTTACGGTTCCAGGGGTGCGAGGGCTAACCTCGTCCTCAGAGGATGAGGCAGAGAAAGAGGGGATGGCGCTGAGCACGCGCAGCAGCGCAGTGGACGGTCAAGGTACCACACAACGTAACGGCCGAAGGTGTAAGTACTCGGAAAAGAGTCTGTTGCTCTTGATCCAAGTACAGTTCTCTCTCTTTACGAAGGACGAGACCGAGGTGCGGTGGAAGTGGTGGAAGGTGTAGCTTTCGGTCTCGAATTATTTGTGCGTTGTTCACGGTTGCCTAACCTGATCTCTTCAGCTGATAAGCCTTTTTTGGCTTTCCGCCCTGCTCCTCGTTGTTTCTCTCTCTCTTAGTTTCTCTGACAAGTATGCTGCAACTCGACGCTGGCTCGGTTTTTTTTTACTTTCCTTCTTTGCACGCTCCATTAAGGAGATCGACACTCGGCTCGCTAATTCCTCTTTCCTCCGTGTCTGAGTGACTTCTCTCTCTCTCTCTCCGCACCGCCTCCGTTGCGCATTAGGTGAAGCACTGCCTCCTTTCTTTTCTTGGTTTTTCTTGTCGGTGATAGGAGCATCGAGGGAATGGTGTCCCTCGAAGCTTCTTACTTATATCCAGCGAAGCCTCACTTTGTGAAGAAAAACGAAGAAGTTTTGCGCTTCTCTTTTATGAAGGCGTACGACAGAACGAAAGAAAAAACGCCGGGAGATGAATCGAAAGTTTCATGCTGCGTACTCTCCCTCGCCCTCTCTCCTCTCTCCACCCTTCTCGTCGACCTCTCTTCTGGAAAGGCGTTTCTTTCTTTCTTCCTTTCCCCGCCACATCGAATTCTGCTTACTCGCACAGACAATGTTCACACATCACACTCCGCAGCCCATATCTGAGGAGTAGGGGCACCGGCGAGGACACGCTTCAGCAGCTGTCCTTTCTAAGATTGAGCCGCTGGAAGTAAGACACACGTTTTGCCAACAGGGGAAAAGTTGCCAGGACACGTACTTGGTATCAGAAACAAACTTCGGCGTATCCGTGTCTAAGGGCCGGGATACGGCACCCTCGCGGACCGTAAAAAACTGTATACCACCCATCGTCGATGTCCACTATGGACACCAGCACGGCGCCGCCGCTCGAAAGTTCCTCGAGAACTCTACCTCGCGGGTCACAGTCTCTCAAGACCTCGACGACTCTCGCTCCTTCTGGGAGCAGGAGCGTTTCTCGCTATCGCAGCGGCACATGTCCGGTCTACGGGCTGTGATGCAGCACCGACTTGACCTCGAGAAGCTGCGGTCGGATCTCGCGTTTGAATGCCAGGATCTACTGTACCAGCACGCCCTCGAGTCGCTGGCGCTTAGCCACCAGGCGACGGAGCAGCGGATGGCGCTGGAGTACGAGCAGCGTGTTATCAGCGATGGGAGACGACGGTGCGAGCAGCTCCGGGGAGAGGTAAGGCACCAAAGAGCCGCGGTGGAAGACTGCCAGAAACAACTGGCGGCTCAGGAAAAGAGCCAGGCAGCCGCGAGGCAAGCGTTTGAGGAAAGCTGGGAGCGTTACCGCTTCGAGACCGAAGAGAAACGGCGCTCTTCACAAGAGAACGCGCCGTCGACTCCCCGCTGCAAAGCCAGCGAGCTCCCCCGGTACGGTCGGGGCTCAAGAGTAACTTCCTACCCCCCCCCCCCCACAAAGCGAGTTCGGCATACCGCGTTTGGCTCGGACGATGATTTGAAAGAGCCGAATTTTCCCATCTTTGCGAAGCTGCACAAGGTCAACACGTGGCTGCCGCATCCTACTCCCCGCAACACACCTCAGCCCAGCGGGTCGTTTTTGCCGTAGAGGAGGCTGTTGGCGTTGCGCGTTGCCAGAAGAATGGATGCGTCGTTCAGGGTCGCAACAGGGAGGCCGGGGGCGGGTGCGATGCATTTGGCGCCCCTGCGGCCTCCTGTTTTTTCCCCGCGAACAACAGTTCTCCGTCTTGTGGCCGTAGCACTGCAATGCGAGCAGTACATGCCGGCGGCGGAGTTTCGAGGGTGTTGCGCCGGGGAGGTCGAGCGGGATCGGGGGCTGGCCTGTGTTCCTCGCCTTTTTGGCGCGTCCTTCGGGCGCTTGGAGAGGGGCTTGCTTCTGGCGACGGCAGCCAGGAGAACATCATCCGGATCTGCCTCAACATCCACCAGCGTCTGGATGGACTTGACGTCGAGCGAGGGGGTCGTGCAGCTTCATCCCCGTGAGGCGACGCTGGTGCAGAAGCGACTGCCCCAGATCCGCGCAGCTCATCCGTTGGAGCAGCGCTGCTTCGCTATTCCCATGGCCCACATGCGGAGCTGCTCGTACATCCCTATCGACACGAGGTCTGTCGTGGCGGGGCCGGTCATGTATTTGCTGCGTAGCTCGAGCAGGAACAGTTCTTCTCGATTGTGCCGCCGTTCCAAAAAGAGCGCAGTTAGATCACAACCGAGCGGCACGTTACGTACGAATTGCAGGTTACGATGCCCAGCTGTTGTGACAGGTGTAGCGGACGGTCAAACCACACTTGGAAGTCTCGCAGACAAGTTTGTCCGCAAGTGCACCGCATCTCCTCCCCCATCGCGACATGGCCATAGCAGATTTAGAAGTCTTCGTCTGGCGCGCATTCTTTGCCGCCGCGGTCCTCGACATTGCAATGATCGACTACTATTCTATGCGAAAAATCATTCAGCGCCGTTTGTCAGCAGTGAATCCGAAGGCTCAAGCGAGTGACCCAGAGCGCCGCCCACTGCGAAAACACACTGCGGTTAGCCAAAGAATTGTTTACGGTCATCACTACAAACGCGGGAAGACGGATGGAGAAGAGTCTCGGCTCACCAACGGCGGTGTTGGCGACCGGCACGTCTCTCTTCGGGCTAGAGTGCAGTTTTCCTGCCCCAACACGGACACCCGCTAGTCGTGGCAGGAAGATGGTCCACCAAGCCACGCCTTCTCGTGGAGGCAGAAGCACGGGCTGCCCGTCTAGCCTTCGAAGCGTTGGCGGCCCATGCCGCGCATCGGGCGGTGTGTGTGTTCATCGACAACACGTCTGTACAGCTTTCGCTGAAGAAGCGCCTTACGAAGTCCGAAGCCCTGGCGGTCGCGCCGCAGTACATTTTCAGATTCACGCGCTCACATCGCGTGAATGCAACGTATCGGTACATTCGCTCTGCGATAAATCCTGCGGATGCGCCATCGCGAGGGCGACCGCTTACAGCGCCTGACTGGGCGAAGGAGAGAGGTAGAAATGCAGACGATCCGAGTCTGCAAGAATCTCCCTTTCGTAAAGTTCTAATAGTTTCTCTTATAAAAGAATACTAAACGCTGTCAACCCATAAGCGGGAAAAAAAAACGGATACACGGGATGTAGTGACGCATGTTTACATTGTACTTGTTTTTCTTCTTTTTTCTGTCCTTCCATCCTGTATAGAGAGTAGTGGACCAGTTTTTTTCCGCACTCACGCCGGAAGCATAAAGGCATCGCGAGACTGTTTTCGAGGTGTGTGTGTGTGTGGGGCGGGGGGGGTAGTGTGTGTGCACTAACCGAATTGCATGCTTTTCTCACTTTGGAAACGTTCCTTATTAGCAGTGAAAGAAATACACATGCTTGTTTTCGCGTTGTTGACCAACACATTTGTTGAGCAACTCGATGGTGGATGATGTCAAAGACGCCTGCTCGTTTCAAGAACCTCAGCCGTAATTGTTTTAGAGCGAACTTCTGAATACCTCTTTCTTTCGTCTGCGCCTGACCGGACTGTAGGTCGTTTGTGCACCGCTTCTGACGACCGTTGCACGCGTCACATTTGTGTGTAACTTTAATCAAGCGCCGTAGCTGCGTCGTTTCGTAGCCTATTTCATTCTCTGCTTCATCATCTCTATCTCTCTCTGTTTTATCTCTTACACAACACACTCTTTTTTTTTCGCATTGGGAACAACACACTTCGTTCTTCTCTGCCTGTACAATTCGTTTTGACGTCACTTCCCTTTCAAAGTTGTCTCCTCAATAATCGGAAATCAGCGCAAGCGCGCCGTTTTTATCCGTACAAGTAAAGCTAAGAAAAAAGCTAAACGTGTTGAAGCCGTCCCCTACAGCGGAATACCGTCCTTGTTGCTTTTTGCCGCCTGTCAGTATCTGTGAAGTGTCTTTTTTTTCCCTTTAAACGTTCGTGTGTGTGTGTGTGTGTTATTTATCACCCGCGTAGACGTGACACAAACAGCACTGCTGCAGCACTATTGAAACCGCAGAACCCCTCTATTGTTGTACGAGCAGAATCCCCATTTATTTGTGTCTCATCGCTAGTTGTTCTATTTTTCCCTAAACCCCTTCGTTTCGTTGATAGCCATTTCGCTACCCTATTCTACGCATCCCCATCACTTGTGATCACTTGAGCTGCGCGGTGTGTTTGACTTTTCGCTTTTATTTTGGCTTCTCTTCTTCCGCTTTTTGCGGGTTTCGACCGCATTTCTCAACACTCAAATACATAAATATATATCTTTTCGAAAACAAAACCTACTGAGCTAAATTGGTTGTCGAAGCGAGGGAGAAAGGTGGAAGTTAACTTAGATTCTTTTCAATTCCCTCTCTCTCTCCCCAACAACTACAAGCAAACAAACACACAAAAAAAGAGCTACAGGAGTCATCGTTCGCAAATTGCTGTGTGCTGGGCTTCTCATCTTCCCTTTTCGTTTTTTGTTGTTGTTGAAGACTTCAGCTTGCAAAACAACGAACACGATACGCCTAGCCACGTACGAATACGCACACACACATATATATACTATTGAATACTGTAGAGGTCTGCGCTACACGGAAGCGAATCATTCCCACACCGGAAAACCGCGGCCACCACGATACGTTGTTTTTTCCCTCTTTCTCTATTGTATTATTGTTTGACTTGGGGAAACTCGGGACATATCAAAAGAGTTCACCATTGCGGTTTCTTGTCTCGCCAGCATGCCCGTCACTGTCAGCAAGAAACTTGTGAGCAAGGAAGTCGCGACTCCGAGCCCGCGGTCGTCCTTTCTCCTCCACGGCGTCCTCCGGCGGATCCCTGGCTACCTCTTCTTTCTCATTCACCTCTGCTTCATTCACATTCTGTGGGGCCATCTCGTGGATGAACTCTTCACCGCTTCTCTTACCCTTCGTGCCGGCAACGCTAGCACGACGGAGACGGTGGCCAGCGCCGTTGTCGGCCTCTGCGACGTATTCCGCCGCTCCGTTGACCAGACGCTAGGGTACGGGTTGAAGGATGCACTGCGAACCAAAAGCGGTCGCACCAAGTCCGGCACCGTCACCATCGCACGGGATTGCCTCCTCTACCTCTGGAAGTCGCCGTCCAGCATGGTCTTCACCTTCGGCCTGGCCTTCGTTAGCTTCAACCTCCTCCTCACCGCCGCCCGCGTCGTTGGAGCGCTGTTCACGAGTATTACGTCGCCGTGTCGCTCGAACAGCCGCCTTCAGCGCGGCGGCTCGCGGCGGGCGGTCCCGCTGCACATCATCGCCCGCTACGGCAACGGCTACGACAGCGTGCTGCGCTTTTTTCTCGCTGCGGTGGAGATGACGTGGTTCATGAGCTACCCGGTCATGAACTCCGCTACTGTCTTAAAAAACACGGTGGACGCGGTGGCGCAGGCGGGACGGCAGACGGAGCCCACGTACGCCTCGCTCCGCCAACTGCAAGCGCGCCAGCAGTCCATCGCGAGCTTTCAAATTGAAGCGTCGTTGATGCTTCCACCGCAGCTCTTCGACGACGCTGCCGAAGCCGTCGCCGCGGGCCGCTTCGTGCTGTTGTTTGTGAAGACGGTGTTGGGTCTGGTGCTGGCCGTGGATGCGCAGCGCCTTTTCCACGCCTTCGTCGGTGTGCGCCCTCTCGCTATCCCCAATGGGTGGGAGCGCTGCCCTGTGTGTGGAGCGCTGTGGAAGAAGTCACGCACCGCGAAGGATGAGGTGCACCTCTGCCCCATCATCTTCGCCACCAAACCGCTGACCGCGTCCTCCTCGTCCGACTCAGGTGAGGAACAAACCACAGCAGGCGAAGACGGGGCAGCGGCGACCGATGCTACCGGTGAGAAGCTGTTGCACGATAAAAGTTCCGAGGCGCAGCGCGTGCTGCGTACGCCGGAGGGCGGCGTGCGGCCCGGTGACGCCTTCCCCGACCCGAATTACGTCTCCTATTGGTCCTTCCTCACCGACAGCTGGCTCAGCCCGCTGTTGAACTTCACGCTGCTGGCGCCTTTCTCCACCTTTTCCCCGCCCTCTATTTCCTCCATCACCGACGACGGCCGCGGACACTGGAAGAGCCTTCTGCGCATTGTGGACCGCCTGCCACGCATGCCCCACAACATGCGCACCCGCGACAACATCGACGAGCCGGCGTGGGACCTGTGGCAGCGTCGAGGCGAGGCCCCGCGGCCTGGCGAGGTGAGCCGCCTGGAGACGACGTTCATGTCCGTCACGGCCCCCATCCGCCACCTCCTCGGCCGCGCGTTCGCCATCTTCTTTCTCCCCGCCCCGCCCCCCGCGGACGACGCCAAGACGGCCGGTGACGGTCGCACTGCGAAGCCGCCGGCGCGCAAAGGCTACGCCCTCTTCCGCATTTTCCTGCGTCACCCCAGCGGCCGTGAGTTTGTCTACTTGTGTGCGCCGTTGAAGATCACGCAAGATTTGCTTGCCCTTGTCGCACCGCGCGTGGTGAAGTCGCTTGTTTCCTTCTTGAAGGAGGTGAGCATGGCGAACGTCAGCACGCGGCAGTCGTACCTTGGCAACGGGCTTCTTATCTGCTTGAGTTTGATCCTAGCTGTCTCGCTGCAGGCGCTCTTCTTCCAGGCCTACCTCCGGCATCTCTACACCTCCTCGTTGAAGGCCTCCTCGGCCCTGAAAACGCTGCTGCTCCGTCAGTCGCTGGAGACTCCGCTGGCGTACACAGGTGGCGGGAAGAAGAGTGAGGGCGCGAAACCAGCGCATAGTCCGCTGAGCCCCAACGAGCGCTCCCCCAAAAGTCCCCCGGAGGACGGGAAGAGGAGGAAAAAAAGCTCGCCAGCGACGCCGCTCGGCAAGCCCACATCCGAGGCCGCCGCCGCCGTTGCCGCCGCGCAGTCCAGCGTGCTGTCGCGCGAAGGCGAAGTTATGTCACTGCTGACGGTGGACACGACGAACTGCGGCGACTGCATCATCTTCCTGCACAACGTGTGGGGGCACCCCTTCGTCATCGTCTCCTCCTTGCTGAGCATGTACAGCTATGTGGGCCTCTTCTCCACCCTCGCCACCTTCGCCGCCTTAATCGCCCTCATCCCACTAAACCGTGGCAGCGCCGCCCGCGTGCGCACGGCCCAGCAGCAGGCGAAGAACAACGAGTCCCGCCTGAGCGATCTCACGGCGGCCGTGTCGTCGATGCGCACCGTCAAGTCGATGGCGCTCGAGGAGTGCCTCGTGGAGCGTCTGGAGGAGGCGCGCGAGAAGGAGAGCGATGGGATGAAGCGCGTCGGCCGTGCCGAGAGCGTCGCGGCGGCGCAGACAGAGGTGACGACGCTATTGGTGGCGCTGGTCTGCTGCGGCTCCTACCTGCTCACGGGTGGCGCGATGGACGCATCGGTGCTCGTGCCTACCATGGCGGCGCTGCAGGTCATGCGCTTTCCGGTGTGGACCCTGCCACACCTCTACTCGCAGGTATCGCGCGGGTACACGTCGATGCTGCGGATTGAGCGCTACCTGACGGAGCACGAGACCGGTGAGGCAGCCAAGGAGGCGTACATCGCACAACACAGACTCCTGGAGGTGGAGGAGGGTGCCACGCCCAAGTCGACCAAAGCGGCTGCGACGAAGGCACTCGCCCCGGTCAGGGTCGGTGAGGTACGGTGCGAGTGCAGCACCTTCGCGTGGAACACGCAGAAGGCGCTCGAGGAGAAGACGTCGTTTTTAGACACGATGTCCAGGTCGCCGAGCGCCCCGTTCGATGCGGTGGGCAGTCCGCCAGCGGATGGGAGCACGCAATCGTTCCCATCTTTCAGCAGCAGCTGCGGCAGCCTGCGGCAGAGCTCCTCGAGCACCGTCGTGCTGCACGACATTGCCCTTGACGTCGCGCCGGGCGAGTTTGTCGTGATCCAGGGCTCCACCGGGTCCGGCAAGAGTGCGCTGCTTCTCGCCATGCTGAGGGAGCTGTACGTGATGCCAAACGAGATTCTGCCTGGTGGCTCCCCGAGCGCGTCGTCTTCTTTGTCCCCCACTGTCGGCGTTCTCACCCTCAGCTCCGGCTTCCGCGTCGGCGGTCGTGTGGCCTACTGTGCGGAAGTGCCGTGGCTGCGGCAGGGCTCCGTCCGCGAGAACATCCGCCTGTTGCCGGACGATGCTCCGGAAAGCGCGAAGGAGCGGAAGTGGTACCGACGCGTGTTGGAGGCGTGCGCGCTCGAGCAGGACCTCAGCGTGCTCGCCAAGGGTGACCGCACGATGGTTGGCGAGGGCGGCACGAAGCTGTCGGGTGGGCAGCGCGCGCGCGTGGCGCTGGCGCGGGCCGTCTACCGCTACCGCGAGACGGATGTCTTCATCTTCGACGACGTCCTCTCCGCGCTGGATGTTGAGGTGCAGAAGCACATTATTGCGAAGCTCTTTCACGGGCTGCTGAGCGGTGGTGGTGCGTCTGCGACGTCGTCCGCGACAAAGCCGCGCCGCACCAAGACGATCATCTTCGCCACCCACACCTCCGTCAGCCTGCTGCTGCCCGATCGGGTCTTGTACCTGTGGGCGGATGGCACGCTGCACGAGGACGGCGGCTACAAGGCGCCGACGGCGGACCAGATCGCGGAGCAGAAGGAGGCGTGGCACAACGCCACCGTGGCTGCCGCGGAGTCAAAGGACACCCGCCGCTCGAAACAGGAGACGGCCGGCGACGCGACCGATCCGTTTGCGCACCCCAACTTGTCAGCCGACGTCTCACGTGCCGCCGCGACGCCCACCCCCGAAGCCTCACCGTCGCCCGTCCCAGCGCAAGGGGCGCGATCTGGTATTGGCTTTCTCCTACCGCGCGCCGCTGACTTGCACCGTCTCTTTATCGAGTATTTGGGTGGCAGTCGGCTTCTGCTGTTCTTTGTGCTGAGCGTGGCGATGCAGGTTTTCCGCACACTGATGGACAACTGGCTCGGTGTGTACATCTCCTTATACGACAAGCGCAACGCCGCCTTCGAGAGCATTCTACGCAGCACCAAGTCACAGCGGGCACGCAAGCTGATGCTGGATATGCTGTCGCTGATCGTGCTTCGTGGCGACAAGTCGGCTGCCACCCCGGCGGCCACGGCCCCCGCTGTTCCGATGTTCGTCGTGCTTGGCTACCCCGTGGTGTGGCAAAACCCTTTTGTGTTCGACACCGTCGTGATGCAGTTCCTCGGCACGTACGCCGTCATTGGTCTCAGCGCGGCCTTGCTGTCCATGATCCGGACCGACTACTTCTTCCGCTCGTACCAGCGCATGGCTGACGCCCTTCAACTCCACGCCGTTCGCCGACTGTTCAAGGCGCCTGTCTCGTATTTCGATTGCGTGCCGTCCAGCCGACTCCTGCAGGTGCTCAGTCGCGATCAGGAGGTAGTGGATCGCTCGCTTGGCGAGTCCGTGCAGCTGATCTTCCTCACCGTGCTGCAGCTACTCGGCATGGTGCTCTTCAACACGATGCACTTCGGCGCCTTCATCGCGGTCCTGCCCATCTCTGCGCTTCTTTTCTACCACCTGACGGTGCGTTTCCTGTCCTTCACAAAGCAGGTTCGTGCGTTGGAGGGCGTCCTGATGAGCCGCTCCCTCGGTGTCGTGAAGGACGCCGTGAAAGGCGCCATTACGGTGCGCGCCTTTGGGGACGTGTTTCAGGACCAACTGCTCGGCGAGATGAACGAGGCCCTCGACGCCGTCCACGTCGCGGCAAGCGCCGGTCTGACCGCTGACCGCTGGGTGGCGCTGCGGCTCGAGTTCGTCGCACTCGCCTTCACGTCCGTGCTGGCCCTTCTCTCCGTCTTAACGGTGTGCCTGTCCGCCACCGCCTCGGCCGGCAGCGCCGCCTTTGCCGGGCTCGGCATCATTTCCAGCATGACGGCCTCGCGCTCGCTCTCGATGCTGTGCCGGCGCTTCGGCATGTTCCAGAACCAGTTCGTGAGCGCGGAGCAGCTGCTGCGGTTAGAGGAGGAAATCCCTCAGGAGACACAGGCCAACAGCCGCAGCAGCAGCGGCGGCAGCAGCGAGCACGACGATATCGACGACGCAGGCGCGGTCACGCCCGCCGAGACGGCCGTGCCGGGCAAATACTCGCTGTTGGACGTGCGACACCTGTGCGCCAAGTACCAGCCACAGCTGCCGTGGGTGCTCTCGGACATCTGCTTCTCTCTCCGGCCGGGCGAGTGCGTCGGCCTGATTGGCCGCACCGGCAACGGCAAGTCGTCCATCTTCAACGCGCTGCTGGGGCTGATGGACGTCGTCGACGGCGAGATTCTTATCCCGCACGGCCTTGTGAACTTCCTGCCGCACTCCGCGGCGTGCAGGCAGGAGTCGGCGCAGCTCAACGCCCTCCAGCTGCCCCAACACGAACTCCGCAAGCACTACTTCGAACTCGTCTCGCAAGAGCCGCTGCTGCTGCAGGGGACGTGCCGCAGCAATCTGCTGCTGGGCTACGACAAAGCCAAGCCGGAGCCGAGCGAGGGCACCGAGGAGACGTCCGGTTCCGACAGCGCAGCCGCGGCGGAGTCGATTGAGGCCCGGCTTCGCGAGGTGCTGTGCAAGGTGTCCCTGCACGAGCTGCTCGCGCCGTCCGTCGCCGCTGCGGAGGCTGGTGGGGAGGAGATGACGGCGGCCAAGCACGCCGCCGGCGATGCCGGCGTGGCTGACCCCGTCAACTATGCAGCGGAGGCGCTGGTCGACCCCGCCACCCGCGCCCTCGATCACCTCGTCACCGCCGGCGGAGCGAACTTGTCGGCCGGCCAGCGCCAGCTGCTGTGCTTCGCCCGCGCCATCCTGCACCACCCGCGTGTGATCCTCCTGGACGAGGTGAGTTCGCGGGTGGACCGCCGCACCGATGAGCTGATTCAGAAGGTGATCAAAGAGGAAATGCTCAACCGCCGCGAGAACGCGCCTGCGTTGAGCCCCGCCGAGAAGGCGAACACGAGCGGCGTTCTGCTTATCGCGCACCGCTTGGAGACAATTCTGTCCATGTGCGATCGCGTGCTCGTCATTGAGCAGGGCAGGTGTGTGGCGAACTTGTCGAAGGAAGAGGTGAGCGGGCTGGACGACTTGGAGTCATACCTGTGACGATCCAGATCTTGCGTTCACGTCGAAGCTGGGTCTTTCTGTTGTTGTTGTTTTGACGCGTCTCTTTCGCCTGCGTAGTTTTTACGCATGCCTAGTGAGACCATTTCTTTGTTTCAATCTTCTCTCTAACGGTATTATTTTATTTTATTTTCTTTTTTCTAATAACGTGTGCGCGCTTGTGAGTGTGTGTCGAGCGGTGAAGGGGAAAATGAGAGGCATGTTGTTGAAGCGGCCAACGCGCAGCTGTTAATGTCTTTCATTCCCTCCTTCCCCCCCCCCCCGTCCTTCACACACTGTTTTTTCTCTCTTCGTCTTGTTTTGCTCAAAGCATTCATTGTGCGTTTCTTCTTCACGCGAAGTTGCTTGTGGTGCGCTCTACGTTAGTACTGTTGTTGCTGTTTGCCCTTGGGCTTGGGCAAGGTTGGTTCTCTCAAACGTTTAAGAATGCTGATTCTTTCCGTTTGCTGTTCTTCAAAATGTGTAATGTTCAAAACGAGAAAAAATAAAAGATTAATGCTTCTGCAACGTCGGCTTTCTTGAACGCGTGTGCTCTTGTTCAGTCAACGCATCTCAAGCTGTCCTTGTCACACTTCCTCTGGCGTTCGGCCTGGAAAGGGGTGCTTTTAGGATGCTGGTGTTCCCTAAATGCAATTAGGAGCCTCTTGCCGAAGCCTGCATTGCGTCGCAGCTTCCGCACGCGCAGGCAAAAACACGCACACACGGCACCGTGCAAATCGTCCTCAAACAAACAAAACGCTCCTTTTCTTTCTCGTGTGTTTTTCTGTCTTCTTTTGCCCGGCGGCGCTGGGCTTTTTGGGGCCGTGGGCGTGGGCGGGTGGCAGGGGGGGGGCCGCCTGGGGCGAGGGGGGGAGGAGGGGGGGTGAGGAAAAATGGGCGAAAACGGGCCGGGCGCCGCGCGCGAAAGCGACGAAGACAGCGGCCGCCGCACACGAAGCGAAAGCGGAGAGGCGTCAAGTACGGCAGCCGGGAAAAGCATCGGACGCCATATTGCAAGAAACCATCGTTCTTCATTTTCCGTTCCTCTTGTTGACGATTATTATTAGTATAAATATGTCTTGTGTAGTTTACTGCTGGTGTGATGCCGGATCAGAGCGAACTACGCTCTCTACAACTAAAACTCGTTCTTCTTGCACACTTCGTTCAACGGTTGCGAAGCGCTCTTGCCAGTCTGCTGCTTACGCCAGTACAGCGTGGCGTAGGAGGGCCCGGGTGTGTCGACGGGTTTGCAAGGCATACGCCCCACCATGCCGCTCACGCTCATGAAGCGAAAGGTGGAGAGCCGGTCACACTTGGGACAGTGATCGGAGCGAGTGAGGAGTTTGCGGGTGTAGCTGTTCGAGACGAGGAACTCGTACGCGTAGCCACACCTCAGACACGAAAAGACCGCCATGGCACACCTGCACGATAACCAAAACTCCAAAGCAAAAACGCGAAGCCAAAGCCAAGGAGGGGGAGGGAGAGAGAATAAAGCGGACCAGATGTGCTCGCACAAACCGTGACCCTTTGCGAGGTGAGAGAAGCCACCGGCAGTTAGATTTTAAAGGAAAAAGAAGAGGAGGAGAAGGAAGATGAAAAGCAGGTGTGCCACGGAGAAGCGAGGTCCGCTTCCTTCCTTTTCTCCGTTGTGCGTTGGCGTACAATCGCTAAGCGGCGACACGAACACATTAACCTCCTTGCTTTTAAATACATCTTTTCTTTAACCAGCGGGATCAGAAGCGCTTGGTAGGAAAGGCAAGAGACTTCCAGTACACGCATCGTTTCCTAGTGAACACGTGACGGAACGCAATACCATGTATGACGCAGAAAGCCACCACCACAAAGAAAAACCGCCCAGGGAAGACGAGCGTGTGTGAGAGGCGCTTTTAAAAGCAGAAAACCTATCGGGGGCTCTTTCCTTCTGCCTTCTTTTCCCTTTCTGTTCCTTCGTCGTCTTTTTTTAAAACTCCGAAGCACCGGATAACTGCAGGAGAAACTCAAACACACAGAAAACGAAAGTAAAAGGGAGTAAAAGTGGTCAAAAGCAACACCATTACAAAATACCAACCACAACAAACTGTGCGCCGTTGCACCGGCATGAGGCAATGGAGAAGAAAGAGAACAGGGAAAAGCAAAAAGAAAAACTATGTTTTTGTCTCAATCAGCACTGAAAACAACAAAAGAGAACAGCAACGCCCTTTCATCCCCCGCAACGAACAGATCGTACGCTCCTTCTGCCTCTTTTTCACACGCCGACATAAACGGCCAAGTAGGGAGAGGGCAGGGAAACACCAATGACGTCAACAACACAGAAAGAGCAAAAAAAAATAGGAAGCAAGAGAGATAACAAAAACAACACGATTACGATGATGATAAAAAAGAAGAGTTTTAAATCTACACTCCTAACGAGTTTGAGGCCACATTGCGGCAGCATCCTCAGGAAAAGGAAAAAAAAAACGAACAAAAAAAGTGATACAGTGAAGAGAAGGCAACAACAACAGAAAAAAATGGGAAATATGGCGACTGAATGAATAAAGAAAAAAAAACAGGAAAGAAGAAATCGTACTCACCACAGACAAAAACAACAATGAATGCTCTATTTAGATCAATCGTGGTCGAAAGCAACCTGGTTGATCTGGTCCCCGGGTACATGACACGCGTTGCTTGAATCAGTCACGAAAGCAGTCATCAGTGCCTCAGGTCGCTGCTGGATCAGTCGAGTCCAGTCCCCGTCAAAAATCTTTGTAAATCGGTGAGTAACCTTCGCCTTGGCAGCATCCTCGGCCGGTGCGGGGTCGCGCCACAGTTCATTGTGCCTCATCAGATCGGCGAATTCCTTATCCTTGGCCTCTAGCTCAGCACGAAGCCGCTCATTTTCTTTGCAGGCCTCCAACGCCTCCGCCAGTTCGTCTTGCAGGTCTGCCATCTCCAGGTTTCGTTGCTCCAGTGCATCCACAGCACTACGCCCCGATGCCTTTGACGCCTCCAGCAGCCCCTCGACTTGCTCCAGATTCTCGAGAAGTTGTTCGTAGTCATCCTTCTTCTGCTCTAAATCGTCTAGCGCCGCCTCCAAGTCATCGCACAGCCGCTGCTTTTCGTCTTCTGCGTTCGATAGATCCTTGGCGAGCTTCTTGTTAGCGTCGTCCAACTCGTCCAGCTGATTCCTCAGAGTGTCATTCTCCCCCGCAACGTCACGGCTCTGCTCCTCATGCCCCGCCAACGCTGCTTCCAGCTCGTCCTTCGCCGCGGCCAGCTCACATTCGTTGTCCTTCAACTTATCGCGCAGCTGCTGCAGCTCGTCCGCCGTCGCCACGTACAGCGGCTCCTCGGCAATCACGGCGGGGTCCACGGGCTTTGATGCGGCGTCGGCGTCGGCGTCAGTTTTGGCGTCGGCATCCGGGCGGCTCTTGGCTCCACTGCGGTCCTTAGGACGCTTGTTGTCGGCGCCGGCTCCGTCGCGAGCCGCCGCAGCATCGGCACCATCGGCGGCAGCCAGTTCAGGGTCCGCCGCGCGCGCGTCCTTCGCGTCCTGGCGCTTCTGGCGAAATGCAGCAAGCTCGGCGTCCTTCTCGGCCAGCTCGTCCGCCAGCTTCTCGGCCTCCTCCTGCGCCTTCGCCAGCTCGTCCGCAAGCTTCTCGGCCTCCTCCTGCGCCTTCGCCAGCTCGTCCGCAAGCTTCTCAGCATCATCGGCGGCCTTTTCGTTGTCGCCCTTCTGCTGCTCCAGGTCGTCCGCCAGCTTGTCAGCATCGTCCTGCGCCTTCTGCAAGTCGTCGCGGAGCTGCTGCAGCTCGTCCGCCGTCGCCACGTACAGCGGCTCCTCGGCAATCACGGCGGGGTCCACGGGCTTTGATGCGGCGTCGGCGTCGGCGTCAGTTTTGGCGTCGGCATCCGGGCGGCTCTTGGCTCCACTGCGGTCCTTAGGACGCTTGTTGTCGGCGCCGGCTCCGTCGCGAGCCGCCGCAGCATCGGCACCATCGGCGGCAGCCAGTTCAGGGTCCGCCGCGCGCGCGTCCTTCGCGTCCTGGCGCTTCTGGCGAAATGCAGCAAGCTCGGCGTCCTTCTCGGCCAGCTCGTCCGCCAGCTTCTCGGCCTCCTCCTGCGCCTTCGCCAGCTCGTCCGCAAGCTTCTCGGCCTCCTCCTGCGCCTTCGCCAGCTCGTCCGCAAGCTTCTCAGCATCATCGGCGGCCTTTTCGTTGTCGCCCTTCTGCTGCTCCAGGTCGTCCGCCAGCTTGTCAGCATCGTCCTGCGCCTTCTGCAAGTCGTCGCGGAGCTGCTGCAGCTCGTCCGCCGTCGCCACGTACAGCGGCTCCTCGGCAATCACGGCGGGGTCCACGGGCTTTGATGCGGCGTCGGCGTCGGCGTCAGTTTTGGCGTCGGCATCCGGGCGGCTCTTGGCTCCACTGCGGTCCTTAGGACGCTTGTTGTCGGCGCCGGCTCCGTCGCGAGCCGCCGCAGCATCGGCACCATCGGCGGCAGCCAGTTCAGGGTCCGCCGCGCGCGCGTCCTTCGCGTCCTGGCGCTTCTGGCGAAATGCAGCAAGCTCGGCGTCCTTCTCAGCCAGCTCGTCTGAAAGACGTTCTTCCTGGTGTTTCGCAGCGTTCAGCTCGTCGAGTAGCTTCTCCGCTTCCTCCACAGCGGCTTTGCCGGCCGCATCCTTCTCCTTGTACTCGTCGAGCGTCACGGCGTACAACTGCTCACGCTGAATCACGGCAGGGTCTACGGGGACGGAGGCGGGATCTTCTTCGTGCCGGTGAGTTGCACCGCCTCTGCTGCCTGCCATGCAGTCCTTCGCCGCATTCGCCGGGCGTTGACGATTACGGGAGGTAGCGGGTTGACGTCCGGCGTTGTCTGCCGCAGCGAGTTCAGGATCATCAGAACGGGCTTTCTTTGCGTCGTGGCGCTTCTGGCGGTGCGCGGCAAGTTCGGCGTCTTTATCGACGAGGTCCGCGTCCTTTATGGCAAGCTCGTCCTTGAGGTCGTCGGCCAGCTCTGCAGCTTTACGCAGCTGTTCCAGCTCGTTTTGCATCTTTGCGTTCTCCGCTGCCAACTTGTCGGCCTCTTCCTTTCTGTCGTCCAGCTCGTCCAGTGCGGCTTGGAGCTTGCCGAGGCTGTCGTCACACTCGCGACCGCTTTGCGCTAGCTTCTTGTCGAGTTTTTCAACTTTTTCCTGCAGATCCGCAGCCGCACGCGCCAGCTTCTCGGCCTCGTCGCGCAGCTGTTGCAGTTCATTCGCCGTTGCTATTAGGAGGGGCTCCTGCGCGATTACCTCCGGACTCACCGGTTGGGTGGCAGCGAAGGCGCGCTCCTGCGATTCCGTGCCGCGGGGTTTTGCGTTGTTTGCCTCGGCAGGGCCATCCGCAGTCCGTCGGCTGCTGCCAGTGCTGCCGCTGGTGCGCGGGTTTTGCCGTGCGGAGTCATCTTCGGCCGCCAGTGCCGGATCCTTTGCGCGTGCCTGCTTCGCGTCGTAACGCCTCTGACGGTGCGCCGCCACCTCGCGTGCAAGATCGTCGAGCTGCCTCTTGTCTTCCTTCGCAGCCGTTTGAGCGTCACGAAGCGCCCCCCCGTAGCAGTGCTGCAGAAAGAAAAGCCGCTCCTCCAGTTCCTTCGCGTAGGCGTCAGTAGTGGTAGCGGTGGCGTACTGCTGGAGAAGTCGCGAGACGACGATGCACATCTGTTGCTTCTGCTGATAGCGGGTTGCCTTCGCATCTGCGAGAATACGTGTCACCTCGTCATTTGTCAGAACGCAGCCCTCGACCTTGCCGTCAACGTCCACCGGGCAAATGACGGTCGACAAGGGAATCGGCACAAGAACGGAGGTCTTCGCGAACGAGGTCACCTGCTCAGGACGCGCCGACGCCTTCTTCGCGGCCAACTCGTCTTTGAGCGTCGCGATCTTCGCGCGACACGCCTTCATTCCCGCGATGGCAGCGCCAATCGCGTCGTTGTGCTCTTGGATGCTCTTGTCGTTGTTGAGGTTGTTGTACGCCTGCTGGTACGCAAGCGCAGTCGTCACCCAGGCGTGCAGGCTCGCCACCACCGGCGAGTCCCGCGACGCCGCCTTGTAGTTCAGCTTAGGATCCTGCTCAAAGGTGCGCAGGAGAGTGTCCGGAGACGGGTAGAGCTTCGCCACCACATCCGTCTTGATGATGCTGTCGAGCGCGTTGGGCTTGCGGTACTCCACCTGCACGTCGGCCCACTCGTAGAACTCGACCGCCGTCGGGTCACACTTCGCAACGGACAAGGCGGACTTCAGCACGGCGACGGCAACAGGAGAAGGGGCAGCTTGCACGGTGACTTTGCGAAGGTCAACCTCATCGATCAGCTCAAGAGCCCCGCGGGCTTTGTCGAAGCGGTCACGTACGGCAGAGACGCGGTCCTCGTTGTTGCGACGAGTGGATGCCAAAGCGTCACGCGCGAGTGCAAGAGAATCCTGAAAGCTCTTCATGCGGTTGCCCTCCCCATCCACCTCGCGTGAGAGAATCGAGCGGAGTGTGTCGGCGTCGCCTGTGTGGAGTCCCCATTGCTGGACGGTGGCGGTGTATTCGTTGATCTCACGCACGGTCCCCAGCGTCCACTGCCACGTCTTGTTGTTGTAAAGGTAATCATACGCCACCACCTGGCCCACCTTCGCTGGAGGAGCGGTAGGGCTAATGTAGTTTGCGAGCATCACTGCACAAGAGAAGTAAGACTAAGAAAAAGAAAGAAAGAAAAAAGGGTCGACGATGAGATGAAAAACAAAACGATGGCAGTATATATTCGCACACGCGTGAAGAGCGAGGGGAGAAAGATAACGCGTCCGACTTGACCTCAGTTCTCCAAGGTGACTGCTTTTGTATCGCCTGCGCAAAAAAAAGAGCGAACACACGCAAATACTCTTGAATGCTCTATGAGTGTTATCGTCTTCTTCGAAACAAATGACCTGCTCTCGTAGGGAATGCAAACGCCTGTGACTCAGAAAAGCTCTCTCAGGTAGACCTCTGCACGGAGGCCAACGGATAGTAACTTATCCTTTGCAAAAACGCTTGTGTCCAAAGGAGAAGAGGGAAAAAAAAACAGGAGAGATTTATGTTGGGTACAAACACGCAGCGGCACAGTCCCAACCACAGGAGTCTGGCTGCTCTTCTCTACAAGTATTCACTTAGGGCTTGTCTTTTGTACGAGGCGCGCGTAAGTTACAGCAGATGATTGCTCCTCGCGATTTACGTATAGTGAGGGTTAGTAGCTTCACTTCGAAACATACACACATGCATGCATAACCACAAGCAGGCGCACACACACACGGATACACAAAAAGCCCCTGAGTAGATTGTGATCGGGATTTTTCTTCGACAGTGAAAGCTTTGACTGAGATTCGATTTGCTTTGTGTGAACAAACTAAAACAAGGCGCAGACAAAAGCACGAGAAGCAAGACGCAGTCTTGTTGTAGTGTTAGCTGATGAAATCAACCGGGATCAGAAGAGCAAGGAAAATATGGAATATTCCAAGCAGAAAGGAGTGGTACGAAAGGCAAAGTAGTTCAAGGTTCAGCCACTGCAGCCGTAGCAAAACCAAATACTTCATGTCCCCATAACGTCCAGCTGCAACGATGTAGAGCGAGAGAGAAAGGGAGGGGGGAGTACTTGATGAATACGTCCGTCACCCAGAACAGAAGACTAGGTGGAGCAAAACGCACCATTTTATGAAGTTGTTTTCCCTTTTGACAAGAAAAAGCACACCCTCTTAAAAACAAAAACAAAGAAAACAAAGAATCGCACAAATCGTGCTCCATCTTCCTTTTTTCGGTAAATATTCTTTCTTTCTTGTCGACACCGAACGGACAGACAACGGCGAAAAAACTCCCATGATGAGACGCATCCCATCCAACAAATATGTATATATATGAATAAACATAAAGCCTTCTATCGGTTCTCGTCACGTCGCACATATAAAGAGCCAACAGAGTACGCAAGAGAGAGAGAAAAATATATATATGTTTAACAAAAGTGCTTATTGAGTTTACGCTCGGAAAACGACAAAACGAGAAGGCAGGCACGGTACGGTGCAACACATCTTCGTCTACAAGAGTTTAGTCGTGGTCAAAATTAACGTTCCCGATGTGGTCTCCAGGAACATGGCACGCGTTACTGGCATCGACAACAAACGAAGCGAACAACGCCTCCGGTCGCTCGCGAAGCAGCTTCTCCCAATTGCCGTCAAAGATCTTGGTATGACGCGTCACCATCTGATTCTTTTCACCGTTCGGCTCGGGCCAGAGCTCATTGTGCGTGTTCAGCGTCTTGATGTCACGATCCTTATCATTCAGGAGCGCCTCCAAGGCGTCGTTGATGCCCTGAAGTTTCTTCAGTTCCATCAGGACATCAAGGAGTTGTGCCTCCGCCGCCGCTTTATCCTCCTCCCGCTCATTCGCAGCTTCCCGAGCAGCTTCCTTCACATCGTCCAGCTCCTTCGACAGTGCCGCAATGTCATCGTAGAGTCGCTCATTTTCCTTCTGCTGCTCTTGCGCCTCGTCCTCGGCCTTCTCAGTCGCTGCACGGACCTGTTCCAGCTCCGCACCAAGCTTTTCGTTGTTGGCAGCTTGCCGCTCCGCTTCCTCACCCGCACGTGCCGCTTCAGAAGCCTTTTCGGCTAGAGACTCTGCCGCCTTGTTCAACGCGTCCGTCAGCTCATCCGCTTCGTCCCGTTGCTTCTTATTGTCTGCCTTCTCCTTCTCGAGTTCATTCGCCAGTTTCTCGTTCTCCGCCTTCTGCTTCTCCAGCTCGTCAGCCAGTTTATCCGCATCATCCTGTGCCTTGGCGAGCGCATCCTGCTTGTCCTTCAGTTCGTCGAGCGTCACGGCGTACAGCGGCTCGTCCGCAATCTGCTGCGGGTCCACAGGCTCCCTCGTGGGGTCCACCTGCTGCGCCGGACGGCCACGGCTGCTGGCACGGTCACTGCGCGGCGGGACGCCATCGGCAGCAGCCAGCTCCGGCTCGTCCGCGCGTGCGTCCTTCGCATCCTGGCGCTTCTGGCGGAACGCAGCGACCTCGGCGTCGCGGTCGGCCAGCTCCGCAGCGAGCTTCTCAGCTTCATCCGCGAGCTTCTCGTTCTCCGCCTTCTGCTTCTCCAGCTCGTCAGCCAGTTTATCCGCATCATCCTGTGCCTTGGCGAGCGCATCCTGCTTGTCCTTCAGTTCGTCGAGCGTCACGGCGTACAGCGGCTCGTCCGCAATCTGCTGCGGGTCCACAGGCTCCCTCGTGGGGTCCACCTGCTGCGCCGGACGGCCACGGCTGCTGGCACGGTCACTGCGCGGCGGGACGCCATCGGCAGCAGCCAGCTCCGGCTCGTCCGCGCGTGCGTCCTTCGCATCCTGGCGCTTCTGGCGGAACGCAGCGACCTCGGCGTCGCGGTCGGCCAGCTCCGCAGCGAGCTTCTCAGCTTCATCCGCGAGCTTCTCGTTCTCCGCCTTCTGCTTCTCCAGCTCGTCAGCCAGTTTATCCGCATCATCCTGTGCCTTGGCGAGCGCATCCTGCTTGTCCTTCAGTTCGTCGAGCGTCACGGCGTACAGCGGCTCGTCCGCAATCTGCTGCGGGTCCACAGGCTCCCTCGTGGGGTCCACCTGCTGCGCCGGACGGCCACGGCTGCTGGCACGGTCACTGCGCGGCGGGACGCCATCGGCAGCAGCCAGCTCCGGCTCGTCCGCGCGTGCGTCCTTCGCATCCTGGCGCTTCTGGCGGAACGCAGCGACCTCGGCGTCGCGGTCGGCCAGCTCCGCAGCGAGCTTCTCAGCTTCATCCGCGAGCTTCTCGTTCTCCGCCTTCTGCTTCTCCAGCTCGTCAGCCAG